TGGGCTCATTTTTAAATCTACATTTAAGGTGCTGCCTTCCCCTTCCTTCTTTCCTTCTTTCTTCTTTTCTTTTCTTGTGGCACCTGGGATTGGACCCAGGGATGCCCTACTACTGAGCTATATCCCCAATCTCTTTATTTTTGTTTTGAGACAAGGTCTTGCTATATTTCCCAGGCTGGCCTTGAACTTGTGATTTTTCTGTCTCAGTCTCCCAAGAAGCCAACATGCCCAGATGCCTTCTCTTCCATTATAATCAGTTTGCCTTTTTTTTCTATGTTCTTTTTGGCCATTTTGTCAAATTGTGAGAATAGGATAGATTTACATTCTCCCTGACAAGATAATCAAGAATAGCACTTTATATCTTGCTCTGATGTAAATGATTTCCATTGTGGGAGGTTTATAAGGTCCTCAAACTACATTGTCTTCCTTGATTATATAAATAGAACTATAGCATGAAACTTTCTTGCTCCGAATTAAATCATTGACAGAGAAAACACTTAAAATATCCTCAAGCACCAATCTTGTAGGCATATTTTGGGGCATATGTGTGTGTGGACAAACCAGAGCATGTATCATTTGGAACTGGGAGAAGGTGAAAAAGAGAGAAGCAAGGGATGGTGGGAAAAAGGGTATTCCCACGTTTTCGTTTCTGATAAACAGTCTGGACACTGGTTAATAGGTACTTGTCAATCCTTCTATTCAAATAAAGCTCAGAAGGAAGAGTTCCTTTGTGTTCTTGTATGTGTCCTCTCACATTGTACTTTCCCCATACTTGGAATTCTCTAGGACGTTTCAGCCACTTGATGGATTTGCTCCAAGGGAAAAAGATTAGCCTCAGTCTTGCCAAGCATAAAAAAACAAAAATTAAATAAGATTTTAAGATATCTCCCAATGGAAAACTCAAAGGATTGTGCCTTCCTGCTTCCTGGGGTATAGAGAAACTCATTCATGAATGTCTTTAGCAAGAGAAGAAGGATCTGTTCATTTCTTTGCTCAGAGCAAAACTCTGTTCCCTCTTTGTGGGTCTCCAAAGGAGAAAACCATTTGGAAACATATTTCCAAGTATTTTCTATATTTAGTGAGTCAGCATATACCTCAGGTTATCTATGCGTAGCAAAGACCAGAAGGTGTGCAGGGGGTTGAGAGGGTCCTCTGCTGATTGAGAGAGATTCATTATCAGCATGGAAGGAGACAAGAAAGCTGTTTGTCAACTGCTGACCTTTGGCCAACACAATACCCTCCCTGATGACATCAAGCTGGCCCAGTTGTTTAGGGGCATGAGCCATGTCAGTGGGTACTGTTTTTGTTCTACTCCTTTCAGTTTTATGGCAATGACTCTCAAAAAGCAGGACAGAAAAAACAAGAGACCTGCCTAATACATTTCTTCCAGATCCCTCATATCCATAATAATCACCAAAAGTGTGGTACAGTCCCAGTTCAAATAAATTTTCCTCTTGACAGATAGCTTATCTATTGCAAAGAGCTGGGTTTTTAAAGATTTTTTTTTCTCCCTGCTGCTTGCTGCTGCTCTTAAAAGGCTAGATAACACACTGACACCAGGAGCTATCTGGTACATGGCAGGACGGGAATTGCTTGCTGGCCTCACCTGGCCTTTTGCATCTCTTGAAGACAGAATTAGTAAACAGAGTTGTCTGAACCATTTTAAAGGCACTTTTACAAAGCATACCATCTTAATGATGGAAAGACAGCAATAACCTTAAGCACTTGCTCATTTTTGGATGATTAACAAATAAAATGAAGTTCAGAAAAAATTTAGAAATTTAAACAGCTATTTAAAAATGCCTTGCATACCATCCCCACCCCACCCTCTGGGATCCAGCTTATTTATTTGTTACACTTAAAGTTTTATTTGACTGGACTGAGAATCAGATCTCTCAGAAATTTGTTCCTGGCATTTTTCTTTGGCTTCTGTCAGTCTCTTGGCCAAAAGTTCAGCATATTGGCCAAAAGTTCAGCATATTCTGTAGCCTCTTTCTTATCTTTTTAGTATACTGTTTCTTCAGAGCAATATGCTGGCATCTATGTTTCAGGACACATGGAGTGACAAGCTGAATACTTTGTTTCTTGCTTTCTTTGTTTAAGGGCTTTCTGACAATATAGTGATGGACATTTATTTTTATTTTTATTTTTTTGGTATCAGGGATCAAACCCAGGGGGGCTCAACCACTGAACCACATCCCAGCTTTTTTTAAAAAAATGTTTTATTTAGAGATAGGATCTTGCTGAGTTGCTTAGGGCCTTGTTAAGTTGCTGAGACGATTTTTGAACTTGTGATCCTCCTGCCTCAGCCTCTTGAGCCGCTGAGATGTACCCCCTTGCCCAGCCAACATCTTCTTTACAGATTGAAAGGTTTGCAGATTATGCCAGCTTGGGCCCAGGGTGATGAGAGACACTAGTATTAGTCCAGGAATACTCTTCTTTCCCCTTTATTCACCCCAGTAGTCAAGTTGAAAACACTCAGATTGGCATCCCCTAACAGATTTGTACTTTTTTCAGTTCTGGTTTGTGTTGGGAATTTCCTTCTTACTTTGTAGCAGGTGGATGTGGTCATGGGTCAGGACACCTGTTTCATGGGAAAACCTTGTTCTTTGTTCCTACCACTGATTCAGATCACATGATCCTTCTAATCTTCATCCACAGCACAGCAGCAACTTCTGTGGCCATACCCTTCTCATAAAAAGTAGGAAGCTGGTGTTCATTGTTGGCTTCAGTGAGTTTTTGGCAGCCTGTAGCTGGGAAGGAGATACTGAGCTTCATCTTGAAGCTGTTGGAGTGTCATGGAAAAGAGCCTTCTGTTTAATGTGACTGGTTCTGTAACTTTTGCCAGTTAGATACTCAAGAACTCTTGATAGATGAGGTTTGAACTTCTGGAGATGAGAAGATTTAGGTTTATTCCTTTTCTATACACAAAACATGAAAATATAATTTGAGATTTTTTTAAAAGTGTGAGTTCTTAACAGAGGACAAGTTTAATACAGTTTTAGTACAGAATTTTGTGCACATCTTCTGCTTGAAAAGACTTTGGGATCATCCAAAGAACTGTCTGATGCATCTTTATATGTCTCTAATACATCACATTGGGTTCTTAAATGCAAATTTAGCCTCAATGTGGAACTGTGTAATCTGATCTTTGAAATCTTAACTAAGACATACCTTTTCCTTGGTTAAAAAGAAATCTGAAGACTGCGTGTAAGAATCACTAGGAAACATTTTTAATTAAAAATATAGACCAAGGATGATATCATACATGATGGAAGTAGTGTAGTCAAAGACCATAAAAAGCAGATGTTCAGATATTTCAAAAGCTGTTTAAAATGGTCTCCTGTGATAACTCTATAGTAGTACTGAGCATTTCTTGAGCATAGTGAGTAGTGTCTTACTGCTAAGAATTCTAAAATAATAAGGCAGGTTCCTTGTCCTCCAGGGTTTTTATTAAGCTATGGGGAAAACAGATAAGAAACCAACAGAACAAATCCTATAGTTATGAGTCATGAGGGATACATGTTTCAAGTATGAGGAAACAGGAGGGACAGACACTATTTTGTTCTTCAAGGGACATCCTGATTTTCTGCAGGGTTAAACATCTAGTTAATAGCATTGAGATGACCATATATGTATAATATGGCCAAAAGACAGTTATCCCCAGAATCCATTGGTTCCCCATTCCTTGGATTCAACCAACTATGGGTAAAAATATTTGGAAAAAATTGCCTGTACTAACATGTACAGGCTTTCCCCCCTCATTATTCCCTAAAGAATATAGTATGATAAGTACTTACATAGCATTTATATGCTAGGTATTATGTATGAACTAGAGATTATTTAAAGTAAATGAAGGAATAGATGAATTCTACATAGGGACGAGGGGAGGGAGGGAAAGGGAAGAGGCAGAGGATTAGCAAGGATGGTGGAATGTGTTGGACATCATTATCCAAAGCACATGTAAGAAGACATGAATTGGGTGTCAATCTTCTTTATATACAAGCAGAGATATGAAAAATTGTGGTATATATGTGTAATAAGAATTGTAATGCGAAAACACACCAAAAGTACATGTATAAAGTCATGAACTGGTGTGAACATATTTTATATAAAAAATATAAAAAATTGTGCTCTATATGAGTAATAAGAATTGTAATGCATTCTGTTGTCATTTAAAAAAATAAAATCAATAAAAAATAAATAAGTAAAGCAAATGAAATGATGTGTGTAATGCAAATACTGCAAATAATGCAAATACTGCACCATTTTACAAAAGGGTATTGGGCATCTTTGGGTTTTGGTATGCATTGGGTGGTCTTGGAACCAATCCACAGTATCCCCTGTGGATACTGAGGGATGGCTGTAATTTGTGCTTATGGAACAATTATGCTTTTCAGTTCCCAGGTGTTGTCTTTTTAGGTCCCTCTACAGGCTGCAGTAGATTATCTAGACAGGGGGAAGAAGAAGTAGTGACAGAGAGAGGGTAAACAGTTGAATAAGAGCAAATAGCTGCTGAGTGAGATCCCTGGGCTCAGACCTATTTTCTCTTTCTGTCATTTCAATGAAAAAAATGACCCTTTATTTCCCAGATCATGTGTGGGGGTACACGAGTTTCCTGGGATGTCATTTGTATCATGTAAAAAAAGGTTCCATTTTGAACTGTTAAATTCTTTCCAATTCTTCAGTTCTTCACTCAAAAGCCACTTACTTCTTTAAGGGAGAGATCCCTGGGTTTCCAAATCCCCCTACTGTTCAGCTCATAGCTTTCTGTAGTCTCTGCATTGGTATGTAACCTAGTTTGTCATCTGCTATTTGTGTCATTATTTGATTATGGTCCCTCTCTCTTATCTAATAGGAGGCCAGGGATCATATCTCTTTGTATACCAATATATGTTCACCATTTAGTGCCTAGCATATAGCTGTCACTCAAGAAATGTTTGCTGAAGAAATGTCTTAACTTAAGGTTCACTTGCTGTTTCTGTTCTTTTTAAAAATAGAATATCCAGTATGTGAGCAGCTTACTTGTGCTAATGGAGCCTGCTATAACACGAGTCAGAAGTGTGATTCGAAAGTTGATTGCAGGGACTCTTCTGATGAAGCCAACTGCAGTAAGTATGTGTGTAAGAGGTGCTGTGGTGTGTTGCAGCTTGAGAGAGCCAATTATCTGCACATCTTTCCAAGCCCACATTCAGCAAATTCATTTTAGTGGTCTGTAGTCAGCCTCTGGTGGGAGTATTTACACCATGATAATCGGTAAACATCACAAAGCTGGAGAAGGGGTTGTTAAACGTTTACCAGCACACTGCTGACAATAAGAGTCTTTTTTTAAACTTGAGACAGAATCTTCCTGTGAGATGAAATGGCTGCAGTGGAATTGAAATTCTCCCTTTTTTTTTTCCCTTTGTTAACCTTGTGTTCCAGCTGAGACATGCTTGCGTGACGAATTTCAGTGTGGCAATGGAGAGTGTATCCCTCGCGCCTATGTCTGTGACCATGACCACGACTGTGAAGACAGCAGTGATGAACATAATTGCAGTACGGTGATTCCCTTATGCTGGGTCATGTAGTTAGGAGTATTTTATGTTTGTTTTTTCCCACCAGATACCCATTTTCCTCTAAGGAAAGAGTCACTGTATTTGATTACACATGGAACCAAAAATTCATTTGGGGGCAGTGGGCTTGAGCCTTAGCCATGTATTGGGCCTGGATTCCTTTATCTTTCAAAGATCTGAGTAGAGTTGAAGGGTTGCTGACGGACAGTTTGCATTCTTTCCTTAGGCTGCAGGGGTACGGGTATATTGTATCACAGGATTCAGATTACCCATAGCTCAGGAATGGACCGATCACTTTGATAGTGGAGTGGAAGAAGAGCTCCAAAGGGAAGGAGTGCCCTACTAGCAATGGTTTTCCTTTCTTCTTTGAAATCACTGCCACATTCAAATTGGAGGGTCAAGAAAGTTTCAGTGTGCTATAGATGGCTTCTGTTGCCTCTGCTTCTTTGCCCTGATCCTACTTTTATTTTTGTGCTGTAGCCTGCAGTTTGAATGCCCTTTCTCTTACTTTTGCCATCTCCGGACTCCTTTTTTTTTTAGGAATATGTAACATTAGAAAGGAGACTCTGGGGTAATTTTAATTCCAATTCACTGGCAGGTTTTTGTGGTCATTTATTTACTAGAATGAATGATTTTTCTCTATATCTGTTTTGATTGGTTGGTACCCATGCCTTATGGGGTCACTGAATATTTTCATTATCATCCTAATTTTCTATGAGTGGGGCCTGATATTATTTCTGGACAGTATTTGTTTTTAAACATTTTTATTTTTTAGTTGTAGTTGGACACAATACCTTTATCTTTTTAATTTATCTTTATGTGGTGCTAAGGATTGAACCCAGGGCCTCGCACATGCTAGATGAGTGCTCTACTGCTGAGCCACAATCCCAGACCTTGGTGACAGTCTTAAAGAGACTGTGACATCATGGGATGGTGACCCAAAATCCTGTGGTACGAAATAGCTGTGATGGTGCTTGTGGCAAAGTAAGAGAATGTTGGTCACTGGCACATTCAGCATCTGGATCAGTTTGCCTCCTCTGTTCTGTGTCAACCTATTCCTAGATTCTTAATCTTGAGAAGTAGAGACTGGCACCTGAGTTCGCTTCCTGGACCCAAAGCTGCTATTATCTTTTTCTTTCCTTCTGTTTATCTTCCTCCTTCTCCTCCTGGTTTTTTTTTTTTTTTTTTTTTTTTTTTTTTTTTTTTTACGTTTTGTCAAGATACTGATGTAGAAACTTCAGTTTCTAGGAGCCCAGTTCAGGTAGTAGGGTGAGCACTTGGACTTTTGACTGTGTAGTGCAGCTGTTTCTCTCTTCCAGACTATCAGACCTGTGGTGGCCACCAGTTCACCTGCCCCAATGGCCAGTGCATTCATCAAAACTGGGTTTGTGACGGACAGGATGACTGTCAAGGCTTTGCAGATGAAGATGGCTGTGGTAAGGAGGAGGCGAGATTCCTACTGAAAAGCATTTCTTTTAAGTTTTTCCTCCCTTCCTTGTTAGAATTTTTTTACCCTCCGAATTGTCTGGGGTTTAATTAATTAGTGGGTGGATTAGAAGAAGGTGACTTCACTAGCTTTTCCTAAAATGTCTGAACCCAAATGTAGCATAACTTTTAACCTCTTCCTTCCTATTATTAAGGCAAAGTAGTTGGGACTGTCTCTTTTCTCTCTCATCACACTCTGATCTTTTCCTCCGTATTCCACTCTGCCTGCTTTACCTGTTGTAGGCTAGAGGATGTACGAAAATAGGGTAAAATGTGATTATTTCTCTTAGACCTTACAACCTTTAAAAATAACTTTGAACTGTGGCAACAGTTCAGTTTTGTTTTGAGTTTTTGCAAATTCTGATTTCCAGGTGAGACATTGACATTAGTGGTGATGGACAGGCCACACTGGGAACAGTGGGATGGAACTAGGGACTAGCAGGTGCAGGGCAGGCTACTATTTAGTCAAGTGTTTAAAGATTATTTGAAAAGATAATTGCAAATGCCATGCCCTTCCTTACCTTGCTGTTATCATCAGCTGTCCTGAAGTTACTAACACCACACCATACTTCAAGTTGCCTGCACTGTTCCAGTCCTAGATATAATAAAGACGATGTTTGTTCTGGAACCATCCATTGGTCTCATGTTTCAGTGTCCAAAAATTATGGTTTTTCTTCTTATGTCAACATTTCACTAAATAAAAGAAATCAAACAACCAAAACCCAAACTTAGGGACTCTGGAGTTACCTTGATGGCCCTCATTCTGTAATTCATGATTTAAATACATGAACCTTCTTTTCAGGGCTGTGAATCTAGTTTGTTGATATTTCAGGTTCATATCAGATTTCTGCTCTTACAGCTTGGCTGGGGGCTGCCTCTTTCAGAAAGAGTGGAACTTAAATAATTCCATTTTCTCACTCTTTAGAATCTCAATAAAAGGCTGATGGTAGCGTATGAAACTATGAATTTATTGTAAAATATAGGTCATTTGTGGATTTCTATTGTCTACTTGGTTTATATCTTCTATCTTCTTTTAATCATGGATTAAAAAGGACTGATTCTCCCTCTCATATGGCCTGTAACTCTCTCTTTTTTCCCAACAGAGAGCAATCGTCGTCATCATGTGTGTTACCCAAGAGAATGGGCTTGCCCAGAGTCTGGACTATGCATCTCAATATTTCAAGTTTGTGATGGGAATTTAGATTGTCCGGGAGGAGAAGATGAAAACAGTACCACTAATAGACACTATTGTAGTGAGTATGGAAAATATGGGTAGCTTTCAGAACAGATTCTCAAATACATAGTGTATCGGTTGTCATTTGCACAACACAGTTCTCCAAGACTTAGTGGCTTAAATTGCACCTTTTATTATTTCTCACAATTCTGTAGGCTAATTAGTGGTTTTTCTGGCTTAGACTAGCTCACTCGCATGTCAGAATGTTGCAGTAAAAGCTGGGGCTAGCCTAGGCTTGTTATCATGGTGGCGGAAAGAGCAAACCCTAATGCTCAAACCTGTGTCATGTTTGCTAATGTCTTAGTGACATGGTGGGACACTTGGCTGAGCCCAGAATGGCTTGAAGAAGTAGTTTCCATTTCTTGATGGGGGAACTTAAAAAAATTGTGCCTTCCCCTCCAATAGGGAGGTTTGTCTTAATGACTATTTTGATGATTTTAAAGGTGTTCTGGAGATATCATTATCATTATCATTATTACTATTATTTGAGGTGTTGGGGTCTTTTGCACACTAGACAAGTGCTCTTCTGTGAACTGTAACTCCTGCCCTCTTCTGGATATTTTATTTCTTGTCTTTTACTTATGAAAAAAGTCTTGTCTGGCTGTATCTCCCTACCCACAAATGCGACTAGTTTCTAGATTATGTACTTTGAGTTGTTTTTCCAGTGGTAACATTGGATTGGCCACACAGTGTTGCTTGATAATATTTTATGTGATCAATCACTAGAGTTAGTGGTTGTAGAATATAACCCCCCCAACCAATAAACTGTGTGGACAGTTGATTGTCCTGCAGGGAAATACAATGTGTGGCCCTGATTTCATCAGCTGTATACCTTCTAACCAGACCTGTGGCTGCCTAGCTGTGCCCAAGTAACTGTAACCCTAAGAACATTTTTTTCCCTGACAAAACTCATAATGTTTAAATATGCTGAGAGAGAGACTTCTATGGCATCCCCTACCCTTTCATTTGGGAGTTCTATCATAAAAGCTTAAAAATTAATGAGATATGTAGTCATAGTCAAAAGTTAAAAAATGAAAGTTAACAATATGAAAAAAATTATAATCCCTTGAAATCTCACCACTTGAAGCTAGCCATGTTTAACATTTTTAGGTGTATTTTCAGTATAGTTACTTGGGAATTCTTAGACTTATGACCTGATTTTTCCATAAATAGCATTTATAATGACTTACACTTGGTTGTAACAGTAGTTGTAATTTTTAAAAAGGAGTTTTATTTTTTAAAATTTGGATGAAGCTTTTATTATATAATGTTGCAGAAGAATTTCATGGGGCAGATTCTCTGTACCTCTATGACATGCACATTAGGCTTTTACTTGTAGAATAATAAAAGCTTTTGGGTGGATCAGCCTTGTCCAGAGGTTACCATAAATTCAACAAAGATTTTTTTTCTCTGTCTAGGTATGAGCATGTGCCCTCTCCTAAACTGTGAGTACCAATGCCACAAGACACCATATGGAGGAGATTGTTTTTGCCCTCCGTCTTATATCATCAACCAAAATGACAGTCGCACCTGTGTTGGTAAGTGACAAGTGGGAGCTCCTGGCTTTTCATCACAGTTTACTGATGGGCTTCAGGATCCTGACATGCAGGAGTTTGTAATTGTGGGTAGGGGTGATTGCCTGTATAACAGGAGCAGCATAATACTCAAAGAAAACCTGGAAAGAGTAATTTTTAATTCTGAGAAGCTTTTGTGAAGTGCAGTAAGCTAAGGAGTGGATTTGTGATGAGTGAGTTGACTAGCCTCGTGGACCTGTCTGCTGCCTGATGATAGGGGTAGTCCTTTTGGGTTTCCTTTATCAAGGTTTGGAAGCAGGATTGGTATGGCCAGGCTGGTTATGCAATGCTCAGATACTTCCATTCATGTGGTGGAGAGATAGCTGCTGCTTTCAGTCCATTAAGCTCCCTTGGCCTCTTCTCTAGGAAGCACAAATGTCCCTAGGATCCAGCAACTAGAGTTGTCACTGCTCTGGTGACCGTGTTGGTAGGTCACTGCCTGTACTGTATTGAGTGTTAATTCCTCTGCTTTTCACCTTTGCTTGGAAATGACATTCAAGATAAGAAATTCTTTATTGTGATGCTTCTAGCTAATGGTTGCCCTTGAGCTGGACACCAATTGGTTGAATAATTCCCCACATCTCTCTTATCTGAATTATAAAAATGATTCTTCCCATGGGGAGATTTTTGAATCTGATGTCATCATAATTTGCTATGAGAAAGATGGAGACTTATGTTGGGAGAATTAGACATCAATTTTTGATTTCTTAGGATATGAACAGTGAGTTTGTAGCTCTGATTTACTTTTTCCCCTATTTTTGGTACATGAACAACAAACACATAGACAGAACATGATCACAGAGGTTTTTTTTTTTTATTTTTCCATTTTAGTTTTTTAAAAATACCTTTATTTTATTTATTTTATTTTTATGTGGAGCTGTGGATCGAATCCGGGGCCTTGCAAGTGCTAGACGAGTGCTCTATCGCTAAGCCACAACCCCAGCCCCAATCACAGAGGTTTAAAGAAACTTTGTTTTCATTGGTATTGGAGAAAGGGGTTTGGGAGGTAATTGTAACTACTTATTAAAATTCAATTTAGTAGCCATATATGAATCTCCAAAACATAGATGATTCAGAATTTTCCCAGAATTGATGTTCTTTGGATCCTTAGGAATTTGAGATTCTTTAGGGATTTCTAAATTTTAAATAAATAAACAAACGTGATATGCATAAGAAATATTTTTATTAAATTTTTCATTTTTACTTTTTGGCAGTACTGGGGATTAAACCCACGGCTTTGCACATGCTACATCCTCAACTCTAGAATTTAAAATAAATTTTTAAAATTTTAATATAAAATAGCAAAAAATACTGAATTTGGATAAAGCTAGTGAGGCTATTCACTCTTCACTCTCACTCAATACTTGGCTTTCAACATAATTATATTTTTTTATAAGTGGTTGATCTTCAGTATGTGTGGCCAGAAGAACCTTTTGGTACCAGAAGTAAACTCTAGTTTGCAAATTTAACTTGAAATTCTTGAGAAAGTCTGTTCTTCAGTATAAGTGAGAACTATAATATGCTGAGAAAAACTGGATTTTCACAGTTGATTAAGTAATCCAATTGAGTTTGTTCGTGTGGTGTTCACAGCAGGTATTTTTAGGTTTTTGATATCAAGTCTGTGTCTCAGGTTTGATCACAACCTAGTTGCTCCTCTTAAGTAACTGCATTTGGCAAAGTGGGTTAATATCAAGTGGTTCAGTCAAGTCAGTCTGAGGGATTCTGGAGACCTCCCCCAAATTATTTTAAAAGCCCCCAAGTTTCTCATCATTTCAAGACATTTTAGAAGTAAAGCATTGTGATCTGCAACTGGCCTTCAGTGTGATTTTAAAATTTATTATCATCAGTGCATTGGTGATGTAGTCGGGGAATTTAAAATCACTTTTTACACACATGTCCTTATTTGGCAGGTGTCTTTGAAAGCGCTCTTCTTGCTTCCCAGTGTCCCTGCTTGGGCGACATCCCTTTTTTTTCTGAGTGGTACTCATCTGTAGGGGTGAGGCTGCTGCTTTGTTTTTGGCAAATGTCAGGCTTCTCTACTCCCCTTTGCTGCCACCCAGCTGCCAATCCGATTTCCAGCTTTTTAGTTCTTTGGGCGAGTCCCTTTTCTCCTAGTAGAAAAGGAATTCCAATAGAAATACCAGAAGCCTCATCTCAGGATTACGTCAACTTTTCTCTCCTTTTCCTTTTTTTTTTCTCTCCTAGTTCAGTCTTGCGAAGCCCACAACCTGTTCTCAGCCTTTGTTTTTTTCACTCTAGCGCTCAGAGATAGCATGTTTGCCATCTTTTCAGTACATTAGTCTGTGACGAGTCTTGGTTTATATTTCCAAGTACCTAGGATTTCTTACATGTCAGAGGCTTGAGCTGTCTCAATTTTTTTGCAGCTCCTGAAGATATGAAAGTTGATATAACAAGGTTATTGTGGTTGTAAATTTTTACATGTAAACTACTAATGAATGCAATATAGAAAATTGCAATATTATGTTATGCACAAGATCATTTCAGGATTTGTATTTAGTTCATAGCACATTGGAAGTCGTGTGGTCCAACACTGGCGCAATAGTTTTTAAGTTCCACAACAGACATCTTTAAAGTCCCCAGTGTGTTTCTGGAACTTTACTACAGATAACCTTATTTAGAGAAAAGCTCAGAAGTCTACATTTGAGGTCCTTTTTGAATGTGATGCCCCCTTACCGTCTGCGGAGACCTTTTCTGTGACCTTTCCTGTCCTTTAAGAATGCATGATTTGCATTTAACATTTATTTGATATTTGTTTCAAAGAAGACTTCAGTTTTCTCTTTGTAAAGAGAACTCTTTAGTTTAAACACATGACATTAAAAAGCCAGTTATACTTATTTAAGCAGAGCTGAAATTCTAGGGGAGTTGCTGTTTTGGTTTGCTCTCACAGGCACTTCAATTCAACAAACACTCTGTATGGCTGTAACCCTCTGCATAGCTGATTTGTCCCAGAGGCTTCAGGTGTTGGAAGCCCCTGCAACATTTGTCATCTTAGACATGGTTCTCCCGTGAATGCCTTGATAGTAATCAAGAATAAAACTGAATAATCTTGACATGAATCTGGTGTCTTTTTGCCATTCATGTGCTCTTGGTAGTCTTGACCTGGCAGTGGAAGCTCTGTGGCATGCTGAAACAGTTTGCTGGGCTCATTGTTTCTGATTGACAGGACATGCTATTTGTTGACAGGCTGACATCGTGGTGCAGAGTTAGGGCAGGAAGGTCATTCGGCTTGGCGGAGTTTCACACAGTCAGATGGATCAGAGGTGTCCAAGGGGGTCTAAGCTAAGAAGGGCTTTTAGTTATTTTCAAAGCAGCATTTATTGGTAGGAGGAGGCAAAGAGTAAATAGAAAAGAAAATGATGTGTGTGTGTGTGTGTGTGTGTGTGTGTGTGTGTGTGTGTGAGAGAGAGAGAGAGAGAGAGAGAGAGAGAGAGAGGTTGTAAAATAGTTTCAGTGTTATACATAGTTTCCACCATTCTCTGCCCTCATGAAAACTCTCAATTCCACTTTCATTTTCTTGTCTTCACTGATGACAGATATTTAATTAGCCTTTGTTTTCCACCCTAAGTATCTAAAGGATATAATCTCAGTCATTAAAAATGACAGTGATTTTATGCACTTGTTCAAAAGTGCATTTGGAGCACAGGTGATACGAAAGGTTTTTGAGCCTAAGAATTCTGTTCTGACTTTGCTTTTCCTCTGTTTGACGTCAGAACTCCTGCTCGCAGGTGACTCCAGACCCTTACACCTAGTCTGTCCAAATGAGGGTTTGACATTCTGGGGGCTTTCAGGGGAATGTCTTATACTTTTCATTCCTGCTCAGGTGAAGCCTCAGGTGGAGCTTTCTTGGGGTTGATGTGAGGAGTTTTATCCATGAGGCGCTTTCACTCCTGTGTGGTTTTTTTTACTTTCTATCAAGAGAGGATTGATTTTCCTGCCCTTGGTTAGTCATAGTAGTTGGCAAGAAAGATGTGATGAGCCATGTTGTCAGGTTTTAGCCTGGAGGGGAAAAAAATGGAATAATTCACTTGATCCTGGAACTTTCTTGGTCCTTTCTAGTTGGGAGTCCTGGGATGGGGGACCACACAACGTATGTAGTGGAACCCAGTTCACACCTCTGGCATTCATCTGCAGATGAAATCAGATTGCAGAAATCTGGAGAATTTTAGACCTGAGGGTGCAACAGTTTCAGAAAGTATAATCTTGAGAACTTCCTAAAGCTAGAAGGGATGGGAATTCTGTTGGTATAGGCTGTGGAGATCACCCTCCCAGGGAAGAGAGCAGAGAGAAGGATGATGGAGGGTGGTGGTGGACTGGGAGCTCAAATGACAGCCATGATTCACCAATGATGGCACCATCTGATCTTTGCCAATTACATTTAAATTTTTCACACAGCGGAACTGGGGCTTCTATGGCTATGAATTGAGCTTTTCCATGTAAGGATTTTTTAAAAACTTATTAAATGAACGAATAAGTTAATGAAAAACTAGAAGATAGTCTTCATGCCTTGAGAATATTTTTAATTTCAGTTATAATTTTTTGATATCAAAAGGACGACAGCTGGGTAAATAGACCTTTCCAAACACTTTACTGCAGTGACAGATCATGTCTTCTTGAAGATGAGTATAGATCAGTCTTTGTTATGGAATATTCTATCCAATTGGTCTTTCAGCAACGTGGCAAATATTCCTATATCTTCACTCTCCAATTTGGTAACTAGTGGTCTATTGAGGAGCTAAACTGTGACACATATGACTGAGAAACTGAATTATTAACTTAATTTTAATTAATCTAAATATGAATTTAGATAACCATAGGGACAAGTGGATAGCATTTGGGAAGCACATTTTGCAAAAAAAAATCCATATATCCAAATATATATATGGATTTGGGTATAAACACTTCCCTTTGAAGCATTTGGAATGTGTACCAACCTTCAGAGGAGGGTCATCTTGACTAGGAGTATTGTCTGAGACTGCTCAAGAAATGCTGATAAACATGATTATGAGTGTATTTTTCTTACGTGGCAGATTTTGATGATTGCCAGATATGGGGCATTTGTGACCAGAAGTGTGAAAACCGAATGGGCCATCATGTGTGCCACTGTGAAGAAGGGTATATACTGGAGCGTGGAAACCATTGCAAAGCTAATGATTCCTGTGAGTACATGGTGGACACCTGTTTCTCTGAACAATAGACTTCTGCTAGCAGTCTTTCCACAGCCGAGGAAGAAAGAAATGTCAGCATTTAAGCAGGCAGCAGAGTTTTATCATCACAAATCAGAGGTGGTCCTGGCTGCTTCGAAGAATGAGTCAACATTAATTTGTACTTTGATTATTAAGGACCAATCTTTATGTTAATGGTGGCCATAATTAATATTTATTGGTCTAGGCTATTATATCACCCCCTCATATACAGCTGTGGAATAGGTTCTTACGGCTGTATTTGACTGACGTGGACATTGAAATTTTAATTAATTTACTCACCACAAATGTAGGTGGCGTTTATTTATACAAATAATTTTGGTATTGCTCATGCAAAATTTGGGAGTATTTCAAAATGGACAGATTGTCTTTGGATTAAAATTTGTGTGAATATCCTTATCACAGGCATTTTGTTGGAATTGGTCTAATAGTACTGTAGTGCTCAAAGCAGTTTTGTCATCATTACTTTCTGGGTCTCAAGTTTAACTCCCCAACTCCTTTCCTTCCCTCCTTCCTTCCTTCTGGGGACTGAACCCAGGGTCTTGTGCACTCTAGGCAAGTGCTCTGCCCCCTGCTCTAATTCCTTTTTTCAGCTGTGATTTCACACTTGATTTTGAAGTGCCTTTGGTGCCTTCTGAAATTTCACTGGTCACATGATCCATGAATTGTTCATTTTCTGTTTGTTTTTGCGTGCATAGAAATACCTGATTTGTTGTGTACTAACTTTTAGGTGCAGCTGATTTTTAACCATTGAATTCATTTATTTTAAAATAGGTAATGTATGTTCAATGATTTTAAATTGTAAGAAGAAATCAAGTAAAATGTCTCCCTTCATCCCTTCCCCCACTGTCAAGTTTCTACTTCCCCTCTTCCCTGGGTAATTGCTGTTTCTTTATTTTGATTCTAGAGATTTTTAAATGGTTACATCAGGGTACACAAATATAGATATTTAACTCCTTTGTGAATATGCTCACAAGCTGTATGCTCATTATTGCATCTTGCTAATGTCACTTAATATACCTTTGAGAGTTTTCCATATTAGCACATAAAGCTCAATTCTTTTTTTTATAGTGGCAAAATATTCCATTTTTGTATATAATTAGTATGCAGTTAGTTAATTTATTTAACCAGTCCTCCTCTGATGGAGTTTTAAATAATTTCTTGTCTTTAGCTTTTGCAAAAGATTGTATATTATTCATATGTGATTTTGCATACTTGTAAGTTTATAGACAGAGCAGATTGGATCCACCATCGCAATGATTTTTATAGTTTTTTTTTAAATGTTTTTTAGTTGTCAGTGGACCTTTATTTTTTATTTTGTTATATGTGGTGCTGAGGATCGAATCCAGTACCTCATATGCTAGGCAAGCACTCTACCACTGAGCTACAACCCCAGCCCCTTTACAGTTTTTACAGAGTGATTTCCTGAAAATCTTTGTGTGTGTGTGTGTGTGTGTGTGTGTGTGTGTGTGTGTGTGTGTGTTGGCTAGAACCCAGGATTTTGTGCATTCTAGGCAAGTGCTCAACCCCTGAGCTACATCCCTACCCTCCCCTAGTAATCTTTAATTCATGTTCTGTGTTTAACACAATCAAAAGTTGTACATGGAGGTAAGGTGCCTATGTCATCAAGAATTCTTGGAAATCCCTGCTATAGTCTCTTCAGTGTCATTGAAAGTGCATGGACTAGCAATCAGGACACTTGAAATCTTTCCAGATTCTGTTTTTAACTTTCAGTGATTTTGGGGTACTTCATTAAACATCTTTGTGCTTCAGTTTGCACATGAGCAAAATGGGTAGAGTGATTGCCGTGTGCATCAGTGGTTTATTTTAGAATCAAAGAAGACAACAGAAGAAAGCATTTGGAAAAGCAGGAAGTCTATCAGTTGTAAGCGATTCCACTTCCTGACTCACCTGGAATAGTCACAGTTTTCTTCTTCACATCTAGCTGGTGAGGCCTCCATTATCTTCTCTAATGGTCGGGATTTGCTAATTGGTGATATTCAAGGAAGAAGCTTCCAGATTCTGGTGGAGTCTCAAAATCGTGGAGTGGCCGTGGGTGTGGATTTTCACCATCACCTACAGAGAGTTTTTTGGACAGACACCGTGCGAGATAAGGTAAATAGAAATTTCAGGAGTGTAGCTTAGGAGCTGAATAGAACCTCAAGCACAAAGTGTTGATAGCTTCTCATTTTGGGGGGAGTCAAGGGGAAAGTTCCTTTGTTTCCTAACAAAAAAGGCCCTTGAGATAGTTTATGTTAATCAGCACCTTTCTGTGCTATACTGTTACATGTGACCTATTAAACAAAGCAGTCTATTATATGGATTAGCCTTGAGCAACTTTTAATTTTATTCAAAAAGGAGTCCAAAAGTCTAATTAAAAGAAATAGTAGACATTCTTTCAAAACTGGAAAGATATTTGGTAGTAATTTTTGAAACTTGATCACTTAAAATGTAAAAAAATACTCTACTTTTCTGGATGATAAAAATCAGATTTTTGCCTGCATCTTTTAAATGGAACTGTAATGGAGGATTGGGTAACAAATATTGACAGAATTTTGTGTAACAGCCAAAATTTCATTTACAGCATCTTATATGGAAATTCTCGTGGATTTAACTTCAATTTTGTGTAATGTGATGGAAGTTTTTAAAGCATACATTTTAGAGACTCCTAAAGAGTTATGGAATTTTATTTATTTATTCCTCTTACATTTCTTTGTACCAGTAATAAAATTCTTATTCACTTCAATGATAGCTTGCATAAAATTTCTAAAAATTGAGAATTTGGGTTACTAACAACTCTGATTTGATAACAACTAAAAATCAAAACAAACCATTACCACCACTTCCTTCACCAAAAATCCACATTATTTAATTAAGCTTTTGATGACTTCCAAGAATGGGAAATACAGGCTTTAAGAAAACAAAAATAAAAAAATAAAGGTGAAAACCAACTTCTATATTTGTATCTCCTATACTCTGGAAAAAACCCATGTTCTCCCAGTAATACACAATGTAAAATAGCAAGCTGCCAGTGAACATTTTTGGGGTCTACATGATTGCTTCCTATAAAATAGATACACTGAATGAAGACAGGAAAATAGTGCCTATAGTCATGCTTATTTCTACACGACTGGTATGATCCTACATCATGTACAACCAGAAGAATGAGAAGTTATACTCCATTTATGTATGATGTGTTAAATGCATTCTACTGTCATGGATAACTAATTAGAACAAATAAAAAAAAACAGAAATATAATAATTTTGGGTTTTCTTTCAGGTTTTTTCAGTTGACATCAATGGTTTAAATATCCAAGAAGTTCTCAATGTTTCTGTTGACACTCCAGAAAATCTGGCTGTGGACTGGATTAATAATAAACTTTATGTGGTGGAGACCAGGGTCAATCGCATAGATATGACAGATTTGGATGGAAGCCACAGGGTTACCCTTATAACTGAAAATTTGGGGCATCCTAGAGGACTCGCCCTGGACCCAACTGTTGGGTGAGTGATGTGAAAACACATAGATTTCGGCATTTTTAGAATTTTGTCTCTCTGCCTATACATCTTACATATCTTAATTGGAGGTTAATTCTGATTTCTTTTAGGTTCTCTACTCTAGAATCCATGTTTGTTTTATGTGTCTATTCATAGAAGCTTTAAAGGAGTTGACTAAATATAATCCTGTTCAAGGATATGTCATCCAAACACACTTATTGGTGTGTTACTTGATGTTTTGGGCATATGAATTTTTTTTCTTAGTATTTGCCAAGCTAAGACATTGAATTCTGTGTTCTGACTCAATTACTAAATTATGACACCAAACATTACTGCAAATTACCATTATTAAGATGATCATGCTAACATGAATTAGCTGAAAAATTTTTAAGAGAGGGAAATAGTTGCAACTATCTCTTTTAGTGCTTTCTTGTTGTGAGCGGCAGTTGAGATGTCAAGCTGGGTTGTTCAATGTGAATCAGCCTAGCAGAATGCTTGCTCCTGTTTACTTTTCTTCAGGTTTAATGAAAAATTTCCTGTTTTACACATTTGATAAGAGTCTTAAGAGACAGTTCTCCTAGCATTTCATAGTTGAGTCTTTGGCCCCTTGGATGAAATTTAGGCTACTTAAGTGTTGGTGACTGGTGATTATTCATTTCTACTTTGTAATATCAGCTATTTTTCCTTGAAAATGGTGGGACATTTTCTTTGGGTTATACTACTGAGTAGAGGGTTGAGGAAGAGAATTTAATAGCTCATTTAAAATATAAATTTTCGAGGTGGGGATATATAGCTCAGTTGGTAGAGTGTTTGCTCACATGCACAAGGCCCTGGGTTCAATCCCCAGAACCAACAAGAAAAAAATATATATACAAATTTTCTTGGGTGTAAAATGAGAAGTAAAAGAGTCAGTAAGGGAAGGTGAACATAAAATTTTAGGCTGCTATATTATTGCATGTTAAGGTTGCTATTTAGAGTTATTGAGTCTCCTGATTGGCCCTCCCAGTCTGTTTTTTAAAATGCTTGTAAAATTTCTATTGTTTTATACAGCCATGGTTAGTTATTCAATGGGAAATCCCATTGATCCAAACATGCTATGTGTGAAAAAAAATTACTCAAGTAAACATGTGAAATAACAGACTTTTTGTCTTTTGTTTTCCTTTTGTAGTTACCTATTTTTCTCAGATTGGGCGAGCCTTTCTGGGGAACCTAAGTTGGAAAGGGCTTTCATGGATGGCAGCATCCGGAAAGACTTGGTGAAGACAAAGCTGGGATGGCCTGCTGGCATCACCCTGGATTTGACAGCCAAGCGTGTGTATTGGGTGGACTCACGGTTCGACTACATTGAAACTGTAACTTATGATGGACTTCAAAGGTAAGAAGTGTTTTCTGTGGCTTTATGAGTTTGAAGGAAAGTGCATAAAATTGACAGAGATGCATGCCATGGGGCCAGAATTAAAATATCACTTTGTTGATTGACATGATAGTTTAACTGACATATGCATTGAGATCTGCATGAAGTGACAGGCTCTTAATTTTAAACTTTTTCTTGTGTTCCATAATAACATTCATTTTCTCCAGTCTTTCTCTGAGCTGGGAGTGTAGCTCACTGGGGGAACACTTGCCTAGCATGTGCAAAGCCCTGGTTCAATTCCTGATTACCCACCCCCCCACCAAAAAAAAAAAAAAAACCCAAACCAAAATAAAACCCATTTCTGATTCCTGGATGAACTTGTTATTTTCATTTACTCCTGAGACCATTATTTTTCTGGGTTCCTCATACTTTGTTTTCCAAAAACCACTGTATCTTTTTAGTTTTTTAAAATTAATTAATCTATTTCAATTAGGTATATATGACAGCAGAATGCATTTTGATTCATTGTACGCAGTTGCAGCACAACTTTTCATTTCTCTGGTTGTACATGATGTTGCATTGCACCATATGTGCAGTCACACATGTACCTAGGGTAATAATGTCCATCTCATTCCACCATCTTTCCTGTCCTCATAAGCCCTTCCCACCCCTTCCTCCCCTTTATCCAATCAAAGTTCCTCCATTTTTCCCATGCCTCCCCAACCCCTACCCCGTCATGGATCAGCATACACTTATCAGAGAGAACATTTTTTTTCTTTCTGGGATTGGCTTACTTTGCTTAGCATGATATTCTCCAACTCCATCCATTTACCTGCAGATGCCATAATTTTATTCTCTTTTAATGCTGAGTAATATTCCATTTTGTATATATACCACAATTTGCCTTTTAGTTTTTAAACTTTCCCTTGATAAATAAATAAATAAATATTTATTTATTGTTAAATAAAATAATGTTAAATAAATAAATATTTATTATTTATTTAATATTATTCAGTGGGTATTAATTGGATTTTACTTTACTTTTATATATATCAAATTTTAAGGAGAAATTATTTTTATTTTTTATTTTTGTTGTTGTTGCTGTTCTGGTGCTGAGGATTATACCTAGGGTCAATTCATGCTAAGCCACAGGTATTCTGCAAATAGACCGGTCAATTTAATTTTTACAAGTGACCTCATTGTTTTTTCACTGAAAGGAATATTCTGGTTATTTTTTCTCTATTTTGTAAGGATAATATCACAGTTTGCCACTGGATTACATATTCTTAGAAAAAAAATCTCTTCTTTTATAAATGAAGCTATTGGGTTTTAATACTATGACTACCTGTCACTAAAGGTTGCTGTATCCAGAACATTAATTTAATGAGAAAGTATTAGTCAACCTGATGTCTTATAAAACCAATTGGGAAATTTGCTTAAATGTTTTTCTCTTTTCCATGGGGGCATTTTAGCATTATACTCAATATTTTTATGCTAAGGTTGAAGTAAAATACAATAGACAAAAATCAGTGGAGTTTCAGAAAGATCTGAGTGTTTTGCTGGCTGTGAAGAAACACCAAAGAAATATAAAAGCTCGTGAGCACAGCTGTAATCACAGAGTCATTGCCTCTGGCTTTGCCAGCAGGTGGCATTCAGGGTTCTAGAATTTGCCAACCAAAAAAAAGAAAACCATTCTCTCATTTCAGTGTGCCATGTCATTATCAAGTGTTTCTAAGTGTGTACCAACTTGTCACCTTAGCCAGTTTTAGTGCCTCCGATTCCTTTCTTAGAGCCCTATTATGCTTTTTAGCTTTCAAGGGCTGCAAATATTTTTCTTTCTTTCCTTCCTTCCTTCCTTCCTTCCTTCCTTCCTTCCTTCCTTCCTTCCTTCCTTCCTTCTTTCTTTCTTTCTTTCTTTCTTTCTTTCTTTCTTTCCCTTGAAAGAAAGAAAATAAGAGTTTTTCCTCAGGAATCATCCTTCTCTTCATTTTGTGCATGTGTCTAACTGATTCATCACTTACATAGAGTTAGTCATGGCAGGTGCTATTGATTTCTTTTCCTTGCTGGGCACCTCTTGCTTCTGTTTTCTTCTTATGCAGCTCTGCGCATTCTGTGCCTCCGTTACAAGTATGATCCATGGATAGTTTCATCAAACTGGGGGTTGAACTCTGCTGCTCGCCATTCCGTGTGCTAGTTGCTGAGAAACGGTCAGTGCAGTTATAGGAAGTATTTGTTGGGGACATCGTCCACTGGACTTCTCACCCTTATTATACTCTTTCACCTATGGAATTTGGAATGTTCTTTTGCATCTTACCTTTTATAGGCCAGGCAACCTTAAAGGAATGAAGAATTAGTGAGAAAACACTAATTTTACCTCAAAATCTAGAACAGCCTAGAGGATTGACTAGGACTAGGATTCAAACCTCAATGGTCTTTACCAAGAAGCAGTATGGAAATCCTATCAAATGTAAATGTAATTTCACATATATCTTTCTGTATATTCTATTATTTCAACAATAAATTATTTAGCTTTTTCAAGCATTTAACTGAACTACCTACACCTTTAATGAAAATAAAGCAAAACAAAAAATTGTGTGATGTCTACATATCTTTTGTAACAGGAAGACCGTAGTTCATGGAGGCTCCATCATCCCTCATCCCTTTGGAATAAGCTTGTTTGAGGACCAAGTGTTCTTCACTGACTGGACCAAGTTGGCTGTAATGAAGGCAAACAAGTTCACAGACAGCAGCCCACAGGTGTACCATCAGTCTTCTCTGAGGCCCTATGGGGTGACTGTTTACCACGCCCTCAGGCAGCCCACTGGTAAGCCACACAATAGTGGTGAGACCCTGTTTGGTACTAGATTTGTTAGAAACATTTTTTTTCCAAAGCTGTGGAAGTTAATGATGAGAGATCTCCTCCTGGGATCTGGGTGATATTCTCAAACATACAGAGGATTATCTAGAGTATTAAACCCTCAGGAATTGACTCTGCAGATCATGGGCTTTCAATGAAATTAGAATTAAAAGTACTGAATCTAGAGGAAATTTAGAGATTCATTTAATAGATGTTTACTGGCCCCTGCAGGGTGCCAGGTCTAGGTGCTGGGGATCTAGCTATAAACAGATCAAATCCAGATACCTATGTTATGGGGAGCCACTTCATAAAACAATCAAATCAAGGAGAGCTTTATTTACCTGGCCAGGGACTGTCACCCACCCATAGAGACTGAAGCTCTGTGGGAGAGCAGCAATTTCCTGGCCTGTATCCTGGGAACTTAAAGAGGAAAACCACAACTCAGGGACTTTCCTGAGCATCATTCAAGCAAGCCAATCACAGAAGTTAAAACAATAGCAAGTGGGACCTGAGAGCCCTAAGCAGGACTAGAGTTTTCCAGTTAGCAAGCAAGCAAGTAGAGAAGCTAGGAAAAATCAATCAGCTTGTAACTCAGTTAACTACATCTTGGGTCTGAACAGGTGTTAGACAGCCGTATCCTGAGTTCGAGCAGGTGGTTATGTGGGGGAAAGAATCTACTTCAAAGTCTTGGGTCACCAAGACTACCATATCCTGGGTTGAGTACATTTTGTGGGGTACAAAGTACAGAAAACAATATATTATAAGAAAACAGCTTTCATTTCAGTTTCTCAGAAATAGTTCTTGTAACAGAATTTTTTATAGAAGGCAACAAAATGGAGTCTTAGACCTGTTTATGACAGTTCTTGCTTATAATTGTCTTATCTCACTTATTATGTCTATTTTATATATATATATGTGTGTATATATATTTTACTAATATATAACCTATAACTTACACTCTTACTGATTTTATTGATTAGTTTAGACCACAACACCTACCCTCATTCTACTTAGAGAATTGTCCTATTTCAAAACTCTAATATTATAGTTAAGGAAACAGAGGCCCCATAGAGGAAAATAGCATATTCTAAACACTCATTTTGCATAGCATGGGGTCCATTTTATTTCTTCACTGTTGTATACATATGGATCTGTTCTTTGGTTTGTATTGGGTCTGTTATGGTTCAACTGGGTTTGGTGTTTCTGATTGGTCACTTATTAAAGAAAAGAAATATTTTGATTCAGACACTATTTATTTTTTTGTTATTTTATAATAACTTTGTTTGTGTTTCAGAGTTTTGAATTGAGCTTTGACATGTCCATTTGAACTGTCTATGGCTCTTCTGTATTTGTTTGTGGATCATAGAAAAGAAATACACCAAAACTAGACTAAGTTGGTAGAAAGCTTAATGTTGGTGAACGGTAATTTGGAGAAATACAGATTTGTTTTCAAACTCTCATATTAAGTGATGAAACTGTTTAGGATGGAGAGAGACAACAGGCAATTAGGTTGCTTTAAAAATATACTAGAATTGAATAGATATTGAAGATGAATAACCTTTGATATCTTCATCCTGGGAAAATATATCTGAAAACATGTTGGAAATCTCAATTTGGAGTACTTTTCAGACTCAATTTATAAAGCTACTAATTTCACATGTGCCTTTACCCAGTTTGATCATCCAGATTATTTCCCCAAATAAATCCACTTGAGAAGAGAAAGAGACCATTCTGAAGAATAAGTCAAAGGTTCAGAAGACAATTTAGAAAGTAAATCTGAAAGTTTTGTCTGTGACAGTCTTGTACAGTGTGCAGTGAGCTTCCCAAGGTTACAACTTGAAAGATGGCTTTGGGAAACATTAAACTAGTTTCGGAGGCAGACACATAGGGTTTTGGAATCAGGTCTCGATTAGAATTAGCTATTTAGGCATGAATAATCTTGGACAAGTTGTCTAACCTTTTAGAGACTTCTGTAAAATTGGGGTAATAATGTTTACTCCTTGGGGTTATTGGTTATTTATTGGAGTTTTGTACAAAATAAGTACCCATTGAGTAATAGTTACTTATTATATTTTATGAATGATAAGGATAGTACTGAATTTTTTATTTTTAAAAAATTTGGGGTAGTGCTGAGTGCGGTGGCACAACTCAGGAGGCTCAGGAGGCTGAGGCAGAGGATCATAAGTTCAAAGCCAGCCTCAGCAAATTAGCGAGACCCTATCTCTAAATAAAATATCAAAAAGGCCTGGGGATTTGGCTCAGTGGTTAAGCACCCCTGGGTTCACTAGTACCAAAAATAAACAAACAAACAAACAAAAAAGAAAAGAAAAGAAAAATTCAGGGGTGGGTAGTTAATTCTAATCATTGAGGCTAGCAGACAGACCTTATAATTACTGTGGGAAAAGAATCCCATGGTTATCCAGTGGTGGGAGTCCTGATTTTTGTAATCACCAGTTTGAGAATGGACAGGAGAGCAGTGAAGTTGGGAGGGTTTGTGCAGCCGGATGTGGTAACCACGTCTGGAGTGATGACTCCACAGTGTTGCAAACCCATCACTGGGTTCATCTACAGGGCTAAAGTGGCTTCACATGACTTGGAGTGTTACATCTGTCTAATTGTGATTGAACCCTGTGTATTTCTCCCCCAGCTAGCAACCCATGTGGAGATAACAAAGGGGGCTGTGAGCACGTCTGCGTCCTCAGCCACAGAACCGATAATGATGGTCTGGGTTACCGTTGCAAGTGCTTATTTGGCTTTGAGCTGGATCGGGATGAGCGCCGCTGTGTTGGTAAGAAATCTGTGTTGGTGGGTCCTTCTGGCAGGCAGCATCAGGGTAGCCAGACAGCTGCTGCTGCTGGGCACTGGGCCAGGTCTCTGTCTGACTAATTCACTGCAAAAAAAGCTTTCTCTAGCCCACAGAACAGCTTCTTTGGTAGGCACCATGTTCCCTGTACATAGAGCTATATTTGAAGATGTAAAATTCCGTCTTTCCTTTAAATCTTCATCTAGGATTTTCTTGGTCTTCCTTTCCTCTTTGTTTCCTGAAACATTCATCTCTTTTTACTGTGATTTCTGAATTCCATGTGACTGCACTTGGTGTTCTTTTCCATACTATGTATACTGTTTCCAATTCTTTTTATTTTTCAGTACTGGGGATGAAGCCCAGACTCTCGTGTACTTTAGACAAGTGATGTACCCCAGCCTACCATTTCCACTTTAGACATTAGCCTGAACTTTGATGGGAAGGGAGGTAGCCCATCCCTTTTATTGACTTCTCTTAGACCACCACATATGCCCCTTTGAGCCAGGTAATCCCACCTTAATCTCATCTGGCTTTATTGCTGTATCCAAAACAAACTCTTAGGCTGGCTCAATTTCTCATGAAGTTTTTCATTTCAGTTCAAACTTTGATTTTTACACTTGCCTCTCAGCTCCTGTTTCACTCTTCCATTGAAGCTTTCCTTTCTTCCTCTTGGATTGCCTGCAGGTCTCCTCATTATTCACCCATGGCCTAGGCCCTAACCAACGATGAAATACGTGACTATAATATTTATTTCACTTCACCTTTTGCAATTCTCTTTTCATCTCTGATAAATTCTTGCTTCCTGAATGGTCTTTCTGGAAGCTTCTATGGACTTTTTAAACTTTTAAATTCTAACTAAGATAAATTTGTTAATATTGGGGGTAGTCCTAGATTCAGATAAAAATCTCCCTCATTTAAAAAGCCATATGTATATAACTTTTATCAGTAGTACATTGTCTAATGATTTTGTTTTTAAATTCCTTTTTGCAGTTATTATGTCTTGGCTATACTGCCTTTATCACTGTCTTTTTGAATTCCTGGTGTACTGTCTGTCTCCTTCTTGGCTTTTAATAATCACTTCTTCTTACCCCTTTCCTTTGTTCCTCCTCTCCCTCACCTTGTCTCATTCCATTGATATTGATTCTGTTTTTCTTTCTGATCTTGACACCCCAAAAGCTGCCTTATGATTGTTGGTGTCAATTTCTGTCCAAAGGTTATTCCACTTGGAGAATTTTGATGGAATTACTGTGGAGTTTAGCAAATTCTATTTTAAAATTTATAGTATGTGGACACTGCTTTTTAATGCCAATAAACCCTAAGGATAAATTTCTCAGGAAGAAGTTTTGAATCCGTGTATCACCTTTGTAGTTGCTTTTTTCTTCTTCTTCCCTTCCATTATTACCAGCTATGGTTTTCACAAATTTGTTATGTTTATTTCAAAATTATATTTCATGATGATAAAGTGTCTTTATGAACAATGTGATTTGTCTGGGATTTGGTGAAGGCAAGAACCATGCTGTGGCTGACTGTGCTGTCCTTCCTCCTATAGCTATTAAGAACTTCTTGATCTTTTCATCTGAACTGTCTGTGCGTGGGATCCCATTCACCCCCTCCACCCAGGAGGATGTCATGGTTCCAGTGACGGGGAATCCTTCTTTTTTTCTTGGGATTGATTTTGATGCCCAGGAGAACACAATCTTTTTTTCAGATACATCAAAAGATATGATTTATAAGCAAAAGATTGATGGCACAGGTAAGAATATGTGTGTGTGTGTGTGTGTGTGTGTGTGTGTTTGTTATTTTCAGTAATCATACAAATAATTCATTCAGTTTAACTTTTAAGATCCACTTTTTAAGCAGGATCTTTATTAGGTTTGATAAATACTTTTTGGATTGAGAAAAGAAATTTGTTTTTTTTTTAAATAAATTATGTTGGAAACAAGCACTTTTCATTTTCAAAACAAGTTATAAGTGATGGTGTATTTTAATAATGACAATATTAACAGGAGAGGAAGGTCAAGTGTCTGGAAACCCTTAATAGCTTAAGGGTTCTTCATATTGGAAGCATTCAGATCGGTCCAATGGGATAATGTTTCTTTGGGGATACTGGCCTACTTTTGTGCCAATGGCTGAACTTGGAATGACAATAATTTCTTAAAAAGTGAATTATGTGAGATTTGGATTTGTAAATCCATACTTAAGTTTTAATTGATTAAAATTCTGTTAAAATTTTTATAATGGTCAAAGAAGACAGATAATTTATGGTCAGCCACACTTTCCTTTTGTGTATTTTATTTGGTTGATGGCATGATCTGTTGATCTCTATACCTGAAATTAAAAATTAATCTGAAATTAAAAAAAAAATTCTCTTTTTCTACTGACTTTGCCCCATTAGGTATACTTGTCTTTTTCTTTGTTAAAAATGTAGCCCATTTGCTAGTGCATATTCCTTTCCAGTGACAGCCCTTTCTCCTTCATTTATTTCTCCTTCATTTATTTCATTGGTTTGCCCTTTCCTGTCCCCTCTTCTGACTCCTCACCTCAAAATCTATCTGCCCATCACCTCCCTGGAATCCCTCTCATCTTGCTCATCTCTTTGTTGCTGAACTAAATAATTGTCTTCAGTCCTGTTTTGTGTTCCAGTAACCAGCATTACTGAGTCTCTCTGAGTTTCTGACCTTGCAAGATTGTGAGGCTGTGCATGTCCTTCCTTGGTCAGCTGTTCTCTGATTTCAACCCTAGAGGAGTTGATCTTAGCCTACCTCTTCTCCATCATCTTGGATCCTATGTTTTCTAGTCCCTATCTTTGATTCTTTGGTCATCTTCTCAAAACTGTTTCGATTTCCTTTCATTTCTTGTCCATTCCTTCTTGTGTCCCTTAGAAGTCTTTATAATTTTTTTTTAAGAGAGAGAGGGGGGGGAGGAAGAGAGAGAGAGAGAGAGAGAGAGAGAATTTTAAAAATATTTTTAGTTCTCGGCGGACACAACATCTTTGTTTGTATGTGGTGCTGAGGGTCGAACCCAGGCTGCATGCATGCCAGGCGAGCGCGCTACCGCTTGAGCCACATCCCCATCCCCCTTAGAAGTCTTTTGTCCTTTGCCTGTCCTAACATTAATCTCTGGAGTTCAGTATTGGTCTTTTTCTTTTTTTCTGCATAATGTCCTAATGTCTAGGTGTTTGATTCCCATTTGTGCATTAGTTGTTAAATTACTGTGGGAGCCTTTTTGCAGAATGTTGACTAGTCGAGTGTCTTCCTAACCTGGGGAATGAAAGGCAGGCCTGGGCAATCTCTCTGAGGTTCAGATCCAGGCTGCCTCTTCTAGATATCCACAACCAGTTTGAAATCAACATGGCCAGTGGACCCCTTCATCCCACTCTTCCCAGACTCTCTGCCTTAGAAGAAGGGTACAACTGCTTGTTCCTTCCTGCCTCCGCACAGCCTGGATTTCCTGTGATCTTCTTCCTCTGCTTTTGTTTCTGTTATTAACCCATTGACCCCCATGCTCCCCATGGAGTTCTCAATCTCTCTCCCTCTCAGTCACAAGGTTTGCTCTCCTGTAGCCCCCAGTTCCCTGCTTCCCTTTGGAGGAACTCTCCATGTGTCCCCACCGTCTGCACTCATGCCATATGCCAGGAGTCTGTGCTGGGCACCATCCTCGGCATACCTCCATCACAGCACCCAGCACTCTATTATTTCTGCCTCTGGGCACAATTATGTCTTCCTCTCTCCCATCTCATTATAAAGTGCTTTGAGGGCATCTTTCTAGATGCTTTACTTCTCTATGACTCACTTTCCTCATCTATAAAATGGACAAAATAATGCCTACTTGATTAAGTGGCTGTGAGGATGGGTGAATCCATAAAAAGTCTTTTTTTTTTTTAAATCAATTTCTGGATCATAGTAAATGCTCAATTACCGTAAGCTATTATTAGCAATATTATGTTACCTAAATACCTAATATGTTGTCTATCTCACAGAGGGCTTTATTTTTATGATTTGCTGAAACAGTGACAGAAAATACTAGGACTTTTTTTTTTTTTAAACTGTAAAATAAAGATCTAATTACCTATTCTGACTGAGATTTTCTTGAGTGGAGAAAAAGAAAAGAAAGAAGAGAGGGGAAAAGCATAAATATTTTTTTCAGAGAGGAAAGTGGTTTCTTTTCTCCTGTACCCAGTTCTGATTTCCTTCCTGGTATCTTTGCTGGTCTTTTCCAAACTTGGCAACTTTGTGGTTGTGAAAGTCTGTTGAAAGACTGGTGAGAGGGTTGGGCGGTAACACCTCCGGTCACCCCCTGGTTGTACCTGGCAGTATCAGCTCCTTGGAGCCGTCTGGGGGTGGTAGTAGGTGAACTCAGGTATCTTTTTTTTTTTTTTTTTCCTGATGTTCTGCAATGAGAATTTTTTTTCCCTTGAAGTTTGAACAAGGGAGTGAGTCCAGACTACACCACTCCTGGTTATATTTATAAGTATCATATCTATTCTTTGAGATCCAAACTTTGGGGAATGAATAAATTTGAGGTTTATCTCATGTTGTTGCTCAGTGTTTTTTTTTTTTTTTAATTCCTCATGTACCTGAAATGTGCTCTGACTGACACAGAATTTAAATATGCAGTAATAGGAAAATTTATGTCTTATGTGATATACTTAGTTTAAACCATGTCCATGTTTGAACTTACAGGAAGAGAAATTCTCACAGCAAATAGGGTGGAAAATGTTGAAAGTCTGACTTTTGACTGGATTTCTAAGAATCTCTACTGGACAGACCCTTCTTATCAGACTGTTAGTGTCATGAAGCTTGCTGATAAATCCAGACGGGAAATCATTGAGAATTTAAATAATCCCCGGTCAATTGTGGTTCATCCTCTTGCTGGGTAAGTATGTGCCTGTTTTTCTAAGAGCTTGAAACCATGCCTCTTTTAGTCATGGAAAAGTGATGTCCTAGGGGTTTTTGGCAAGTTTAGTAAATTTAAGGTTGAACCATGTAACTTGAAATCACCTTAATTTTTCCTCCTTTAGCATAAGCTTAAGTAATCATTTTATCTCCTTCAAAAAACTATTCTCAGTCTCAGCTTCCCTGGTTTGTACTGGTGTGGTTTTTTCATGGTTGCAGAGGACCATGGTTGTGGTACAGATTTGTTGGGGAAGGAACAAGATACACAGTAGAGTTAGGAGGAAAGACTCCAATTCTTGCCCTGTTTTAATGAATTCTTATGAAATGTAACAAAACATGCTTAATCATTCGGTAGTTTTCAGAGTAAGAAGTCTTCCAGATCACAGGCAGTTTCATGTCATTGATGGGGATCAGAGAAGAAAAGACAGAACAGTCCACAGTATTCCTTTTTGGTTCTTACCGTTCTTTTAAAATATGTTTCATACAAATGGCGCTGGGAAACTGGATATCCGTATGTAGAAGAATGAAGCTTGACCTTTATCCCTTGCCCTTGTAAAGTCAACTCAAAGTGGATCAGAGACCCAGGAATGAGAACAAACTCGGTAACTGCTAGAAGAAAATATAGATCCACCACTCCAAAATGTAGGCTCAGGAACTGACTTTTTAAAAATCATAATTATTTTAAAAATCATGATTATTTGTAGATGACATAATACCTTTATTTAATTTATTTATTTTTATGTGGTGCTGAGAATTGAACCTAGTGCCTCACACATGCTAGGCAAGCGCTCTACCACTGAGCTACAACCCCAGCACCAGGAAATGACTTTCTTAACAAGATTTCTAAAGTGTAAGAAATAAAACCAAAAATCAATAGATAGGATGGCATCAAACTTAAAAACTTCTGCACAGCAAAGGAAACAGTTAAGAGTATGACTAGATAGCCTACAGAATGGGAGAATGTCTTTGTTTCTTGGATAGGGCATTAATATCTGGAATATATAAAGAACTCAAAAAGCTTGACACCAAAAAAAAAATCAAATAACCCAATTAATAAATTGGCAAAAGAACTAAACAGATACTTTTCAAAAGAAGAAATACGATTGGCCCAACAAATATATGAAAAAATGTTCCACATCGCTAGCCATCAGGGAAATGCAAATCAAAACTACATTGGGTTTCAACTCACTCTAGTCAGAATGGCAATTATCAAGTATACAAATAATAAGTGTTGGTGAGGATGTGGGGAAAAAGGTACACTCATAGGTTGTTGGTGGGACTACAAATTAGTGCAGCCACTCTGGAAAGCAGTATGGAGATTCCTCAAAAAACTGGGGTGGAACCACCATATGACTCAGCTATCCCACTCCTTGCTATATATCCAAAAGATAGCTATAAAACACTAGAGGGATATAGCCACATCATTGTCAATAGCAGTACAATTCACAATAGCCAAGCTAGGGAACCAATCAAGGTGCCTTTCAGCAGATGAATGGATAAAGAAAATGTGTGTGTGTGTGTGTGTGTACACGTACACACACACACACACACACAATGGAGTATTACTCAGTCATAAAGAAGAATGAAATTATGACATTTTCCAGCTAATGGATGGAACAGGAAACTATCATACTAAGTGAAATAAGTTAGACCCAGGAAACCAAAGTTTGAATGTTTTTATCTGGTCTGCAGAAGCTAGTCCAAAATAAGGGTCAAAAAAAGAGAGAAAAAGAAAGAGAAAGGTAAAAGTAGGGACATTCCATCATAATAGAAGAAAGATCAGTAGGTTAGATGAAGAGGACTGTTTTGGCCAGCCTTTTTTTCTGCCGTGACTAAAAGACCTGATAAGAATAATTTTAGAGGTTGAAAAGTTTATTTGGGGGGTTCATGGTTTCAGAGGTCTCAGTCCATAGACAGCCAGCTTCATTCCTTGGCGCTTTAGGTAAGGCTGAATATCATGTCTAAGGGAAGCAGCTCACATGAGTATCCGAAAGGTGGTGGGGGGAGAGAGAGAGAGAGAGAGAGAGAGAGAGAGAGAGAGACACTAAGCTCAGCTCACCAAATATATACCCCAAAGCCATGCCCCCCAGTGACCCACCTCTTCCAGCCACGTCCTACTCACCTTCAGTTACCACTCAGTTAATCCCTAGCAGGGGACTAATTCACTGATTAGGTTAAGGCCTCATAATTCAATAATTTCACCTCTGAATGTTCTTGCATTGTTTCACACATGAGCTTTTGGAGGGCACCACACATCCAAATTGTAACAGGGACTGAGGGGGAGGGAGAAGGGATGCTATAAGGGAAGAACAGTGAAATGGACCTGACCTGACTTTCCTATGTATATATGTGATTATGCTACACTGAGTCCCATCATCATGTACATCCACAAGACACAAATTAGATAAAGAAAACCTAAAGGTAAATAGCAGAAGGATTAGTAGAGTAAAGGGAAGGGAACAGGGAGGGAGGAGGTGAAGGAGAGGAAAAGTACTGGGGATTGAATTAGAACAAAGTATATTCCACCCTAATGTTATATATAACTAAAGAGAACTAATAAAAAGGGGACCAAGGATGGGGAGGAGGGGAGGGCAAGAGAAACGACTGGGGAGTAAAGGTTCCAGATCACGTTGTGTGCATGTTTGAAGATATCATAATGCATTCTAATTTTATGCATAATTATAATGCACCAATTAAAAATAAATAGGGGGAATAACAATAGTGTAGAAGAAGGAGATCATGGAGGGGAGGGGAAGGTGAGAAGGGAAAAGGGAAGTACTGGAGATCAAAATGGAGCAAACTGTTTTATGCATTTATGAATATGTCAAATGAACCCCTCTATCATGTGTATCTATAATGTAATAACAAAAAGATTTTAAAAATATGTTTAATAGCTGACATGATTGTTTGCAGCAAGGTAGGTTGTTGTATTTGGATGGAAAAAGAGCAGTGGTCATTCACTGAAGCCCGATTCATTCATGTAGTGAGCCCTTAACATACATACTCTCATCTAATCCTGAAACCAGTTTGTGAAAAAGTATGTATAATGCCCATGTTAGGGACTTGTGGAGGACTCAGTCATTGCTGAGAGTCAGTGTTCATACTCCAGCTCTATTCTATGTACAGCTCTGCCTAACCCAGGTCTCTCTGCCACCTCTGCAGTATGCACTTTATGTTTTTATTTTCTCTTTGTAAAACAATATAAGAAACATACTTTAAATCTGATATCATTGATAAGAAATTCTGTGGTCCTATAGAGAGGTAAACCATAGATTTTTTTCTAGGTGAATTTATCTTAACTAACTCTTTGGCATGTGGTTTTGTAAAGTGGTTAAATTCTTAATGGCTTTTTCATTTAAAATGATATGAGAGGCTGGGGCTGGGGCTCAAGCCGTAGCACTCTCGCCTGGCATGCGCACGGCCCGGGTTCGATCCTCAGCACCACATACAAACAAAGATGTTGTGTCCACCGAAAACTAAAAAATAAATATTAAAAAATTCTCTCTCTCTCTCACTCTCTCTTTAAAAAAATAAATTAAATAAAATAAATGATATGAAGTCACATTTCAGAAAGTCACACTTTGGAAATGACTAATTTTGATTCCTAGGGATTATATGAAAGAAGAAAGGATTTCTTTCCCTCATAGACTTACATTTTTTTCCCAGTCCTCATAATAAAAACAAAAAGATGCTTTGAGTACGATATTGTTTGAGTATTATATTGATTTGGATGCTTTTCTTCATCTGGGATGAAATATTTTTATTGCAAATTTATCAACTCCTTATAGAAAAATAATAGGAAGTAATCTAGTAGATCTAGTGGGTCCTGGATGTTTAATCCAAAGAGAAAGAGAGGATACAATCTACTTTATTGCTCATGGTGGTCTATTATTTTATTTCAATAACATGGAGTATTGGGTGACAATTGTTTTAGGTTTTAAATTCTAGGACAGTGATTTTCTGTTTTGGATGTTTATTTTAAGACCCTGTGTGTTTTTCACTTTGATTACATATTGATAACTGTACTTTTAACTAAGAATTATACTAGTTATACAATAGTCTGTTAAGCTTCACAGCATATACAGAAAATGAAATTAATTGCAGCAAGTCTCTAGAAAATTTGTTTTTGTGAAATCCCTGAGTCATGTAATTTATCCCTCGTTAACATCCATGATTTATTACCTCTTTTTCCAGGTATATATTCTTCTCCGATTGGTTCCGTCCTGCTAAAATTTTGAGAGCATGGACTGATGGATCTCACCTTGAGCCTATAGTGAATACCACTCTTGGATGGCCCAATGGATTGGCCATTGATTGGGGGTAAGTAGGAATCACCCCATATCATTCGTTACTGAGTTCCCACTTAGTGCAACACAGATATAAGGCAAAGTGGGGTGCCATGATGGAGTAAGGAAAAGCACACTCCATGTCCTCAGAAACTTTTTAATCATTAATTGAGATGGGAGGAGGATGTTAAATGATATAAGAACACAAATGTGGTTGGCCAGTTACTGGTGGGATGAAAACCAATGCTTTCATGAATTTTCTGAGGAAATTTCTAGAAGCAGCAGAATGACAGGGAATAGTGGAGGGTCGAGAGGGAGGAAGTGAGTCCCAACCCTATTAGTAGTAGAATAAGGATTTGATGAAACACTGGTCATGTGTAATTTCCTCCAGGGGTGTCTTGAGGATAGGAAAATTTTGAAGTCAGTCAACAAATGTGTATTTGTTTATATGCATTTTGGGAGAATTTTGAGGTATGAGATATAGTTCTAGAAAATTGATGATCCATCTAGGAATATGGAAAAGGAAAATATAAATTAGCTTATGAATATGATATGCCAAAGTAGTTATGGGAGGGAAAAAAAGAAGAAATGTATTTAGCCTTTTAAACATAGGTGATATTACCAATATTTTTCTTAACTTATGGATTTTACAAGGAGAAAAATAAAATCCCCACTCAAAGATAGCAACATTTCAAGTTTTCAAAGATAGTTAATTGAAAGTCATTTGATGAAAGTAGCTCTCCTTTTCTGAGAGACGTAAAACTTTATCAAACTTTGTTTGATAAAGGTGTTGATTGAGCATTTTGATTTTGAATTCCCTCAGGGTGATCTGCTGGTTTTTGAATAATGGATAACTTAAGTATTTTATTGTTTTAGTGCTTCACGATTATACTGGGTAGATGCCTTTTTTGATAAAATTGAGCATAGCACCTTTGATGGCTTAGACAGAAGAACTCTGGGCCATATCGAGCAGATGACACATCCATTTGGACTTACTGTCTTTAAAGGTATGTTTTGAATCAATAAAAAGTGTGTGTTGTTTTATACTTTGCAATTCATAACAGTGAAACCATTCTCATTGGTCTCTCTCACAATTTCAGAAAAGCTTTAAAATACAAAAAATTAAAATGGTGCTATTATATGTAGACAAAACAGTTGGTTTGTTGATAGAAAATAAGAGTTTTAGAGTGTGTGTTGCTTTGGACACATTTAGATAAGAATGTCGATAACTTATTTAGGCATAGCACTTTGTAGTTTACACTTCTACAATTCCTGAGTATGTACTTACATAACTAAGTTTCACGTGAAGAAATAGTAAATCACTGCCTCATTGAATGATTTAAAGTCATTCAAGAATTAGATAGCAAGAGTTGTTTGTAGGAACTATTATAGGATTTCATTGTTCTCTGTTTGCAAGAACCTCATCAGAACCTTGTAGAAAAATGATTACGTATATCCATTGAATAATTTTAAAGCTTGTTCATCAAAATGTTGGATCATTATCTTTGTTGTAGAGAAATGTTAGGGTACTACTTAAAAAAACAGAAAGACATGATTATGTCTTCAACACTCTTTCCAAAGAATATTCATGTTACTCGTAGAGATTGCTGGGAAGCTTGGGATTCTGGGAAAACACCGCCACCATGATCCCAGCCAGTGCTTCAACCGTCCTTCTCTCAGCTGCCTTCTTGAGTATAGGCAAGCTTCTCTGAGTTGAGCTGCTGGGGATAAGAGTGTAAACTTGCACCATGAAATGGCTAGTTTGTTTAGTTTTGAAAACAAAGCTCTGTGGATGGCTGGATAGCTTGTGTACTTCACACAACTGTTAGGCCAAGAGTGAGGAGAGATTGATGTCTATTCTGGTTATGCATGAAAAACCATAACCAGTTCAAAGGGTGACACTATATAGTGACTACCTAAGGCCCTAACTATATGCTAGTTTTGAAACTACTTTGAATAATCAGTATAATCCTTTAAAAAAAAAAAACCTAGACATTGGCCATAAATCAACAATTTTCTCACGTGCATAGAGTGTGGAATGAAGAGTAAATATATTGCATATTCCACCCTACTGTCTGTTTTATCTTTGGAGTGTGTGGTATTTAAAAATATTTAAGACATGCTCTTGTGAGATTTTTGGTGAGATGAGTCAATTATAAATAGTCACCCTCTCAAGTATTTACTCCCTTTTCTCTAATGATATCAGATACATGCTATTTGCTCCTATATAGGAATATTATAAGAATGTTGTATTCTCTCTGCTCTGTGCTGAAATGTTTTGGGATTGAATAAAAATGCAATTTCAGTACCTTTTGGTTTCATCAGTATGAACAACAAGTTGAGTGCATTCCCATGAGAACAACATGACATTCCCAAAATAACGAGAGCAGTTTCTTCTAACCCTGGCTCACAGGGTGGATCTCTAATGGAAAGTTCTTTTGTTGTGTCATATCGTGGACATTATGCCCCTTTTTACCAACAGACTAGGTCTTGTTGACTATACATTGCACAGGACTGAAAGTTTGATTGAGCTCCTAATCTACTTAAATATGTTATTATATATACCTCCTGAATGGTGGGACTGACTTTGTCATGGAAAAAAGATTTAGTGAGTCCAATAACTGATTGGTCATTGATTAGACCACAGATAAGGAAAATTGATCTCATGATCAAATTTGTGGCATCTTAAATGTTTTCTAGTTAATTGGAATTTTCAACGATAGCGCAAGAGAAAATCCATGTTGATTCAGTTGTTTCTTTTGAACACTGTTGATGTCTATGTGTTTACTTCCTTGCTTCAGTAGTTAGTATAAAGTGAACATGATTAAATTTTTGTTAGGTTAAAATCTTATGCTGCCTCTGTTTTGCCATTCTGAGCACCATGGAACATGGATGAGGTTGCAGGTATATGAACCCTTATGTTGATATTTTTACCAATCCTCAAACATACTGAAAGTTCCTCTTTGGACTAGATTTGTACTTTTCCTTCTCAATAACTTATTAAAGTTGAACATTAAAAAATTAAGCATTCTCATGAAGACATGGGCTACAGAATTTTGGACTTGGAAGGGATGTTAGATGTTGTCCGTTGTCTTCACTTAGTTAAGTATTTTGCTTACCCACTAGGCAACTTAATGTTGGGAGAAGAGCCTAGTCTTAAGGGGCCTCATGTAGAACATTGAGAATAAATAAAACCTTTTTCCTATCAAAGTTTAAATCTAAATGCCATCATAAAATTTCATGCATACTTGCCCTGAACCTGACCATGATATTAATAAAATGTAGACTTCCAAAGAGCATTTATAGAGAATAACTGGTCATGGAAAATGGTTACAGAGACAGATTAGAGATATTTGTGGGAGAAGAGTCTTGGAATTGTGAGAAGCATTACAAGCCTATTGCTTTCTCTCAGAAATTTATTTATAAGTAAATTAATTTCCTAAGTGATTTATTTATAAGTAAGTGATGAGTGAAAATACAAATCCTCTATATTCCTTTTTAGATTACGTGTTTTTTACCGATTGGAGACTGGGTGCAATTGTTCAAGTCAGGAAAACTGATGGGGGAGATATGAGGGTCATTCGAAGTGGCATCAACAACATAATGCATGTGAAGTCATATGACATCAGCATCCAGACAGGTGAGTGAGCTTGTCAAGTTTTTTTTTTAATATATCCATATAAAAAGTACATCCATATCAAATATGGTGACTCCTTTTTGCTTTAAATACTTATTAATATAGCTCTTGATAATTCTATATTCCTGTCACTCTTTAAGTCTCTTCAATTCTGAAAGTGTCATTGAGAAATACACATTTTTAGCACTTTTCTGTTTTAAATAGAAATTTTGACCTTCCTTCTCTCAGCCCCCTTCTTGAGTGTAGACAAGCTTCTCTGAGTTGAGCTGCTGGGGATAAGAGTGTAAACTTGCACCATGAAATGGCTAGTTTGTTTAGTTTTGAAAACAAAGCTCTGTGGATGGCTGGATAGCTTGTGTACTGCACACAACTGTTAGGCTCCTATCTACTTAAATATGTTATTATACCCTGCTGTTTGTAGCAGGGTATAATAACATATTTATTATGTTATTACTTCCAAGAGGATGCTTGCTATGTTTTAATACTGGGTATGAACAGTGTTCTTTCCTGTTTGTGTGCCTTCATGAATCAAACCTGTGATCAATGTAATGGGCATGTGCAGAACTTACTCTGTCAGGGCTTTGCATTTTCCATTTTCAGGATCTAACTACTGCAGTCAACCCAGCCACCCCAATGGCGATTGCAGCCACTTCTGCTTCCCAGTGCCAAATTTCCAGCGGGTATGTGGGTGCCCCTATGGAATGAAGCTGACTTCCAATCACTTGAATTGCGAGGGAGACCCGGTCCGTGAACCACCCACTGAGCAGTGTGGCTCTTTTTCCTTCTCCTGCAACAATGGCCGATGTGTGCCCAGTTACTACCGCTGTGATGGAGTTGATGACTGTCATGATAACAGTGATGAGCATCTGTGTGGTGCATCTAGTAAGTAGCTGTGCTCGGGAGATATTTCCTGAAGAAGCTTAGGTTATTTATATAGGAAAAATATCTTTTAGAATTTCAGATTCTTAACATGTACTCCAAAGGCTTTTAGGAAGCTAAGCAATAAATGCCTTTCATATTATGTCACAAATAGTTTCCAGCGTTGATTTAGATTATCTTCAATAAATTTGTTTGGATATTAGCTCTTTGGACCAATTCAGAGTCATTACATCTTGATAAGCACTCAAAAAGTTGAGTCAGGATTAGGGATCTGGCTTAGTGACAAAGCACTTGCTTAGTATACATGAGGCCCTGGATTCCATACCCAGCCCCTGCCCCCCACACAGTTGAATCAAAATGGATATAGCCTTTAGTATCTGAGAAAATATTATCACAATGGGTACTTGCCATCATAGTCTTTGCAAATGTCATATGTTATATTTCTTTTCCCCACCTTTTGGAGTAACATGAATTAAGGGTGAAATGATGGTGGTCTTAACCTTTACCTCTTATTTGCTGGTTTTCTAGTCTTTGAAGTTTGAGGTTTAATAAAATGCTATTACAGAAGGCATATGTATCCCATTGAAGTTTTAAACAACAAAGTTAGAGGACAGTTTAAATTTTAGAAATCTCTGTGAAGGTGAGACCAATAGTAATAGTAACCTGTCTTTTTGGAGAAAAAGAAGAGTGCCAGAATTGAAAAATAGAAGTGTTCACTTGTGCAGTTTTTCTGGAATTTCTGAAAGTTTCATCTTTCTATGAATTATTTTCCTGCTTCTCAGATTGTCCATTTGTACTTGGATATTTTATCTATTTCAAGGTTTCTGTAGACTGAGTTTGAAATTATGATTAGAGGAAGTGAAGCTTCCTTTAGAAGTTAAAGATATACCTATTGACCACATCAACTACAGCTTGGATCTTAGGCAGATTTCTTTTCTTTTTTTGGTACTGGGGATTGAACTCGGGCACTCAACCACTGAGCCACATCCCCAGCCCTATTTTGTATTGTATTTAGAGACAGGGTCTCCCTGAGTTGCTTAGTGCCTCACTGTTGCTGAGGTTGGCTTTAAACTCATGATCCTCCTGCCTGAGCCTCCTGAGCCTCTGGAATTACAGAAGTGCGCCACTGTACCTGGTGATCTTAGGCAGATTTCTAAGTCTCTCAGAGTCTCAGTTTTCTATATTTGTAAACTGCAGATAATTATACATACTTCATAGTATTGTTGTGAGAATTAAGAGAGGATATATATATATCCTTACAGATATACAAACATAAACATATTAAGTGTACATATAGTACTTAGAGGATTTTGATGATTAGAGGGTATCATTTGATGCACATCTCTCCGTATTTTGTATAATGCTCTCACTGAAAAAGGAGAGCCTTTGGCCCACAAGGCAAGAACTCATGTAAAATGCTGGAAAAGCAAATATCTTCATGACCGGTTCACTGCTTTGCAGATAACACCTGTTCGCCCACGGCATTCACCTGTGCTCATGGAGGAGAGTGCATCCCTGCACAGTGGCGCTGTGACAAGCAAAATGACTGTGTGGATGGCAGTGATGAGCAAAACTGTCCCAGCCGCGCACCTACTTCCTGCTCAGAGTCCTACTTCACCTGTGATAATAATCATTGTATCCCAAGGGACTGGCTCTGCGACACAGACAATGACTGTGGGGATGGATCTGATGAGAAGTACTGCCGTAAGTTTTGCACGGGTGTCTCTTGGTTGGTCAGCTAGTCAGTAGACCAAACTATTTTCATTGTTCTTTGGGCATTCTTATTCTGTCTGTCCCTCTGTGTATCAATGGGCTGTAAAAATCAAGGCATGTACCAGAGTCCTAAAGATCTTAAATTCTGTGGAAGAAAATGGGCTGTTCTCTCACGCCAAACATTCAGATAGGACCTGAAAAAAAGTGGCACATACCTATACTCCCAGTTACTCAGGAGGCTGAGGCTGGAGGATCTCTTGATCCCTGTAGTTGATAACAGCCTGGACCATATAGTGAAACCCTGCTGAAAAAAGAGTCCCTCAACTAACTATTCAGATATTTAAAGCAAATTTAAGAAATCATATAAACATAACCAGACACTTGGCAATGGATTTCTTGGATATTTTTGTTCTCGGTTTTAGTTTTTCCTTGGACATCTCAGTCAGGAGATCAAATGGTATAGAGCTGTATGTGGTATTGACTTGTACAAATTCACCCTTTCAGCTATCATTTGTAGAATAGCTGCTAATGTTATATATAGTGTTTGTCCTTAGACTGTGGTAAGGAGAATCATAGAAGGCAAAGACACTTAAAGCAAGGTAGACAGTTAGGAGGGCCTTTGAAGTGGTAGATACAATTCTTTTCACTTGATGTAAGGCAAAAAGACAACAGAATAATAAAGGTGTACAGAAAATTTAAATTTCTGGTACTCTTACCTACCTGGTTTTCCTCTTTCCAGTTCTTACCCTTTTAAGTTATTGTTCATTTGCATGTCTGCAATGATAATTTAAGGTGAAGCAGAATTTACTCTCCAGAGTAAATTCTAATCCTGGTTGTGTGATTAGGCAAGTCAGTTTCCTCTTGGAGTAGATGAACTTTAAAGTCCCTTCTAGTTTTTGCATTCTATTCTAGTTTCTGCATTTAGCAAAACTTGAAGGTGTTTTAACAAGGTAGGACCCTGGTTTTTGTAATTGTTTAGACTTTATATCAATCCCAGTCATTGTGATCTGTCTATACACTGAAGCTATTGACATGTGGGTTGCAGTTCCCATGTTGCCTCCTTGGGCTCCATTGCTTAGCTTCAGTCGAGTCACGGACTTAACAGTGTTTGTGAGATGTGGTGGCTGTCCAAGCCCTTCATGTTTACTTGCTAAATGTAGTCAGTTTTCAAGACGCAATCACACTTTCTGACTCTCCTCTGTATTCTTTTAATTTTTGATTCCAAAAATTGCCTAGTTTTAAAAGTTCTCATGTTGCTGACTCTGACAATGGGGTTCATTTGACAGAATCTTGAACCCACGTATAACCGAGAAAACTTGTGTAGCTTCTTAGTATTTTTCGATTTGGCTCTGGTACATGTTGAACAGTAAATAAACTTACTTGGCTTTGTTTACATTAGAAACTTCCGGGACATGCCAACCTAGTCAGTTTCGTTGCCCCAACCATCGGTGTATTGACCCATCTTATGTCTGTGATGGGGACAAGGACTGTATTGATGGATCTGATGAGGTCGACTGTGGTAAGTGGATTGCTTTGCTTCCCCCCCCCCCTCCTCAGTGTTTACAGAAATCTCAGTGTTTGGTCATTTTCTCTCTGAACTAATTCTAATGTTTTTCTCTTCCATTGTCAGTATTAAACTGTACTGCTTCTCAATTCAAGTGTGCTGATGGGAGTAAATGTATTAGCAACAGTTACCGTTGCGATGGTGTTTTTGACTGCAGCGATAACTCTGATGAGGCAGGCTGTCGTAAGTACCACCCATCCAGTGTGTTTCAGACAGGGGTCATGTCATTGTTACTTGTTGATGCCACTGCACATATTCTCTATTCTGACAAACTGGAGGGCAGAAATCCTGAACTGAAAAATATTCTTAAAACAATCAGTATTGAACTACAATGAAATTGCCTAGGCCTTACAATATAATGATTTATCATTAGCAATTCAAGTGGGCACTTCAGATAGTTTTCCAGGTGGGTTAAGCATTTCTTAGATATTTTTGTTCTTGGTTTTAATTTTTCCTTGGACATCTCAGTCAGGAGGTCAAATGGTACAGAGCTGTTTGACTTGTGCAAATTCACCGTTTCAGCTATCATTTGTTGAATAGCTGCTAATGTTATATGTAGTGTGGTAAGGAGAATTATAGAATTATAGAAGGAAAAGACACTTAAAGCAAGGTAGACAGTTAGGAGAGCCTTTGAAATGGTAGATAAAATTCTTTATTATTATTATTATTATTATTATTGATTTTTAAATTCTAATTTGTTATATATGACAGCAGAATGCACTACAATTCATATTATACAATTTTTCATATCTCTGGTTGTATACAAAGTATATTCACACCATTTGTGTCTTCATACATGTACTTTGGATAACGATGTCCATCTCATTCCACCCTCATTTCTATGCCCGTGCCCCCTCCCTCCCACTTTCACTCCTCTGCCCTATCTAGAGTTCATCTATTCTTCCCACGATCCCTGCCCCACTATGAATCAGCCTCCTTATATCAGAAAACATCAGAATTTGATTTTTTGGGATTGGCTAACTTCACTTAACATTATCTTCTCTAACTCCATCCATTTACTGCAAATGCCATGATTCTATTCTCTTTTATTGCTGAGTAATATTCCATTGTGTGTATATACCACATTTAAAAAACTCCATTCATCTACTGAAGGACACCTAGGTTGATTCTACAATTTAGCTATTGTGAATTGTGCTGCTGTAAAGAATTATGTGTCTGTATCCCGGTAGTATGCTGTTTTAAGTCCTTTGGGTATAAACCAAGGAGAGGGATATAGCTGGGTTAAATGATGGTTCCATTCCCAGTTTTCCAAGGAAGAAGTGGTAGAAGTGGTAGATGCAATTCTATGGAGGTTTAGAGAAAAGAAATTCCTTCTAGTCAGGGGATTCAGTGAGAATGTTATATAATATAAAATCTATAGTATTCACAGGCTGGAAACCTAAAATAACATGATTTAAAAAATTGCCTACTGATCATGTTTAATGAATCTTAGGCTTGTAAAAAAATCATCAACGAGTTGGTCATTTGCATGAACAGTGGTGTTTTGGACAATAGATTTTCATTAATTTTCCTGAATTAGGAAGGAAGTGTATAAATCTATGGGTAAAAAGGAAAGTTAACTAAAATGCTTACATACTTATTATTTGTTTGGCAAGAAAATATTCCTCAATCTCTAATTTTCCTATTGCACATAGAAAACATGGAACTCTCTGATCTGTGGGGAACTGCTAATTCCTCTGACTTGCTGTTGCCTCATGAAGTTCCTGGGAGGAAGCTTGGGTTTAGCTTTAACAAATAGGGAAGCCATTGTTACCTATGCCTCAAAGATTGCTTGATAAATAGTGTAAAGTTTGCAAAGAATCAAGCATTTACTTAATGCTTTTAAGTTTACTTAATGTGTGCTGGTTTCACTGGATATAGAGTTCATTTGAAGGAAAATTAGAACATTTAAACATATGATATTAAGCATATAAAGTTCAATGCAACCATAGCTATTTAAGCTCTATTGAAATGCTATGGTGATTTTAAAAATTTAAAAAAATTTGTTCCCTTTAGATATACATGACAGTAGATATGGTGATTTTTTTTGATAGAGAGATGGAAAAATTATATTATTGAATCTGCAACTGAATGAATATTATAAATGCAGGAAACAGAATGTTCTTTTGATTCAGGTACTCATCTTCTATTCAAAAATTGTGCATCCTGTACTTTGTTGTCATATCCACTAATCTGACACGTAGAAATATTTTATGTACCACAGTGTGGGAGAAGATCCTCTAGCATTTCAGCTTTTACTACTAATTGTGTCATAGTTATTATTCTACCCGCTATTGATCCAAAACAGCATCCTGTGAATCTTGGCTATGGAAGGGGTGATAAATTGCATTCACAAGCTCGTTTTTCCCCATGTGCTTCTCCTAGCAACCAGGCCTCCTGGTATGTGCCACTCAGATGAATTTCAGTGCCAAGGAGATGGTACCTGCATTCCAGACACCTGGGAGTGTGATGGGCATCCAGACTGCACCCAAGGGTCTGATGAGCACCGAGGCTGCGTCACCAAAACCTGCTCTCCGTCTCATTTCCTCTGTAACAACGGAAACTGCATTTACAAAGAGTGGGTCTGCGACGGGGACAATGACTGCAGGGATATGAGTGATGAGAAGGACTGCCCTACTGAGGCCTTTCACTGTCCTAGCTGGCAGTGGGAGTGTCCTGGCTATAGCATCTGTGTGAATCTGAGTGCACTGTGTGATGACATCTTTGACTGCCCCAATGGGACAGACGAGTCCCCACTTTGCAGTAAGTTTCCCAACCGCAGTTTACTGGACGTGAATTCCTTCTGAGCAGTAGCCTGGTGTGCCTTGCCATTGTCATAGTCCCTATGTAGCTTTCAGGAAGGGATTTTTAGTTTCTCTATGACTTCAACTCTGTGTAGGGATAAATATAATTGAATTCAAATAAATCATCACTGGATAATATTTCTCATTAAAACCTTTGCACTTGGCTATGTGTTTTTCCTTATTTTCATGTCACCATTTAGAAAAATGAGGCTGAGTGAGGTCATTAGACTGTCAAATTAAATTTGATTCTGTTGGTAATGTGCTCACGAAATTTTCTAACTTCAGTATTTTCTAATTTCAATCAGAACTTGCCACAAAACAAATGAAGTCCAGCGATTTGTGTTTGCTGTGATTGGCATGTGATCCTAATTTCTGTCCTTTCTTTCTTTCCTATTTAATCAATGCTCACTCTCAGATGAACCGCAGCCAGGTATGATTGTGAAGTATCTTAGATTTTTATGATTTCATATGTGTTGTGTTTGTGCTGAAAATGTTCTAATTTTTGTGACTTAACCCTGCTAGTGCATGTTCTATGTCATGACTCTTATAAATAAGTTAGAGTTTTTATGGAAATAGAGGGGGTTTGTATCCCTAGGCATGTGACTTGTCTTTAGGTGGCTTCCAATGTTGCTGTTTTGGCCCTGTGAGTAAGGAATGACAGTGTATTAGTGGATCTGTGCTGTCTAATATTCTGTTACCTTTACCCTTCAATTTGTTTATAGATTTTCTAGCCTTTTCTTTTAAAATATTAAGTCCTGTGTTGCATTTCTATATAGATAGAAGAATTTCAGAGGCAGCAAGTGTGAAGTGATGATTCTTTGCATACATTATCAATGACAACCATATGTCCCCAAGATTCTCTGATTGCACTAAATGGAGTTATGCTGGTGGTGGAGAAAGTGATCCTAGTCCAATGGATAGTAAATCCTCAGGCAAATCAGAGCAGACCTGAATAGCCTGTGGAGTTCAACCAAGTCAATGTTGTTCTTAGCTCTGATCTGGGCATCACATTGAAGGTGGAATGGGTCTAGATGGCAAATATTACATCAGAGAGCATCAAGGAAAGATTTCTGACTTTTTCCCTTTGTGATTCTCTTTCTTTATTCCAGATGAGGACACCTGCTCGAATTTCAATGGTGGTTGTACTCATGAATGTATTCAAGGGCCTTTTGGGGCTAAATGCATCTGCCCATTGGGGTACCAACTTGCCAATGATAGTAAAACCTGTGAGGACATAGATGAATGTGACATTCCAGGCTTTTGTAGCCAGCACTGTTACAATACGAGAGGTTCTTTCCGGTGCTCTTGTGATAAAGAATACATGTTAGAAGAGGACGGGAGGACTTGCAAAGTTACAGGTAATCATTGAACTTATAAATGAGCTAACTCCATTCTGTTGAACTGTACGTGCCAGAGCTTATGATCTAGTGTTGTGCAGAATCATTGGATAATGTTAATTAGGAGTCAGACCAACTTGAATCCTGAAAAGATTTACATAATGTCTTTCAACCTCAAAGTCTTAATGTATTTTGGAAAATAGAGGTTAAACGTTTGTAGGTAGAAAATCATCTTTTTTATTATTTAAATATTTGTAGAACATTTTATTTATAAAATATAAATTTTTAAAACATGTTTTAAAACAAATTATACTTAAACATCTTTTAAAAATTTGTTCTTTTTAGATATACATGATAGTAGACTGCATTTTGATATATTATACATACAGAGAGTGTAACTTATTTTAATTAAGATTCTATTCTTGTGGTTGTACATGATGTGGGGTTTCACTGATTGTGTATTCACATTGGAACATAGGACAGTTATATCCTGTTCATTCTACTCTTTCCTCCTATTGCCTCTCTCTTCCCTTCCCTTTCCTTTGTCTAGTCCAATGATATGCATATATCTTTACATAAGACTTAATAGATTCAGCAGTACTCATTAAGTTTCTATTTGATTAAAGTAGCTATACTGTATATTAGAATATTGATTTAGCTGCTTCCAAAGTCACCAAATGAATAACTATAAAACAAAATGAAAGCTTTTTTTTTTTTAAACAAATAAGTAGGAGTCTGTAGGCAGTCTAGGGAATAGAACTGGCCTGTTATCTTCATTCTGTGACTCTCATCCAGGATTTATTTTTATTTTTTGGCACTGGGGATTTAACCCAGAGGTTACTTTACCATGGTCTACATCCTCAACCCCTTTTACTTTTTATTCTAACTTGCTGAGGCTGCTTTGAACTGTGTTCTACCTGCCTCAGCCTCCTGAGTCGCTGGGATCATAGTTGTGCGCCACCACACCTGGCATGGATTCTGTCTAGGATCCAATGCTTTTGCCTTCTCTCAGAAAGTAGGAAAGGGGAAAACAAAGTGGAGGGCAAGTAGCTTCCTTTTAAGACTGTGGCCTGTGTCATTCTACTCACATCCTGTTGGCCAGAACTTAGTCATGTGGTCACTTCAAATTTCAGTGGAGGCAGAGACTCTGTCTAGCTGGGTGGCTACGTGCCAAGCTAAAACTTGGCATGTCTTATTACTAAAGAGAGAAATTGGGGAAGGGATAATGGGAGACAATTAGAACCTTCTGCTGCAGCAAAATGCCTCAGGGAAAACAAAAATGTTTAAGAGATGATACCTGCTGTGAAAAAGTTGACAGCCTAGTAAAGCAGAGAAGAAAGTACAAAAATAAACACAATGCAAAGAGGACCGTAAGTATAGTTCACTCCAGATGGGTATTTAGATACTTGTTGAAATAGTATTGAAGGAAGAAAGATATTTTAGAGCCTAAAATATTCATGAAAATCAGTTAACTCTTAAGGTTAAAAATATTAAAATAATTCTTACAGGGCTTTTCTCTCCTGATCACTGTAGTTCAAAATCACATCTTCCTTCTGTTATTAAAAGTATTATATGAAATGTTTTGAGACCCTTTAATTGTGTTTTCTCCCAGAATCATTGACATTTTTGCCTTTCCCCTTCTCTATTGGATAGCATCCGAAAGTCTGCTGTTGCTGGTGGCAAGTCAGAACAAAATTATTGCTGACAATATCACCTCCCAGTTCCACAATATCTATGCATTGATCCAGGATGGTTCTCATATTGTAGCTCTTGATTTTGATTCAGTCAGTGGTCGTATCTTTTGGTCTGACTCAAGTCAGGGCAAAACCTGGAGTGCATTTCAAAATGGAACAGACAAGAGAGTAGTAAGTACATTTGTGGGGACCTTCTGCCTGCCTAGTCCTCCCGTCTTAAATCTACTTCTTGTTGTTCAGTAGTGAGAGGAGGCTCTGCCTCTCCAATCCTGGGGTGTTCTCATAGTTCCTTTGAAGCACACCATACTCAGAAGCCTAAAGGTTCCTAGCTCCTAATCTGTGGGTATTTTAGTAAGAGTGTGGTGTCTGAGGGTCCCCCCATGATTCTGAATTCCAGGTCCAGTGATTCAGAGACTTTACCTGGAGACTCTGGAGTCCCTTTTGCAGTCTTTTGTGGATGAGAGTAGAGGAGAGGACAGGAGAGTCAAAGGGTTGCTTTTCCTGGCTTTCTTTTAGTTCCATTTTATTAATCCATCTCCTACAGTTTCAGTTTTCCACCTTTGATTGTTGTTTCCTCTGGCCCTCAGAATTTTATTTTGTAAATGTTGGCACTTAATGAAGATATTCCTCTTGGCATATGAATATATGTTTAAAAAAATTTTAGATGGACACATGCTTTTATTTTATTTTATTTTATTTTTATGTGGTACTGAGGGCTGAACCCAGTGCCTCACACGTGTGAGGCAAGCGCTCCACCACTGAGCTACAACCCCAGCTTCAAACATTATAAAGTTTAATAAAGTTGCCAAGTTAGCAAATGGGTAGAGCTTTTGTGTAAATGCAAAACCATTTTGAAGTCAGAATGAAACTACCCACTAATTCAATAATAGGATTATCTTAGAATATTCAGAATTATGAAATCTTGTATATTTTTGCAATATTGATTTCCTGGTTAGTTAATGGGAAGACCAAACTTTTCTAAGCCCATCAAGCCACTGTAGCAGAAATTAGATACTTTATTCTAGATTTTCATGTATAGCATCCGTGTTTGCGTTCATTTTCTTTAACACATTTCCTTTACTCACTTGTCTTTAGGTGCACAACAGCGGCGTCAGCATGACTGAGTCTATTGCGGTAGATTGGATAGGTCGGAATCTTTACTGGACAGACTATGCTCTAGAAACTATTGAAGTCTCTAAAATTGATGGGAGCCACAGGATGGTACTGATCAGCAAAAATGTAACAAATCCAAGGGGACTTGCATTAGACCCCAGAATGAAGTAAGACTTAAAATATATATATATATATATATATATATATATATATTTTCTTTACGTGAATATAATGACAGAAATGATAACATGATGTAGCTGATATGCATATCACAGAATTAAATTCTCCCTTGTTTTAGCATGGTAGGCATCAACTGGTTATTACCAACTCTTTCATCTGAGTAGTCTTCCTCATAAAGTACATATGAGCAATTGGTTGTTCACTTTAAGATGGCACTCACTGACTTATGAGCTTGACAGTGCAATGGTTGAAATGATTGTTGTATAAATATATAATTTTCTAACAAACACATGCTATAATATTCCATAGATGGGTCACTTAGCTGTGACTTTGATACCTTATGGTCACAAAAGAAGAAAGCCAAATTTTCCTGCTTGAGTCTCATGTTATTTACTAGAACAACATTTTAAGTTGTATAAAAAAGAAAAATTCTGCCTCCTGGTTATAAAAGGAAGAAAGAAATTTGCCCATGTGTTTAGAAATCTTTGAAGCTTCTTTCCTTGAATTTACTTAGATTCTATAGATTCCTATCTGCAGGATGGTGAATTAGGCAATTTGTGTACAATGTGATGCTGGCTTCCTATATATTACAAAGTATTACACACCAGTAAAATTTGTGACACATCTCTGAAGAGGAATAAATTGATTCTCTTATCTAAAACACAACAGGGTAGACAAACAAGGACAGATGGATTTTTCTAGACCAACTATTTATGGATTGTACACAAACATGATTTGGCATTGAGACATTTCCATGTCATGATGTACGGCATGGTTTATGAACATTATAAAAACACCCAGATGGCTTGTGATTACATTATGATTACAGTTTTACTTTGTGACACTCAGAGGAAATAATAAACTCTGTGCATGCATTCTGAACTAGAGATGATTTATTTTAAGCAGGGCATGAGCAGGATGCTGTGTAATTTTAAATGAGTTATTTTTCATGTTGAAATATGTGCCTTCTAATAGGTAACTAGTTTCTTTTCACAGTGACCATCTAATGTTTTGGTCCGACTGGGGCCATCACCCTCGCATCGAGCGCGCTAGCATGGACGGCAGCTTGCGCACGGTCATTGTCCAGGACAAGATTTACTGGCCCTGTGGCTTAACTATTGACTACCCCAACAGACTGCTCTACTTCATGGATGCCTATCTTGATTACATAGACTTTTGTGATTATAATGGACAAAATCGGAGGCAGGTGGTAGCCAGTGATTTGGTAAGTTGATAGTGAGGAAAACCAAATTAAAACTATGATAGCAGCTAGGTAGAAAACAGACTCCAGAAAACTAAAATTAATTTTTGAGTTATAGGCATTACCACAGCAATGCAGGGAATATCAACAGTAAGGGGTAATTGGTCCATTGTCAGATTGTGACACTCCAGGGAGAATTAATAATAGCTCATATGATTTAGTTGACCTATAGATGCTGATCTGTTGCTTTTAAAAATTAAGTTTAACAGAAGTCAATACCTTAACTATATTTATATATAAATTTATTTATATAAAAATTTATTTATTTATATATATTTATATATAAACTTATTTATATTTTATATTTATATTTCTCAATTAAAATCTGAATATCTTATTTACTTTTTTACACAATTTAAATGGGGAAATTCAGAAAGGGAGTATTTTTCCAAAGGGCTGATATTGTGTTTCATTTAAGATTCCTATTGTTTCTAGTTCCTGGGACTTGAAGAGGCTCTGGGAAAGCCTCCCTACTATGACAGGTTGATGTGATTCAGTGAGTGGCAGTAGCACTGAGAGTCGGGTAGGGGACGAGAACCCCTGGCTGGTCACATCTAACCTGTAACTAGTTGGTGATCCAGACAGAGCCCCTTACTTTCTGTGTTTCAGTTTTATTTTCATTTTTAAAATGGATGCCCAGTGTTATTATCAGAATAGACGCATGTATCTGGAAATAGTTCCAGTGGTACAGTAGGATTTGGGACAAGTGATGTATTTGTTTGCTTGTCTCTTGTGCCATTACTTTCCTGTGTCTTTATTGAACACTCCAGTGCTAAGGGAAAGCGGCTTCCTGAGCAGACATCCTTTGCTACTTAGTCCAGTTGGCCTTTGTTGCTGGGTGAGGTCTTATGGTCCGGTTCTGCTTCTCAGGTGCTGCGGCATCCCTACACCCTGACCCTCTTTGAAGAATCCGTGTACTGGACGGACCGTGCTACTCGCAATGTCGTTCAGGCCAACAAATGGCATGGGGGAAACCAGTCAATTATAATGTATAATATCTTCCGGCCCCTGGGGATCGTCGCGGTTCATCCTGCAAAACAACCAGATTGTAAGTGGGAGTAGTGTGTGGAAACCGCTTCTTCTGGGAATGCTGACTGTGGCAGACTCACGTGTTTAGGCGACACATTTTCCTTTTCTTTTCATGCTTTCCCCAGTCCTTTTATTGCTCTTACTTTTATTGACCCTGGGAAAGTCAAACCTTGACAGGAAAAAGGGCACATCTGGATTGTATCATTTTCTTCTGCAAGCGGCTACTGCCTCTGTTGGCTTTTCTCTGAGACTCAGTGTCCTCATTGGACAATTGCAAACAGAGACCAGACAGCACCTCATTCCTCTTATCCAAAACCCTCAGTGTTTTAAAGCAGCTTGTTGGGAAGACTTGCTTATTCCCGCCCCATGTGTCCCTGATGCTCTGCTTTGGCTACCCCAAGCCACTCTCAAGCAAATGGTGATGGTGGCTGGGTGATTTCAACATTTGGCCTTGGCAGGGTTCTTTCTGGAGGGAAGGGGAAATAAGTCAATCTTAACATACTGTATCCTTGAAGCCTTCCTGTGGCTTCTCATCTCACTTCAGAATCCAGCCCCTCCTCTTGCCTGCCCCCTTTGCCCACTTCCTCTCTCCACTCTGGACTACAGTGTGTTCAGAAGCACCCCAGGCCAGTTCCCGCCTCTGAATTTCTGCACCAGCTCTTTATTCTGCCTGGAACTGCTGTCTTCCAGGTCTCTGCAGGAGTTGCTTCTTCATGTCATTTAGGAGTCTGCTTAAATCTGACTTTCTCAGAGCAGCCATCCTCGATCACCTTATGTAAAATAGCCACTCATAATTCTTTTGCTCATTACCTTCACATTCTATCCCCTAGCCCCAAGCAATTTATGAGTTTAGTTCTGTCTCTTTTGGGTAGAATATATACTCCATGTTTACAATAGATCCAGTGCTGAGAATAGTGTTTGGTATATAGTGAATGCTTAGCATTCTTTGGGGGAATGAATGAATTAGATTAATAATCTAATTCTAACATGAACAGATAGCATCTAGGAAACAGCTTTTCAGCTTGGGATACACACAGGGTTCCTCTTTTCAGACAAAACATGTCATCATTAGAAACCCAAAAGATTATTATCTAACTCAATCTTGGACAATCCCAAGTAAATGTCAAGGTCACATAGCAAACACACAGTCTGGTTTCATTTGCTGCAGAAGGTTCTCTTGTAGGTCCTGCAAGGACACATATTATTTAGCATCATATTTCTATTACTTAGTGGCTGTTGGTTCATATTCTGGTTATCCATCTGTGACCTTGGATAAGTCCCTCCTCCCTCTTGTCCCTCTTCCGAATTTTATGTTGAAAGCAAGTTGTTAAGGAAGGGTAAAGTCATTTAGAGAAAATAAAACAAGATAAGACAGCAGAGGTACTCATGTCTCCAAAAGCAGGGAGCCTCTGGGGGGAAAATGAGAGCAGGACCCTGTGCACTGTGATGTGGGAGCCACTCCATTCTCTGATGCCTACTTCTCTTTTCTCCTACAGCTGTGAATCCGTGTGCCTCTGCCCCCTGCAGCCACCTGTGCCTGCTTTCCTCACAGGGGCCTAAGTTTTACTCCTGTGCTTGTCCTTCGGGGTGGAACCTCTCCCGGGATTCTGTGAATTGCGTGAAAGGTACAGTATGCCCTTCATTATGCTGTGAAGATGGAGCTGGTCACAGTTTGTGCCAGACCTTGGAAGCTCCAAGCCCACTTGGGATTGAACCTGTGCCGTGTTCCCTTTGATAGCGCAGGGGTCCGCGGAGTGTGTCCTGTGTGGGGGGATTTCATTGAACACCTCTGCTGTAATACAGTTTCTGTATATGAAACTAATGTTATGTATGCATATGATTAAACAGTTTTTAACCTCCTATTTTCTCACATTTGACTATAGTTAGACTTTCTGATGAAATATGATAACTGGAAGTTCTTGACATTTGTATCTGGTTTCATTTTCAGGTCCATTGTCTCAATTTTATTTTATAACCAATAGTCCATGTTGTGGTCTGGGTCTTCTGACCCCAATTTCAGTACCTTTAGTACTATCTGATTCTTCAAAAATGGCAGCTGTCTCTTGGTGAAATATTATAAGTGATTGTTGGAGCAATTTAATCTTCATTTCATTGTAGTGTTATTTTACTGGGTTGATTGAAGAGTGTGTGGAGGGTTATTTAAGTACTTTAGGGAATACAAAAGAAAGAAAAGAGATTTCTTCAGGATAATATACTTGTGTATTATAAACTCTTTAAAAGATTATTCTCCATTGCTTAAAAATATGAAAAGTTATTTTAAACTTGTTTCTTTTCATTTCTGAGTAAAGAGGAGTAAATGTATTTTGATACTGATAAAAATAGCTAGAGACAAATACAAATAAAATGTTAATGATAACCTACTCCTAAATGAAGAGATAACAGAATCAGAATCTAGAGTAAAATTCAGATTTCAAATGGAAAATTTATATTGTGTCCAGGAAATTTTAGTGTTTATAGACTGTGCAGGTAGGTCCGTGGGCTTACTGAAAATCAAATTCCATCAGTATGTGATATTGTACAATGATACCTTCATGATGAAAGATTTTTAATTATTGGTAATGCTTACAAAAGGGACTGGCATTTGCCATTTTTCTACAGAGACTTATTATGCTCCTAATCCTTGTTGACATTGTTTAATTTAGTGTGTCCTCAGAGTCTTTCAGGAGAAGATTAATCTGGGCTATAGACATTTTGGATACAAAGCATTCTTTCACTACATAAAGATTTTTAACTGTGCATTGGGGATTGGTGTAATCAATATTACGACCTCATGGTGATTGATAAATGTTAATTCTAAATAGTGCCTCTTGTTGTTTCACAAATGGCTCCACTCGTGTTGTTCCCGTGGGTGGACTTTGCTGATGTGGAACTTTCTCATACTTCACACTTGGTTTCTGAGCTGGGGAACTTGACTGTCAACATATGCTAAGTAAGATGTTTAGAAGATTTAACATATGTAGATGAAAACATTTTACTTGATTTAATTATTCTATAGTCTTAAATAGTGTTGATTAAGTGTCTGGAATATCTTTGGAAGTGCTTGAGTGGTACTCTTACAAAAAAACACTGATATTGTCTAAGATCACCTTTTAAAAACATGCATTAAAATATCTGGAAGAAAACATATATAAGCACCAATAGTGGTTACAGTTAGATGGGGGATTCTGAGAGATTTCTTTTTTTTTTTCACACAAATTTTGTATTATTAAATTTTAAAATGAGAAGTGTCATAAATTTTAAATTTTTATCCTTTTTATTTAGAAAATATGTTCTCCACAATGCCCAAACTAAATAAAATAAAACTCAGTCCAGAAACCCTTAATATCCTCAACTCCATTCAGTCTGAGAGGCCCAGGGCACTTGCTTTAGTATTCTGTGTAAAATGAGAAGAATAAACTCCTTCTACTCCAGGAGAGGCTGCAGGGCCCATCAGTTTGTGACTAAAGGAGGACTTTGTGACTAAAGGAGGACGTTTATTTGAGGATCACCATTTAATGTCACCATTAACTTCCATTCTGACTATGGTCCCTTCACTCCTCTGCCGTCACTAACCATAATGGGATCATGATATGAAAAATAGACAGGAGCAGATGATCTTCAATTTCAGAAGACTTGAGACCTGTGACTGAGTACAGCTTAGCTCTCACCTTTCCTGAGCCCTCTACTGTCTATCCTTCTGTGCCTGCTCCTTCCATATCATAGGAAGTTATCAGGACCCACGGGCCTAGTCTTGAACGCTAGGTGCTAAATTCTTGAGGGTCAAGCCTTTGGCTGATTTGTGCATGTCTGCCCATTGCTGATGGTACTTTGTGGCATATGGTGGCCCTCAGTAAATGTTGAATATTCTGTTTTTCACCCATTTGCCCCTTAGGTAGCTGTATAGTGTCACTTCTTTTTTCTTCTCCACTGAACACTTTTCATGTGCCCCCTCCTGTCCATGCCATCTGTGCCTCACTGGTGGCTTCTTCTCAGGTGCTACTCTGGCACCTTCCCTCACCCTGACTTTTGAACACTGGTTTTTCTGCTCACAGTGTTCATTGGTGGTAAATCTCAGATACACCAGCAGCTATCACATAAAGATCCTGGGAAGATCCCCAGGAAGAAGTAATGGATGAGGAAGGACTAGAACTGGGTGAGGCTCAAGGGAAGAGTCAGGAAGGAATACATTTGTTTTTTTATTTTATTTTATTTTTAAAGAGAGAGAGAGAATTTTTTAATGTTTATTTTTTAGTTTTTGGCGGACACAACATCTTTGTATGTGGTGTGGATCGAACCCGGGCCGCACGCATGCCAGGCAAGCAAGCTACCGCTTGAGCCATATCTCCAGCCCCAGGAAGGAATACATTTGATGAATGAGAACCCAAGTCTTCCAGGCTTTGAATCAGGCTTTGGTTGAGGATTACTCTAGTTAAGCAAGAGGAAGATTACCCATCAAAAAAACAAAAAAACAAATAAACAAACAAAAAATAGGATCAGGTTTTGAATGGGTGAAGTTTAAAATTTTACTATTTCTTAATTTTACAAATTAAGAAATGTTTTTTTCTTATTGAACAAATGAGCATTTATAATATGTAATCAATAAATCATTGAATAGTATCTCATAATTTCAAGGTATGTCTGAAACTTTTATAACCCTCATTTTTCATTATTACAGTTAAACTAAATGAGTGGTCATTTGATAGTCAATATTTAGTACCTGGCCTTTTTGCAGTATAGTGATCTAGTGATGGAGAAGATATATTTTTGGTCTGTGACCTTGGCTAAATAGCTTAATTTTTTTGATCTTCATTTGCAATCTGGGGGAGATAACTGTAACACAGAATTATGAGGCTTCAGGGAAATAAATTAAGTGAAATTATATTTACCTGATGCATGCTGTGTGACACATATAATGTGCCCCATCTCAACATATTGGGGGGGTATTTTGGCAATTGCAGTTGTTCAGAAGCAATGACTGATGTGGAATGTGGAGCAGTGGAGACAAGGGTTTGGGTGTTAATGGCCCATCTTTTATTACATTGTTCCCTGCAGCAGTGACATAGTTCCTGCAAGTTTCATTTGCCTCAGCTGAACACAACTTTGCAAGCTTCTTGTAAAAGACTAAACACTAGATGTTGTTGTACTAAACTCTAGATGTTTATAAAAGTGAAGCATTAATAGTTGCAGATTTATATTAAATCAAATTTAAATTTGTACTAGGTTAGTAAATGAAGAGTTATTTCCCAGTAATAAAAATGGTAAGAACAAGGAAAAGTTAATGAACTGTCAAAAACAAATTAAGAAAAAGTGTCAAGAAAATCCTGCTGATCATGTAAAGCTTCCTGGATGATCAAAATAATGAAAATATCATTTTTAGCTCTTGGAGTTATGCAATGATTAATCATTTTATACTTTCTCTTAATATGTGAAACATCTTATGCTTTTAGAAACTTATATTCTAAAAGTTTCTCTTTTTCTGAGAGAGGAATTCTTGAATTTTATTAATATTGATTATTTGATGATGGAGCAATAACCAGTATAAGTATTAAATTATTTTTAAAAAATGAATTTTTACTATCTGTTCAAGAGCCTAAGTGACTAATGGTTTAATTCAAATATTATGGAGATATTTGCATTTTTGAGAACTTTCAAAGATACTATTTGCATATTCATTCATACATTTATTCAGTTATGTGGTCATTCCTGACCATAAATATTTACTGCAGATATTTATTGGGCAACTATTGTATGCCAGGTTCTGGGTACACAACAGTGAAAAAAATCAAACACAATCACTCTTTGGGAGTGGGAATCTAGTGAGGAAGGCAGATAGTAGTCAACTCGGATGAGATTATAAATTTATTTATTAGAGTAACGAGTCCTGGGTGACATTTCGTAATATTTTATTTTTTGAACATGCTTGAAGCTGGTAAGCTGCCATTTACCAATGTTCCCTTTCGCATTATTTCCTTTTTCTTTTTCCAAGCCCAACTCCCCTTTGCCTGAGTTTCTGGAACTAGTGAGGTTTGTTTGTGTGTCGGAAGGGAAGAACTTTCTAACTGTGATGTTTATCCAACACTGATGGCTCATCAGTGTGAGTGAGGAATTAATGAAGAGTAAGGTGAAGGTCTGGGAATCGTTTAATATAATTTTGACAGATATCCTGTTCTTTTCACAGATGACCAACCTTTCTTGATAACTGTAAGAAGCCATGTGATTTTTGGCATTTCCCTTAATCCTGAGGTGAAGAGCAATGATGCTATGGTTCCCATAGCAGGCATACACAATGGTTTTGAAGTGGAATTTGATGACTCAGAACAATTCATCTATTGGGTTGAGAATCCAGTAAGTTTTGATTAACATTTCGAGTGTGTAACTTCATCTGGAAGAGCCCAACGATGCTGATGCCTTCTGATAGACAGACTTCTGTTGGACGGATAAAAAGGAAATGGTCCAGAAATTAATTTGTCACTAAGTTTTTTTTTTTTTTTTTGATTTAGGGATGGGTCTTAATGTGAACTTGGTTTGGAGTAAAGATAAAAAAAAATAACTCTTTAGCTTTAAAGTACTAAGCAAATAGAAGCTTTGGGGTATTATTTATTGATTCAGCAAACATTTACTAAGTGCTTACAACTTGCCTGACACTGAATGACCTAACTATAGAGCACCTGCTGGCAAACCATAGTCACAAAGCTTTCCCTAGAGGGGCTTTGAGCTTGTAGATGAGATTAATATAAAAATGATCATAACTCAAGACAAAAGCAGTAGTTTCCTAAGGGAATTCCAGGAAAGCTCTTGATGAGGTTGCAGGGGCCTTTGATCAGGATCTTTGCCCCAGGGTAAGAATGCAAGCTCCACTACCCTTCTGCTTGGTTCCCTTTCCTCATGAAAGCAACCTGCAAGAATGAGGAAAGGACAAGGAGAATAGAAAGGAGGAGGGGAGGAAGATCACTGTGTTTGATGTCAAATATGTTCGTGGCTTCTGGTCCACATCTGAGACTTGAGTTATTTTATGACTTTTATACCTGAAGTCACTAAGATATATCTCTGTAGCCCTTACCTGAGGTAAGCTGAATGGTAAGCCTGTGTATTCTTGTGACACACTGAAAATATCAGTGTCTTTGAAAGGTTGCTGGCATTAGCATGACCCACAGCGAGCCCTGAGCCTTTGCCCCCACCATGTGAGGAAAGTTAAAGAAACCCAAGAGCCAACCTGTAGGGGAAGGCTCCTGATGTGGCCTCCATACAGCTCACCTCTGTTGTCTTTCTTCCCAGGGTGAAATTCACAGAGTGAAGACAGATGGTACCAATAGGACGCTGTTCTCTCCTCTGTCTCAGCTGGGGGACTCGATGAGCTTGGCCTTAGATTGGTTATCAAGAAATATTTATTACACAACTCCTGGAAGTCAGTCCATCGAGGTAATGATTCCATAATAATAGGTTTTGAATCCATGTCCAATTGATTCTCAGAAATGGTCTCACATGAATTTTGAAATTATTTGTAAACGAGAAACAAATAGGAGCCGGGCACGGTGGTGCATGCCTGTAATCCCAGTGGCTCAGGAGGTTGAGACAGGAGGATCACAGTTCAAAGCCAGTCTCAGCAAAAAGCAAGGCACTAAGTAACTCAGTGAGACCCTGTCTCTAAATAAAATACAAAAAAGGGATGGGGATGTGGCTCAGTGGCTGAGTGCCTATGGGTTCAATCCCTGGTACCCTTCTCCCAACTCCCCCCCCTCAAATAAGAAGCAAATACAGAGAAGTATTGTTACTAAACATCAAACTCTCTGAAACCAAGGAGGAAAACTACCTTAAAAATAAGTTATTGGAACTATACTACCGTGTTTCTATGAAAGGATATTAGGTAATTTGTAAAAATAATATGTAAGAAGATAAATGAAAATTGAATAAGAAATTTAGCAAAAAGAGAAGATTAGGGTAGGAAGGAAAATTTCGCTTTTTTTTTTTTGTCATCTAATCTTTAATGCTATTTGAGTTCTTAACTGAATTTATAAGTTACCACTATTCTTAGATGGGGATCTCTCTTTGGCTCCAATACAGTTTTCCTAGCAGTAAAACAGAAAGTAGAAACTTGATTCTAATTCCTTTGATACTGTCTTCTTTGAAATAAGTGTTCTTTTTACTCCAATTCCCAGAAGAAATTTTAGATGGGTTGCAAGTTTGAAATCACGTGAAGTAAGTTAAATCCAAGGTAACTTGACTGATATTGTGTGTCTCTGCTCCAGGACAAGGACACAACCTGTACAGGATTATTAATTCATGATAATTTTGAAAGTGAAACTTCCTAAGGCAGAGGGAGGGTTTTCTGAGTTTAGCAGGGTCCTGCAGAGTGACCATTCACTGCTCTGGGTGGGTACCAGCTGGTAAGGGGGCTGCTCTTTGGAGCATTTGAAAAGATAAATGCTGGAGGTGAGGAAAGTGCACAGCAGCCTGGTGACAAATTAGAATAGATTGGCCAGGTGGGGCTCAAGCTGGAACAGTGCTTCCTAGTTCACAAAGTCTTTCCCATCTCATTTACTCCTCATGGCATGCCCAAGGGCAGGTGGACATGCAGCTGTTCCCTTAACACGAAGTGCCCCTGGAGACTCTCTAGTTCAAGCCTTTTGTTTTTTACATAAAAAACTGAGGTTCACAAAAGTGGAAAAGTTGCCTTGAATGGTCAGCTTTTGGATGCTGGGTGGCCGTCTGCCTTTGCATTCTTACAAGCCACAGCTCCAGAAATCCAGGCCTTTCTAATGCCCTTTGACAGTGGCAGAAAGTGTTTTTCACAATCTCAACTAAAAATGATCATCCTCTCATTTAAACAGGAGTAAAATGGACTGCCTATGACCCTCAATAAAAACTCATATTTCCCTGGAGGCCAATCGGTGCAAAGCTGTCTTAATCCCAAATGACAATTATTATGCTCTTTTTGTGTCTCTCAGTTCCTTACTTGGTAAATGTTTTTTTTTTTTTTTTGGTGTGTGTGTGTGTGTGTGTGTGTGTATGTGTGCTTGGGATTGAACTCAGGGACACTCCACACTGAGCCACACCCCCAGCTCCATTTTTGTATTTTACTTAGAGACAGGGTCTCACTGAGTTACTTAGTGCCTCACTGTTGCTGAGGCTGGCTTTGAACTCGTGATCCTCCTGTCTCAGCCCCCTGAGCCACTGGGGATTATAGGTGTGTGCCACCATGTCATAAATGGGGTTCTTGTCTTTTAACCTGGAAGTTCTTCCTAAGCAGGGAACAAGTCTTCTCCATTAGTTAGGTATAATGAAAAGGTGGTCCACTGGAGAATAACTGAGTGTGTTGTGTGTGTCTTGTTAAGGCCACTTCAGCCACATAAACCTAAAGTTTGTAATAGTGCCCCAGTGCCTTGTAACCCAGGGAAAGACATTCAGATTTGGAGTCCAGAGACCTTACTCTTGAGTCCATCCTGCCAACTCCTATTGGTCACTCATTCAGCAAGCACTAGCAAATGTTTTCTATGGGTTAGTCCCATGGTGTGTTCTGAGTGATTAAAAGTTATTTTTTGTCCTTTTAAGTAGCTAACCCATTTGAGAGACACATAAACAAATAACTTTGCTTCAGTATGATAAAGCAGTGAATATAAAGTGCTAGGTCTCAGGTCAGAGGTAGAAATGAAGGGAAAGAGGAGTTAGCTTTCTAGTAGTGGTGACTTGTGAGATGAGCCTTGAAGAATGACCAATACTTGTTTCTTCCAATGAAAAAGTAGGGAAGAGGCATCCCAGTCAGAGATTTAAACATTTAAATGAAGACTCTGAAATATGAAAATGCTTTTTATGACTGGGAATAGCACTGTATTTCCTCAAATTGTGAGCTGTTTGACCTTGGACACATTACTTAACTTCTTTGTGCCTCCATTTCCTTATCTGTGAAATGAGGTAATGGCTCCATAAGTAAAAATATTTTATGGCATTTTGTGAATACAGAGTGCCATTTCCCTCAAATTATCAATGTATTTAGAAGGTCCAAAAGAGAATAAAGATCCAAGGGAAAATGGCCCTTTTAATGCTTTTATGTTATTTTTTCTTAAGTGATATAAATCTAAACAATTCTTTCAGGTGAATGTCATATTAGTTAAGAAAACTGGACTAGTGTTCACTTATTATGTGTATGCTCTTTCAGTGTTGGTAATTGCCATTTAATTCCAGCTTGACAATAGAAAAGAAAGGTGGAAGAAATTGTTCTCCACTAGGGGTAGCTGTGTGTCTATGCTCTAAAGGACTGAAGAGCTTTTAGCTGAAAAATGAAGCCCTCAGAATGGCGGTGAGAGATGCAGTCTGCAAAACAGAGAGGAACTTGATTCTGAACCAAAGAGATCCTTAGGCCTAGGAAAAGGAGAGAGAGGCAGACTGGAAAGAGGAAAATTATCTTAGTCCAAGCGGGAGCAAAAGACATAGGAGATAGCAAAAGATAGGAGAGAGAGAGAAACTGAGAGAAAATAAGGGAGAGAAGAGGGTGTGTGTGTGTGTGTGTGTGTGTGTGTGTGTGTGTGTGTGTGTGTGTTAGGGGAGAGGGGAGGGAGAGAAGCAGACATACAAATAATCTATTTGTACTGCAAGGCAGTTTTGTAGAAAGCCCTGATGCAAGTCAACAGGCATTTTCTAATTCCTTATTAGATGTCTCTCCAGCGGTCTCAGATGCATATTAAAATAGCTGCATTCCCCTAAGAAACATGCTGCTAGTCTGATAATCCAGGTTTCTAGCATGTCTTGTTAACATTGTGATTACAACAATAATAACTAAAATGGTGGCTTTGGGAAAGCCACTAAACCTCCCTAGGCCTCCTTTTAACAACTGTTTTTATTAGTGATTGTAATCATACATAGTCGTGAGGTTCGTTTTGATTTACTCAGACATGCATGGAGTATAATTTGTTCCATTTCAGACCCCAGTACTTCCTCTTTCCCTCCCCTCCTCCCTCTCCCTGCTCCCCTTCCTCTACTCTACTAGTCTTTTTTGTATTTATTGATTGATTTTTAATTGGTGCTTTATAGATAGCCATAAAGATGGAATTCATTCATGTACATAGCACAATTGGTCAATTTCATTCTGCAGTTCTCTTTCTCATCATCTATAATATGAGCATAATAATAGTAGTATCTCTCTCACAAACTTATTTGTGAGGATGGGAATATGATAATTAATAATGCCTAGCACATAGCAAGTGACCCATAAATGGACCAATAAAAAATAGGAGACACGTATTAAACACAGTCATGCTGTGCACTGGTCTGAGTGCTTTCCCTATATTATCTTTCAGTCCTGTGAATTCTAGTCTGAAGTTGCTATTAAAACCCACATTTTGCTGGTGAAGGAACTATATTCAGAGGTGGATTTCTTGCCTCTGGTCATTTGGTCAGGACCTGGCAGGGCAAAGATTTGTGTTTTAACTCAGGCTATTGAATTGAAACAGAATTCTCTGAACTCTGAGTGGATTTGGACTGCTTTGAGCAACTGTTTGCAGTCATGAGCCCCTTAGTGCCATGGCTCTGTCACTGGGGCACAGGAAGCTGTGAGGCTTCTATGTCTTCTAAGGGATTCTCTCCGCTGCTTCTGAAGGCATTCTGCAATCTCTCTAGGCAGTGGTTCTGTTTGTTTATCCATTTGAATCTCTCTCATCCATCTTAGTTCCTTCTCCTAAAATTTTGGGTGCATTGAAAATAAGAATTTGGAAGGTGATTTTGCCTTTCTTGAAACTCCTAATTTCCTATTGGACTGATTTATTGAAGCCCTCAAATGTGATTAGAGATCACCCGCATCTCTAGCAATTGTTTCTCACTCATCCCTAATCACACTTTAGCATTTCTTGTGTAAGTTCTTCATTTCAACTGTGTTTGTTTTCCAGAATGAAATTCAGTTCTAATAAGTGACTTTGTTCTTTAGGTGTTGACACTCCGGGGAGACACCAGATACAGAAAAACACTAATCACCAATGATGGCACAGCTCTTGGAGTAGGTGTTCCAATAGGCATAACTGTTGATCCTGCCCGTGGGTGAGTGGCACACATGTTCATAACAACATACTCCTTAGGGCATTTTCTGATTTCCTATGTCAGCATTTGAAAACTATAGACCTCAGTGAGGACGAGAAATAGCTTTGAGCTGTATTTAATGTGAAGAATATAATTTATACTTTGTTCTGTGTTCTTCAAATTAATAACACTGGACTGAAAGTTAATTCCAAATCAAGAACTTTAGGAATTGAAAAGTAGAATTATAAGACTTACAATGCATTCTGACTTTGAATGAACACTGAAAGCTCTAAGGGAACTAAGGTCATTGGCAGCAGACCTTGAAGGATGAGAGGCTTCCTGTAGGTGGAGAGTGGGTTGCATCTGGGGAGTGGTAGGTGAGGCCAGAGGGCGGGCAAGGCAAAGGAGCATGATGGGATTTAGCATGATTGTGGGAGGGGCTGAACCAGAAGCTTAGAATAGGGGGCAGTTGACCACAATGGAGATGCAGCTGCTAAGGTCATTTGGAGACAAATTGTGGGGGGGCTTTAATGTTATGCTGTGGATTGTATTTTATTCTTTTAAGTAAGTTGAGACAGTAGAGAATTTTGAGGCAGTGAAAGGATTGAATCTGTGTGGTAGAAAGATTGGTTGGGACTGGGGTGGAGAGAGGCTGGCCATAGGGACTCTAGAACAGGTCTTATTGGATATAGACTAGTCTGCCAGTCAGTTTAATCAGTTATTAATTTTGTTTCTTCATTTTTTTGTATTATAAACCAGAAATAACAAGTTGTAGAATATGAGCATCCATTTTTTGTTTTTTAAAGAAGTAGTCATTTCATTCCAAGTGGATTTGGACTTTCTATTTGGAGGTCATCAGATTCTTAGCCCTGGAAGGGAACTGAAGGAGTAGTTTGTATTAGTGCTCAAATAAGGATGACATACTAACTAAATTCAATCCATCAAAGTAAAAATTTCATTCTGTGCTTGCTGGCTGGTCCTAGTTTTCAGTTATCCTTCCTAGAAGAAGGACCTCCTTGATTTGAAGTTCCATTCTTGAAACCTGAGTCCAATTATTCATTTTTTTAATTCATATGAAATTTATGTATTGTACACCTATTGCCAGGTAGTGTATTAGTTAAGACAGGTTAACTGTGGAAGCACATAAGTGCCAAAATATGTAATGGTTCAGAGGAAATAATTTATTGGTTTTCCATGTGGGCACCAGAGCTTGGGCAGAGGATGGGAGGAAGTTATTCTGTATAGTCATTCAGGAACCCGGCTGATGGGGGCTTTGCTGTCTTCAGGAGGAGGTTTCAAAGGTCATTTTGAGTGTCAATATCTTTGGAGTAGTAAAGAAAGGAACATTCAGGAATGTGCTGGGAGGTTCTTATGGGCCAGACCTACAAATAGTGAACATCACTTAGCTCACATTCCTTCAACTAGAATTCAGTCACTGGACCATAGCTGCCTGCTAGGAAGGAAATGAATCTAGATTTTTATCCAGAAAGAAAAGGAAGACATTGATTTTAGCGAGCAGAAGCAGTCTCTGACAGGGGAGCAGACACAAGGATGAATAAAGTCATAATCTGCAATGTCAAGAATTTATAGCTTAAAAAGAAGGATAAAGCCTGTGTATAAATATCAATAATCCAGGTCATTTGGCCTGGGTCTTAAAGCAGCCATAGGATTTAATAGGCAGAGTTGACTTTGGAGGAATCATCCATGATGGAAAGGATTAAAGTCAAGAGCAAAGGGATAGAAAAGCGAGATCATGTTCAAGTAGCATAGAACGGCAGCTGGGTTGGGAAGCAATTAGAAAGGCTTAGATTCTTCAGAAGTGGGAAGAGAAACAGGACAGAGACTTGTGTCTGTGTTTTGGATGCTCAGTAAAGAAACAGCCTTGAGAAAGTTATGGTCAGTGTCATTAATCTTTTGCTACAGAAAAATATCACTGTGGATGATCACTAATAAATGGTTGAGGCAATTATAGAGTCCCTGGTGACATCTGGGAGAGGAAGTTCAATCAAGATAGAAAGGGTAAAAATGTTAGACTACTCTCTTATGAGTTTTGTATTGAAGAATTAGGGAAAGATAAACTTGTAGTTCAGATATAACAGGAAACTTGTTTTTAGACTAGGGAAGCCTGAGCATATTTGTGGGAGTAGACAAAAGTTCACTGATTAAGACATAATTGAGAGTGAAAGTTAAGGGGGAAGGAAACAGGAATTTATGAAGAATAGGAATGACTTGTTAGGGACAGTATGGGGAACTTGACATAAAGTCAGGGAGGGATGAGAATCCTCATTCTACTACTCTACTTTGTGCTATGTTCAGCAAACATAGGGAAATATGGGGGAGGAGAGGGAAAAACAGGAACTAGGAACTAGGAGTTAGAAATTAGCAAGATAGAAACAATGTGAGTTCAAGAGATAATCAAGAATAATATCAAAATGGCTACAATGAGGTCTGGATGCAGAAGGACAGAAGATTTGGGAGTTCAGGCAGTTTAAGGTCAAAGAACAAGTTTAACAGGAAAAGTAAAATTGGAGCATGGAAGGGATGGAAGAGTTTATTCAAAGCAGAGAATTTCAAGTTTGTGAACTTAGAGGCAGAGAAACTTAGAGCTGAAGAGAAGTCAATGAGATAAGTGTATTGATTGGATGGTGGATATATAAAAAAAGACTATTTGCATTAAAGGCCTTGAGTACTTTGAGAAAAGGTGTAGAAAGATTACATCTTGAGGCTGTAGCAGGAGATGAGGTAAAAAGAGGATTAAAACTTGGATTTAAAAAAATCATGTTGTCAGTGAAAATGGAAAGCAGCCCTTCAAATATTGTAATGAATTTTCATATATCTCAGATGTGGTAATGCTGTATGTGAACATAGCGAATATAGTTCATTGGTTTCACTGTGATATACAAAGAGAAGAAAGTCATAGTTACTCCCTGATGTGAGCATGCTAATGGTATTCTACTTTCACAGGAATGTTTTATGCATTCTCTTGTATTTTGCATTGAATTTCAAAACTTTTCTTTTGCAGGGGTGGGGGGATGGGTACTGGAGATTGAATCTAGGGACACTTAACCATTGAGCCACATTCCCAATCCTTTTAAAAATTTTATTTAGAGACAGGATCTCACTGAGTTGCTGAGGCTGGCTTTGAACTGCCTCAGCCTCCCCACCTGCTGGATGATAGGCATGTGCCACTGCACCTTGCAAAGCTTATCATTTTTCATGATAGAGATCAGATCAAGATAGTAGCTGGTCTTGTGGTAGATGGTGATGTGGAAGAGAATTGAGGTTTGATCAGTGAGCAGGGATATACTTGGCAATTTTTTATACAGACTTTGGCCTTCCCAGTGTACTGGGTTTTATGTGATTCTCTGAAGTAGGGTTGGCAATTGATGTAGTCTGTTGTCATCAGCTTCCCACCTGTCATACAAGCTAAAGTTTAGCCACCAATGGAAGATCCTAGCCTCCTGTTTTGGATATCAATTTTAAATCCTCTGCCCACACCCCCAAATTAACTAGGGAATTATGTAGACATTGATAGAACACTGGTTAAGTGCTCATAACATATTGTATACAAGACACTGATGTTTCAGATTCCTCCATTGGACTGTAAGCACCTTGAGATCAAGAAACAGGACTTAAAAACAGCATACTACAGGGGACACAGCCACATCAATGTTAACAGCAGCACAACTCATACTAGCTAAACTGTGGAAGCAACCTAGATGCCCTCCAATAGATGAATGGATAAAGAATGTGGTATATATACAAAATGGAATATTATCATTATTCAGCACTATAAGAGAATAAAATCATGGCATTTGCAGTCAAATGGATGGAGTTGGAGAATATAATGCTAAGTGAAGTTAGCCAATCCCAAAAGCCAAATGCTGAATGACTTCTCTGATTTAAGGAAGCTGATTCATAATGGGGTTGGGGTGGGGCATGGGGGGATGAGATGAACTCTAGATAGGGCAAAGGGGAGGGAGGAGAAATGAGGGGACATGGATGTAGGAAAGAGATGAACATCATTACCCTAAGTACATGTATGAAGACACGAATGGTGTGACTACTTTTTATACAACCAGAGGTATGAAAAATTGTGCTCTATATGTCTAATATGAATTGTAATGCATTCTGCTGTCATCTATAACAAATTTAAAAATAAAAAATATTTTAAATTAAAAACTAAAGAAACATTTTTCATGAAATATTTATAAGTTATATATGCCATTCACCCTCATATCTACCTATTGTTAAATGCTGGTGTTTTTCACGGTTGTAGGAAACTGTACTGGTCAGATCAAGGAACGGACAGTGGGGTTCCTGCCAAGATTGCAAGTGCTAACATGGATGGTACATCTTTAAAAATTCTCTTCACTGGGAACCTTGAACACCTGGAGGTTATCACCCTTGACATCAAGGAGCAGAAACTCTACTGGGGAGTCACAAGCAGAGGAGTGGTACGAGCACCCTGAGCACTCTTGGTTCTTCCCTGCTGAGCTGGAGCGCTGATTCTGAATGTGCTAAGTTGTCTGACAACTTGACCAGTATTTACTGCCCTGTCTCCCAATAACTTCTCTCCCTTATTCAAATTGTGCCCTAGTTGAAGTCTGATTCATAGTATGGATATAACAGTTCCCTAGAGAATGCTATTCATTAATCCTCCCTGCCCCACACACTAACTCTTGGTTTTTCCAAAAGTTAAAGTTAATTTTCCAGGATAAATTAACTCCATTTGTCAGTTCATATTTGTCCTTTAGAGATATTTATTTCATGTTTTAGTGATTTTAATGCTTTTCTTTGAAAATACTCTAGTCTCTCATTGCAGAGAGCAGAGGGAGAGAGGGGAGAGGGCTGTAAGCTTCTGAGGTCAGCATCCTCTCTTAGCTACATATTCTTCTCTAATGTCCAAATATGGTTGATGCATGTATGAAATTTCCTTTACTGGTAATTTTAAACTCCAAGATCAAGTTCATTATATCCTTTAATAAGGAACAGGAATTACGAATTTTCATTGAAATAGTTCTTGACCTTTACTGCTACGCTCATGCAGCTGAGCTGAGGTGAGGCACATAGGAAGTGCTTGATAATAATAACTGATCAACTTAGCATTGCTTTGAATGAAGAATATGTGCTAGACTCTTCCTTGCTTTCTAAACAGTAGTCATTTCTAATCTTTGATGCTGATGATCTCCGTAATACTGTGCAGTAGGTTTTCCTCTCAGTTCATTTTCTGTTCAACAACTACCAACTAGGGATAACGGGAACATATCTCAGCATCGTAAAAGCTGTCTATGCTAAGCTCCAGGCCAACATCATTCTAAATGGAGAAAAATGGAGAGCATTCCCCCTAAAAACTGGAATAAGACAGGGCTGTCCTCTTTCACCACTTCTATTTAACATAGTTCTTGAAACACTGGCCAGAGCAATTAGACAGAGGAAAGAAATTAAAGGGATAGGAATAGGAAAAGAAGAACTCAAATTAGCACTATTTGCCAATGATATGATTCTATACCTAGAAGACCCCAAAAATTCCATCAGAAAACTTCTAGAACTAGTAAATGAATTCAGCAAAGTAACAGGATACAAAATCAACACCCATAAATCAAAGGCATTTCTGTATATCAGTGATAAATCCTCTGAAAGGGAAACGAGGAAAACTACCTCATTTACAATAGTCTCAAAAAAATAAATAAAATACTTGGGAACCAACTTTACTCTTAATATGGACTTATAATGATGACAGACTTTGAGGACTAAAAAGAAGTAGTGGAATGTATAAGAGCACTCTGCCGATTTGGATGTATGTGTACGGTGATGAGGAAGCTCTGGTTTCTGCATATAGGTTACAGCATGCTAGCGCATATAGGCTATGGTTTCTGCATATAGGTTAGCGCATGCCAGGCAGGGCTTGGCAGCTCCCTCCCTCCCCTTCCCCTCCTGAACCTGTGATCTTGTGACTCTCCTTCCTTTCTCCACAGCAACTTCCCTCACAGTTCTCCCCTCGCTAAGTCCTGCCATTCATCCTTAGCCTCTTTCCTTATATGCATCCTTTTCCTGCCACCTCCACCATTCTGATTCTACCGTGGCCCCCATGACTGAACCCTGCTTGTGTGTTGGAGTCATGCTGCCTTCATAAAACCAGAGTCCACAAGTTTGATCTCTGCTAACTTGAGAACCCTGGGCGGGAGGGCCAGCATTCAACACTCCAGCTGAGCTCGTTCAGCTAATCTGGTCTGGTCACCAGCAACTCTGAGACTCATGTTCCTTGTACTGTAGCCTCTGGAATGTTCCATAGTTTCTGGGGCATAATCCCCTCATGAATCTGCTGGGTTCCTTTGTCTAGTGAGGCAGTGAGTCAGAACTTGTTTCCCTCATGCCCAGCTTAGATCCTAGCACAGGGAAAGCACTTGGTACAGGTTTTGGGAATGAAGTGAAAATAGCCACATGTACATTTTATTTTTCTCCAAGAAGCACAGGACTTTTCATTTCCCCTGAGGAATTCCATTCTTGTAGGTTCTTTTCCAGTTTACCAAAGCCATTATGGCTAAGGCTTATTGCCTGTTCTAACATAACAGCACCATCTGGCTCCTATCCAGTCTTGCTCCTCTGTGATTGGCGGGGGGACTTTTCCTATCTCTATTACAGAAATTGTTGGTGAATGTTAAAGCCAGGGTCAGTCAGCTCCTATGTGATGGCTGATATTAGACATTTCAGGGTACCCTTGACCAGAATATCACACTCAGGGACTAGAGGTTTAACTCCCTTTTCTTCACCGTGCTAGTTGAGAAAGCTAACTGACTTTATTATCAATGAAATACTCAAACTGATGTTTACCCAACCCCTGTTCAGTCTAGTTTGTGATGCCCCAATCATACAACAGATAAGAAAAAGCACTACAAAGAATAGAGGGCTTATACGTGTGAGGTATTATTACTGTTAGGAGAATATTAGCTTTAGAATGTTCTTTCATTTCACTATGAATCAGTGAAACTAATGAGAGCACTGATTTTGTAGATTGAAAGAGGAAATGTGGACGGTACAGAGCGAATGATCCTGGTGCACCATCTTTCCCACCCATGGGGAATTGCAGTCTTTGATTCCTTCCTGTATTATACTGATGAACAGTATGAGGTCATCGAAAGAGTTGACAAGGCCTCTGGGGCCAACAAAGTAGTCTTGAGAGAGAATGTTCCAAATCTGAGGGGTCTTCAAGTTTATCATAGACGCAGTAAGTATTTGCCACTAAGAGACCTTCATGGATGTATGGTGTAGATTCACACTCTACACATTCTGTAATGATCTGTCCACACATGGTCTGTGTATATACACATGTGAATTGAAATTACCCAGAATATTTTTTTTAAATGATGACCATGCCTTAAGCATGGTTAAACATCATCTGAAAGACCATATTGTCTTCAGAATAAACTTATTCCCATTCTTTTCCCATCACTTTTAACTATTTGCTTTTGCTTCAGCACTCCCTGATACATCATCTATTTATTTATTTTTTTATTGTCTGTATTCCTTATTGAATCTAACCTCTGTAAGGACAGATGTCTTGTCTGTTTTGTTTACTGCTTTATGCCCAGTAACAAGAATAGAGAATATTGGTTGGATATCTGCTGGGAAAATGTTAACAGGATAGAATCTTAAAAGGATTATTCTTAGATGTTGTCTATTTCAATATATATTTTTTTTCAGACATATTTTAGCTTTGAATTTGTCCCTTTATGTTGGTGTTATAATAGAGATTTTAAAAATAGGTTGGGCATTCTATAGCTTTTAGTTTCTAACCAAAGATGGTCAATTTCTTTCCTATCTTATAACCTAGGTTTGTTACTTGGTGTTTATTTTTCTTGCATGTGGAAAAATACTTTTTAAGTATTCTTATTACATATGTTTAAAACAAACATCCATCATATAATTACATCCATCATGTAATTAAACTCATATAATTTTAAGTGCCAGTGCATAGGTCAAGAGGGCAAAAATGAATAGATTTGTATATTGACTTTTCTAATTCTTGCATGCTTTCTGGAAGAAAAATAACTGATGCCCCATTTTATAACTATTATGCAATAGTTGTGGTATTTTTTAAATATTTTTAGGTGTTATTGCATAAGCTTCAGTATCTCAATATTGCTTTTAGGCTTTTAACCCACCTACCATATGTGTGTTATTAATTTTTATAATGAATCATTTGGTAACTGAGTTTTATTTTTTTCACTTCATTTTTTAATATTGATTTTTTTTAGTTATAGGTGGGCAGAATAAAATAAAGTTTTAAAAATTGGAGTTGGAGTGACAAGTAGGTAGGATCAAGTCACAATCTGATTTTTATTTCATTTAGACATTGCTGGATCCTCAAATGGCTGTAGCAACAATGTGAATGCTTGTCAGCAGATTTGCCTGCCTGTACCAGGAGGGCTGTTCTCCTGCGCCTGTGCCACTGGATTTAAACTCAATCCTGATAATCGGACCTGTTCTCCGTATAACTCTTTCATTGTTGTTTCGATGCTGTATGCAATCAGAGGCTTTAGCTTGGAATTGTCAGATCATTCAGAGGCCATGGTGCCAGTGGCCGGCCAAGGTACGCCAACTCAGAAATAAGACTTGACTTCATCTGGTGCCCAGCTGAAATCCTTGATATCATAAAAGCATTTCTTCAGGCTTAGATTCAGCACATAATGAAGCTTCTCTTTCTCTTTAAATAACCTGTCTTAGCCTAGAGTGGTTTATAAACTTTAATGTGTATCAGAATCATCTGGAGAGGACTGTTAAACATAGATCAGAGCCCTATTCCTAGATTTTTCTGGTTAGTAGACTGGGGGACGGGTAGTGATCTGTATTCCTAACCTTTTCCCAGGGCATGCAGAGATTGCTGGTTCCTGAGGACCCTAGACCTAGAGCAATGTAGAAAGTCGCTTGAGTTCAAGAAGTGTTTACAGTGCCCTTATTTCTGACTGTTAATGGAGAGTTAGAGTAGAGGGCACACTTTAATGAAATTTAATATAGTAATGAAATAGTTTAATAATAAAAATAGTTAAATAATATTTAATACAGTAATGAAACAGTCTGAGGTCTGATTTATTAGCATATATTTGGTGAACTGAAGTAATAGTTTACAGTACCAGTCACTCCTTAATAACCATATCTTTGCTCCTCTTTTTGCTTGTGAACTCTGAATGTATAAAATGATAACGTGACTCCTAGATGAGCCAAATTTTGCAGGTATACATTACCACAAGAGGAATTAAGAGTTTAGGAGAGTCACAAGGCATAAGTAAGAATAGAGGAATAGAGGGTAGGAAGAAAAGAAAAAGGATGAAGGGAATGGAGGGGCAGGAGAAATGGTCAGTGCAGACAGAAAGGCTCTGGTGAAGGACACATACACACCTGGTACCTGCTCATGCTCATGTTTACCTGCTGTCACAACTCATCTTTGTCTTTTTGTTTCTAAAAAGTTGTGGATCTAATTTATCATCTTGTAAAGATACTAAAGCATCAATATTTTGTTTCTTCCTACTTTGCATTTTGGAAAATCTCAAACAGAAAAATTGAAAGAAAAGGTAGAGCAGACTTTTTATACCTGTCACCAAAATTTAACTGTTGTTAACATTTCATCACCTCTCAGTTTTTAATCCCTCTGATGCACATGTATGTACACACAACCACACACACATGTACACACACACTTATATACACATTTTTATGAATCTTTTGAAAGCAAATGTCAGACATCAGGTACCATGACACTTTCCCCCAATCTAATTTAGCTTGCAGCTCCAAGGGTATTATTATCTGATACTTACATTATTTGTCCAGTTGTATATAGCTGTTGATTTGTTCTAGCCAAGATCTAATCCATAGTTATACATTGCATTTGGAAGTTCTCTTTATTTGTCATTAATATGGAGTAATTGCTTAGTTTTTTTTAATGACATTGATTTTTTTTAAAGAGGTAGATCGACTATTGTCTTTTAGAATTCTACATGAAGGATTTGTCTGTTTCCTTAAGTCATCTAATCTGTCACTCAGTTTATACTCTGCATTTCCTATCAAATGGAAGTTAGCTCTAGTTGCTTGATTATATTGAGGTTAAAAACATTTGGCAGTACTTGGTAGGTGGTACTGTGTACTTGATATGGAATCTCATTAGGAAGATCATATGCATAACTTGTCCTGCTTGTAGTGACACTCGAGATTGATTTCTTGGTTAAGTTGGTCACCAAAAATCCCTCCTTTATATAGGTATATTCCCCCTTTTAATTTCTGTGAAATCTATAGAGTTATGTTTTGGTCCTGTGAATATCTTGGTGCCTAGCACCTTTACCCATTGTTTTTAAGCAGCCATTGATGATTTTTGTCTGCAATGATTATTTCAGTGGGGATTATAAATGGTGATTTTCTCATTCTATCATTTCTTTATATATATATATATTTAGTTTGGTAGATGAACACAATACCTATTTATTACATTTATTAAATCTATTTATTTTTGTATAGTACTACTGAAGATCAAACCCAGTGCCTCCCATGTGTGAGGCACGTGCTCTATCACTGAGCTACAACCCCAGCCCCCCAGATTAATCTATATGTTTATTAAATAATCTATATGTTTGTTAAATAAATTGTAAGGTGTTAATTTCAGCTGTTAAAAATTAGTGTTATGTTCAATTACCATAATTAATCTTTGGATGCTCTGATTGATCCATCTTGGGTAGGGAAAGTCTCTTCAAGTGGCTCCCTGTTTTTTGACATGATCCCATTAGTGTTTGAGTGCTTCCTTGCTTCTTGGTACCATAAGATATTCTAGGCTAATGCCTTTCCCAAACCTCTATTGATGTCCCAAACTTATAATCAGCCCTTTCTCCCAGGAGCTGTAGCTCCTTATTGTAGGAAATACTGTTCAGAAGCCAAGATTGGGTGGTAAGTATGTTTGTTTTAAATAACTGGTAAACAAATAGGTTCACCTCCTAACAAGGGGAATGGTTAAAGCTAGGAGCTGGGAATGGGTATTTGAGAGGAAGTGCTGGTGTTTAAAAGCACTGTTTCCAGTTTGGGCACTGTCTGATGATCTTTTCCTAAATGTTCTAGGGCGAAATGCGCTACATGTGGATGTCCATGTGGCCTCTGGCTTTATTTACTGGTGTGATTATAGCAGCTCTGTGGCATCTTACAATGCAATCCGTAGAATCAAACCAGATGGGTCTTCTTTCACAAACATTGTTACATATGGGATAGGAGGAAATGGAATTCGTGGCATTGCAGTGGATTGGGTGGCAGGTATGTAAACTATAGAGTGATTTTATTGAAAATTTTTTTGTGTTTGCCTGTTATCTAATTTTATGCTGAGGAGTTTAACCTAACTACAAGTGATATTGCTTTATTTTTCCAGACAATCATTGAGGTCATTTGAGATAAATTGTGTGTATTAAATAAATGATAAGGTGTTTCAGTTGACAGATTCACTGCAGATTAACCATATCATTTTCTTCTATTATTAGAACAATCAAAACTGCAGGCAAAAATGGCTAGAAATGTCAAATTAGATCAATTTGTGGTTTTTACACTTGGATTTTGCCCCTGTTTCTGAATTAGAAATGCCTAAATTTTCAAAGAAAAAGTGATATTAAATATGATGTAAATCATAAAATGAAGTTCATACTTTTAAAATCGAGCAATTTTTAGTTGCAAATACTTAATTACTTCTCTTGTTAAGGTATAAAAGTCCTTTTGGTCCTTATATGCTTCTAATAGCATTTTCTTGGTATGACTGGTGCAGTATACATTAATTGTATTGATTCATACACTTAATGTTTGAATTACTGCTCATTTTTACTTATACTCTAGGAAACAAATGTGTTATAATTTTTTGGAATATAATCCAATTCTAGTCAAAATAGATGTGTGTTATCAAGTGTGGTAAGCAGGCAACACTTGGAAATATTAATATCTATTATGAAATATTAACATCTAGGTCTATAATAGTTTATTGCAAATTATAAATATTGTAGCATAGTTAAATAAGGCTTTAACTGAGTTCCTAACCATCATTCCTGATTATAAAAGCAGGGTCAGCAAAGTATGGGTAGTGGAATAAATATAGCCTATTGCCTCTTTTTGTGAATAAAGTTGTATAGTCAACAGAGCTATGCCTGTTCACTTATATGTTATCCATGGCTGCTTTCATGTTTCAAGGCACAGTTGAGTACTGTGAAAGCAACCAAATACACTGCAGAGCCTAAAATATTTATATCTGCTCTATTGAGGAAAGTTTGGCAATTCTGGATTAAAGGATTGGGGATCTCTCTCTCTCTGAAAGAGAGAGAGAGAGAGAGAGAGAGAGAGAGAGAGAGAGAGAGAGCGCTCTCAAGTAGAGATAGATATTGAAGAAAAGATACCAGGAACATATATAGCTTGATTTCTCTAGAGGTGTTTTGAGTCAGATACAGGCACAAACTATGTGTGCCTTGGTAAGCAGTATTGATAGTTCAACAACAGATTTTTAACTATATGGAATCAATAATTCGGGATCACTCTTTATTCATGATACTATCTTCATGTAATTGTTGTTTCGTTCTAGTGTTTGTATTGTGCTGTAACACTCAAAGGGAATTGGGCCATGGATTCGGTGGCTTTTAGAAGGTCCATGGAATGGGAACAACAACATTCATTAGAAAAGATAGAAAAACATCTCATGTTACTTGTAAACACAGAGAGCCTTCCATAATATTGGTAGCAACAGGAGGTGCTGATGGCTGTCCCTCTATGCTTCTTTTGTCAAGTTGGAGTAGAAATTATGCCATGATAATGTGTATTGAGGGTTTTTGAAGTGGGTGTTAAAAATTTAGTGGAAGGACATTCTGGAAAATATACCTTTTGGTAGAAAGCGAGCTAGGACATTTGCTACGCATTCTAATCTGCTTCAGAAGCTGAAGATGGGCACCTTCTCTCTGAATTTGAAGACATGATTTCTTTAGTTCTTAAGAGTAAGTACTTATTTTTCTAAGCTACACTGAGATATTTATTTATTATCTTGGAAATGATAGCATTTACTGACCCCGACTTCAACCTCACATATTTTGTCCTGAATTTGAAAAGGTCTTCCCTTCCTTTTCTCTTCTTGGTTTTCCATTCATCAGCATCCTCTCCTATTTTCCTTTAGGAAATCTTTACTTCACCAATGCCTTTGCGTTTGAAACACTGATAGAAGTGCTACGGATCAATACCACCTACCGCCGTGTTCTCCTGAAAACCACAGTAGATATGCCTAGGCACATTGTCGTAGACCCCAAGAACAGATATCTCTTCTGGGCTGACTATGGGCAGAAACCGAAGATTGAACGCTCTCTTCTTGACTGTACCAATCGAACTGTACTTGTCTCAGAGGGCATTGTCACACCACGGGGCTTGGCAGTGGACCACAGCAATGGCTTTATTTATTGGGTTGATGATTCCTTAGACATAATTGCAAGGATCCCTCTTCATGGAGGGGAATCTGAAGTGGTTCGTTATGGCAATCGATACCCAACTCCTTATGGCATCACTGTTTTTGGAAATTCTATCATATGGGTAGATAGGAATTTGAAAAAAATCTTCCAAGCCAGCAAGGAACCAGAGAACAATGAGTCAGTCACCGTAATAAGAGATGATATCAACTGGCTGAGAGATGTGACCATCTTTGATGAACGTGTCCAGCCCCGGACACCAGCAGAGGTCAACAACAACCCTTGTTTGGAAAATAATGGTGGGTGCTCTCATTTCTGCTTTGCTATACCTGGTTTGCATACTCCAAAATGTGGCTGTGCCTTTGGGACCTTGGAACATGATGGCAAGAGCTGTGCCATTTCAACAGAAAACTTCCTCATCTTTGCCGTGGGTAATTCTTTGAGAAGTTTACACTTTGACCCTGAAGACCATAGTCCACCCTTCCAAAGCATAAATGTGGAAAAAAATGCCATTGCTGTGGACTATGACAGCATAAATAATAGAATCTACTTCACACAAAATGTAGATTCTGAACGTGGACAGATTTCCTATGTCAGCCTGTATTCTGGGATCCATACTCCAACTGTCGTTGCTTCGGGTAAGTGCACTCTAACTGGAGTTTATCTCAGGTGTAGATAAAACAGGGTCAACATGCATGAATGACTTTCTTCTTCTTCTTCTCCTTCTCCTTCTCTTTCTTCTTCTTTTTTTTTTTTGGTGGTGCTGGGGTTCAAACCCAGGGCCTCATGCATGTGAGACAAGCTATTAAGCTACAGCCCCAGATAGGGCCTTGTTAAGTTTCCCAGGCTGGCCTTGAGCTTGTGATCTTCCTGTCTCAGTCTCTGGGGTAACTGAGATTATAGGTGTGCACCACTGCACCTGGCCCGAGTGTTCTTAGAGTGTACTATGATTCTGATGTCTTCATGTGTGTTTGTGTCTCTCTGCTGGTGTGTGTCCAGATGTAGGGATTGCTGATGGCATTGCCTTTGATTGGATCAATAGAAGAATTTACTACAGTGACTACCACAACCAGACCATTAGTTCCATGGCTGAAGATGGATCTCAGCGTACGGTGATAGCCCGCGTTTCAAAACCAAGAGCCCTTGTGTTAGATCCTTGCAGAGGGTATGTATGTCCCGATCTTTTGTTGTATTTTTGTTTGCTTGTTTCTGGAGGAAGTGGGGCCAGAAATTATTTTATGTTCATAGAGAGCCAGTATCTTAAGGGTTCATAACTCTGTGACTGTGTATAGAAGGGTAAATGAGTGTTAAGTGGTTTTTACCTGGGAAAGGGAGTTTTGAGCTTCATTCCTGTGGGAGGAAAGTTGGCAGCGTCCTAGGAAATCAATGCTCAGTAAATCCCTTTTGGGTAAATCATGTGGCTAGGAATGGAGTAGGTTCCCTACCTGAGACCCATATTAATGGCAATTTGTAATTAAAGATTGCTGCTACTTTTTTAAGTGAAAAGGACTCTGAGGTTTCCTGTGGAACTAATTATGACTTCTTCTTTTGGATGACTAGGTACATGTATTGGACTGACTGGGGCACTAATGCCAAAATCGAGAGAGCCACACTCGCAGGAAATTTCCGGGTGCCCATTGTGAACACCAGTCTGGTTTGGCCCAATGGACTCACTCTGGACTACGAGACAGACCTTCTGTATTGGGCGGATGCTAGTCTGTATGTGTCTCTGGTAGTTCATGTGGGGTTAAGAAGAGGAGTTCTTCCTCCTACTTCCAAAGCAGAGAGATTTGCTTAATGTGATGAAATATAATTTGCCAGAAAGTTATTTCCAAAACATAGAATCACAGTTTTGGGAACTGTATGATATTCTAGCTTGAGTATGTTCTATCTGTGAAAATTTAACTTTATTGTGAGATTGAATAATTATGAGCTAAAAGATATCTAAAGATGTATCACTAAATTGTATGTGCAATTTCAACTATAATTGCAAATATAACTACTCAATTTATGATCAAAAGATTCTAGGTAGCTATCAGAAAAAAATATATATGTATTTGGTACTGGGAATTGAACCTAGGGGTACTTAACCACTGACCCACATCCTCGGCCCTTTTTGTTTTTTGAGACAGGGTCTCACTGAGTTGTTAGGGCCCTCTTAAATTATTGTGGCTAGCTTTGAATTGCAGTCCTCCTGCCTCAGCCTCCTCAGCTGCTGGTATTACAGGAATGTGCCAATGTGCCTGGCATGAATGACTTTTAAATATATAATGATATTAAAATTTTCCCTGGGCTTTATCATTCAGTGTCTTTGAAAACATGATCCTCTTTCGTCTTCGACTTTTGGCCCTCTTCTCAAATAATCCTTTTCCTTTGGTATGCTTCTTCTCAGCAAATTTCATAATGTTTTCCTTATAAATTTTGTCATGTCTAATGTTGCATGTAGTTTCTCCAAGTGACCCCCAAACGTCTCACATTCCAGTCATCCTAATGGAACATGCATGGTTTTTGTAATTGGTAAACACATTTCCTCACAAGGAACATATTTCCTCACAAGTTTGGTCTTGTGGTGCCCAGAATTCAATATCCAGATCTTGTCTTCATTTTCTCATCATAACAAAACAAAACAAAACAAAACTGCTCATTTTATATTTGAGCAGTTTTGTGTGTCTGATTTTGGATCATTTTAGATAAATATCTCAAAGTACTCAAAAAATGTCAAGTTGAAAAAGTCACCAAGGGAGTGGACAGGACAAAGAGTGAACATTTTGGGGGCCTTTACAGGGCACTCCACACCAAGTACCATGCATGACATGTATCTTTTCATATTGCTCTCTTTTTTTAAAAATTTTTATTTTTTTAGTTGTAGTTGGACACAATACCTTTAATTAACTAATTAATTAATTAATTGATATGTGGTGCTGAGGATCGAACCTAGGCAAGTGCTCTACCACTGAGCCACAACCCCAGCCCCTGCTCTCTTGTTTTTAATGACAGCTTGGTTCCTTTTGTAGGATCTCTTGTAGGTTATATTCATTTCTGGAAGTCAATAATATGGGTAGGTAATTGTTTGTTAAGACCGCCCATCATCAAAAGAAACATTTCCAGCTGCCATATACCTCGATTGAAAAGACAGTTGGGGTGTGTATAAATGAATGCGTGGGCCTAATCATTATTCTTCCCAGATTTCAGCAATTTCTTGTTCTTTTTTTTTCTCCCTCCACTTCAGGCAGAAGATCGAGCGCAGCACTCTCACTGGCATGGCCCGGGAAGTCATTGTCAGCACAGCCTTTCATTCTTTCGGCTTGACTCTCTATGGCCAGTATATTTACTGGACAGACTTCTACACAAGAAGAATTTACCGAGCTAACAAATATGATGGGTCAGATCTGATGGCAATGACTCCAAGTTTGCCTGTTCAGCCTAAGGGTATTTGCACTGTTAGGAAAAATGAACAGCAGCAGTGTAGCAATCCTTGTGATCAGTTTAATGGAGGCTGCAGCCATATCTGTGTGCCAGGTAAGGTGTTGCCCCTTGAAGGTGAAAACCTACTAGAATAATCATAGTAAAAACACCTGGCAAGGGAGTTGGAAGAAATGTTCATCTTAACAAGAAGAGAAAAAGCTCAAATATCCTTGATTTCAAGGTAACTTATAAAATAGATGGGGTTATATTTTGAGGGAAAGTCTTTGCTAGGTTTCTTTTCTGTTCCACACAGAGCCATCTTATGAAGGTGTTTTAAATACAAACTTGGTAAAGGTAGAAAATAAGATGAGGGCTTTGGCCATCCCACTTCATGACCTGCATAGAAAATTCCATCCATGAGCTTATGTTCCTCATAAAAAGATCTAATTTTCTGCTTAGGAAGTATTGTTTGTAATTTGAAGTATTTCTGATGATATTTTAGGGTGAGATATGTGTTTCATAGTATTTCGTGGAGAAAAATTTGAAGGAATATGTGCTTTCTGGTACTGTTACTTTGTCAATTCTACCGAGAAAAGAGAATCTTTGCTCTTGCAGATGCTAGGTAGTTGTCTGAAGGTTACAGTAAATTAGCACATTTATTAGAAATCAGTGGTTGTCATTCTTAATGGAAAAGTGACTCAGAATATGGTTGAAATGCTAATGGGTAAGTGTTTCATGTAGAAGCTATTGCAAAAGCTATTCTGGAGGAGACTCTGAATGTTTGCTGCACTAATCTTGTGGTTTCTCTTGTTCCCAGGTCCGAATGGAGCTGAGTGCCAGTGTCCACATGAGGGTCAATGGTATCTGGCCAATAATAATAAACACTGTATTGTGGACACTGGGGCCCGGTGTAATGCATCCTATTTCACCTGCTTCACTGGGCACTGCATCTCAGAGCAGTGGAAATGTGATAATGAGGATGACTGTGGCGATGGCAGTGATGAGCTGGAAAACGTCTGTGGTGAGTTGGACTCTCCGTGCTTTTCGTGGGCGCTGAGGACATCTTTACGATAGGGCTTGGTGCAGAATCCTGTTGTGTGTGAATGAGGTTGAAATTAGTGCCTAAGAATTCTGTCAGAGCTGAAAAACGTTTATTCAGATAACTCAGACCGTACTTCTGTTAAATTACCTCTGGAATAGTTATAAGCAAAATCACTGGATTAAAATCCTGGCCTTGTGGTTTATAATCTATATAGCCCTGGGAAAGTTATTTGCTTCAGACAGCTCATCTGTAAAATAGACCGATCACTAGGGTTCTTGTGAGGAGCAAGAGAACCATAATAAAAACACTCAGCATAGGGTGTGATAAGATCCCAAGACTGAGAAATCTAATATGTGATTGTTATTTTATTAATTATCATAGCCCAAAGTTTATTAATGCAATACTTGTATTGAAGTCACTCCCAGTCCTCAGCTGTCATGTGAATGGAATGAGGAAGACCATGAAAATTTATCAGGGAAGTTGAAGGTTGGAAACTTTTCCTAACAGACCATGTAAGGGCTAGGAGTTTTTGTTTTCCCCAAATAAACTGTATTTAAATGCTTTCCTGTGACCGACATAAACTTTTAAATTGAGAATTGGAGTGATTTTGATTTTTTTTTCTTGCAATACTTTGTTTAAAAAAGGCATACAACATTATTTTTGCTTAAAGTGTTATCTCGCTTGGCACGCAGTCCGATTTGCAGCAATATTTGCCGGGGAAGGTAAACTCAGAGAGTCCATTTTATTTTATTGTAGTGTTTTAGAAACTAGAACGATGCTTTCATCTAGAGGTTTTCTTTTGATGTCCCCTCCCCACCCAGCATTTCACACCTGCCTGCCTACGGCTTTCACCTGTGACAACGGGCGATGTGTCCAATATGGCTATCGCTGTGATTTCTACAATGACTGTGGGGACAACAGTGATGAGGCCGGGTGTCTGTACAGGAAATGCAATAATACCACGGAGTTTACCTGCGGTAATGGGAGGTGTATACCCATCGAATTTGTCTGCAATGGCATAAATAACTGCCATGATAACAGCACTTCAGATGAGATAAATTGCCGTAAGTCTAACTTTAGTACTTCCTGTATTTTCGAATGTCAAGAGTTGAAATTTTTACATAAAAACAAAGGCTTTCTGAAACACAGTTTCCTTTTGATACAGTGCACTAAATTCTATAAAACACAACTCTACCTCCTTTTTATTCACTTAAATTGGTGAGTTCATGCAATTGTTGAATATTTTAATCTTGAATATTTTGTCCTTGGTTTACAAATCTGCTAGATTACAGATCCTCTTGATAAATTTTTTTTGTTGTTTTTAAAAAATCTTTGCAAAATTTATTGCCTAAGTGTATTGTGGTTAATGTTTGTTGTGCAAAAAAACTATATTATACCATGTTGACTAAAATAGTTTTCCTCTTTAGTTTTTCTGGGAAATAGCTTTGTAGTGAATTGATTTTTTGAACTGTACCTTAGCATCTTAGGAAGACAAAAGATCCAGAATGTGGGTTCTAGTATGATATTTTTGGTTTGGCTGTGATAAACCAGTTTTGTGGCTTTGTAGATAAGAGCTATTCTATACACTAGTGTATTTATTTGGGTCTTTTTTTGTGTGTGTGTGTGTGTGTGGATAGAACCCAGAGCCTAGCACATGCCAGGCAAACTTTAAAAAAAAAATTTCTATGAAAATTTCAAACATATACCCCCCCCCCAAAAAATAGTACAGCATACCCTCACCCAACTTCAACAATTATCAGCCATACATACCTTGTTTCACCTATCTCCCCGTTTTTTCTAGAATTTTAAAGCAACATGGATTTCACAGATAAAGACATTTCAAAATACAACTACTGTTTTAGTCATGTTTTTTGCTGCTGTGATTAAAATACCTGACAAGAACAATTGGAGGAGGAAGAGTTTATTTGAGGGATCTCGGTTTCAGAGGTCTCAGTCCATAGAAGAGAACCCACCTCCTCTAGCCACACCTTACCTGACTTCAGTTACCACTCAGTTAATCCCTATCAGGGGATTAATTCTCTGATTGGGTTAAGGTTGTCACAACCCAATCATTAAACCTCTAACCCTTGCATTTCTGACACATGAGCTTTTGAGGTCACCTCACATCAAAACCATAACGACTACAGTGCCTTTATGAAACCTAGAAAAAGCAACAATACTTACTTAATATCTTTGACCACCCAGTCTACATTCAAAATTTTTTCACCTTTACTTACTGTTAATTCTGCTCAAAATTAAGATTCAGACAAGATCTGCACATTGATTTTTTTGATTATTAAGATTCTTTAATCACTTTTATGTCACAACAATTCCATCCTTTTTGTCACTGATTTGGAAGAAAAATTGGCAGATTTTTTTTCCTGGGAGATATCCCACATTCTGAATTTTACTACTCCTATAATTGGTCCATTGAATTAATTTCATCCCTCTTATTTTCTGTGCATGGAATTTAGAATAGAGGTTTGATTGTGTTAGGGTCTACACTTTGGGTAGGAGTGCTTCTGGGGAGCTGTGCATTTCTTGTTATAGCACATCATGAGGCACAGAATGTTTGCTTGTCCCATTCTGCATGACAGTAACATGGGTGGACCCAGGTGTCATCCTGAGTCTTTCCTTACCAAGTTCCCATCAACTTTTCACCCAGTGCTTTTAGCACCCACGAATGGTCATTGCATAAATCAATTATGTTCCAAAGTGGACATTGTAAAATTCTATTTTTGCTCTCCATTTATTCACTGAAGTTCCTTAAAAATAAATTTTCTTTATCAACCATTTAATGGTAATTACAATCTTCATAGTGAATTGTTAATTCTTTCCATTTGTTTTTCAGAGTAAGGAGTTGGTGATCAGTGAACAAAAAGTTTATGTTTTAATATTATTGAATTCAAGGATATCTACATATTTGTTTAAATACAATGTCCACATTTATTCTTTTTTTTTTTTTTGGTATCTGAATGTCCTATTTTAGGCCAGTTGAAGTTCTATCAAGTTAGTTCTCTGTCTTTGATGTGACCCCATTTGGTCTTGTACAGCATAGTCTGTTTTATCTTGTACGTTTTCTGTCCCAGACCAGCAATTAGCCTCTTATCCAAGGAAATGTCATCCGTCTTTTTTTTTTTTTGTATTTAGAAATTATTGCAGTGTTGAATGCCCCTTTCTATTGGGTTTTCATTGTCTATAGGCTTATTCGGTAGACAGAATTAAGAAATGCAGTTTTTTTAAGAAAAAAATATTACATTTGTATTTATCATTTAAATTTATGATTATAGATTGTTCACTTAATAGATTTATAAATCCATCCTTTCTCTTATGCTTAAAATTTTGGTTATTAATGAAATTAACATAAGTTACTTGTTTCCTTTATTTTGCAATAATTTTGAAATGCCTGTAATAATTTCAAGATTTTTATAACCACAGAAATAATTTTATAACAATAAATATATGCAAGGTCTTTCTTATTCTTAGATTATGCTCCCATGACATAGAGGCAATATACTGCTTTTAAACACATTTGAATTTTTTTTCTTTGTAGGGTTATAGTATCAACTTGTTTTACAGTTAGCCTCCTTTGTATTTTTGCCAAATTTTAAGAATCGATTTTCTTTTTCACTTTGATTACATTGTTTTATTTGTACAAAATAATGTACGTGGCTCTGAAGTTAAAACTATGACAAGGTGCATTTACGGAAGTTTTGTCATCTCTATCTATCTCAATCTTCCCACGGGGTGATGATTTTCTTTAGTTTATTTTTCATAATAATTATTGCTTTTAATAGAAACATCTCTCTCTCTTTTGCTCACCACACACACACACACACACACATACACACACATACCCGGACACATGCTGATCAACCCCAATCCAAAACCTAAAACTTTTTAATTGCTGACATGAACCACAGTTAGAAAATTTCACATCATGATTTGCATGAAAGTGCCTCAGTTTATCTGTATGAAAACATGAATGAATTTAGTGTTTAGACTTTGGGTTCTATCCCTAAGATATCTCATTATATATATGCAAATATTCCAAAATCCAGAAATGTCAAAATTTGAAACACTTGTTGTCCCAAGCATTTCTGAAAAGGGACACTCAAGCTGTATAATTATCTTTTTCTTCAACCCCTCCCCCAAAAGGTAATCTTCTATTATTGTTAACAATATATCCTGGAGATCATACTGCCATTGTGTATCCACTTATAGAGCATTATTTTTATAGCTACAGATTGCTGTGTTGTGTGGATATGCCATGGTTTAGTTGAGTTGAGCCTTTTGTTGATATCATTAAATTCATTAAATAAAGAATTCAATTTAAATGGCAATCTACCTCTCGTTCTCTCCTCAGCTCTCTATTTGGCTCCCTGTTTAGCATCAGCTGGCAGTATCTCTTCACTAGATAATCTGTAGGTAACATCAATGTCAGGGACTGGGCTTCTCTAATCCCCCTCCTGTGGTTTGAAGTCTGTAGTAGGTCTGCTGGCATAGACAGTGTTGATACTGTATATTTGGTGGATATGTTCCAAGTGTTTATCTGGTTGTCCTTTTCAAGCTGATCGCACTTGCCAGTCTGGATACACAAAATGTCAGAGTACAAACATTTGTATTCCTCGAATGTACTTGTGTGATGGCGACAATGACTGTGGAGATATGAGCGATGAAAACCCCACTTATTGCAGTGAGTATGATAAAAATCGCTTCATTTCCTGATTCTGGAGGTGCACATTTTGAGCTGAAGCAAAGATAGAACCTGGGTATCTGTACTTTTTTCAGTTATCATCTCAAAGTTTAGTTTGTGAGCAGATGCCGAAGGCACTTGCTCTAGGATGTGGGTGGAGGGGCAAGAGAAACCCCTTCCCTCTCTCTATGCCCTGCCTGAATGCTCAGCCCCCAAATATTTCCAGAGACCTCCTACAATTGGAAAGCCATTTTCCCAGTGTTGAAGCTCTTTTGTCTTCCAGAGCTCCAGGCAGGATTTGCATATTAAACTCCTACTATTTAGTCAAAATATGATGGTGATGGCCATTAGTAACAAAGTATTTTTATAGCCTTTTAATATTTTAATTTCAGGAAGCTTTATTTAGCAACTTTGCTCATTAAGACAAATCAGAAGGTCTTTTTTAAGCTGTGTAGTATCACTTTGAGACTGTTAGTGTAAATATTCATATTCTAAGAATTTAGTAATTGTCCTTCCCTGTAGTCACTGGTCACTGGTCCTCTCCCAAGCAAACCACAGGGCATGATGATAATTTTTCACTAGGCCAGTCTATCGTCTGAGACAGGAATCAGTTGTATTAAGAGCAACCTAAGGAAGCAAAATTCAGGGTGCAGCCACCAGAGAGGGCTTGGCAGATTGGAGTTTTTGCTGACCTTTCAGGGACCTTGTTTCCCTAACACTATTTGCTTGGCAAATCATCAAACCTTTTGGGCCAAAGCAAGAGAGCCTTGTAGAGGAGAAGAATGACAAGACTTAATTCAGGTTTGTGCCTGTGTATTCAAGAATATATCCGATCAGAGCCACCTAAGTTTACTTGAGAAGAGAACTAATGTTTAAACATTTGGCAGACTCTCCTGCTTTCTCAAATAAAAGTTCTGGATTATAAAAATAAAGATGATGAGAACTTTACTAACTCGATCATAGTCTAACATGGTTAAGACGTGTGTGGGGTGAACTCAAGATAAAATCTCACTGCTTTTAATTACTTCAGTAGAATTTGTTTGATTTTCTACTATAGCAGAAAAATAAAACTAGTGTATTTTACATGATTTATTTTATTTTATATATCACAAAGACAGTTCTTTGGTATTTCTATCAAATAGAATTTATGTTTTGGATTTCTGGAATCTGAAATGGAAATTCTGGGAAACTGGGGCATATTGCCTTCTATTTATCTCCAGTACTCCTCCCTCCCCATGCAAAGCTCACATGAAAGCCCATTATTTCTCAGGTCCCAGCCTCTGTTTCTCAGCAGCTGTTATGCAGTTTAGAGGTACAGGCAGATTGCTAAGGCTGATGGGCCCATGCTGTGCCTGCTCACACCTGTCATCTTCTTTCCCTCCCCCAGCCACTCACACATGCACCAGTAGTGAGTTCCAGTGCACATCTCCCCCGCGCTGTATTCCATCATACTGGCACTGTGATGAAGAAATTGATTGCCTCGATGGCTCCGATGAACCTGCCTCTTGTGGTAAGAGAGTGAACGAGCTTGAAAGCAGAAGGTGCAGCTAGAGAACTCTGGTCTCTTTCAACCACTTCACATGCAGAGTAGAGTCATGTTGCAGGACACTAGGTCTCCCTGCTCCTGCTCCCAGCTGGGATGCCACAACAGTTCTGCAGATGTTCATTAAAGACCTGTGGAAGTTGCTGACCAGAATATGGAAGTCGCTGCTTACTGCTGATGAAATGAGATTAGGCTTCTAATACAGTGCCTGTTTGTAGTTGTTTAATTTTCGTTGACTCTCAGTTGGAACTTCTGAATTTGGCTGAGTTCTGGCTCATAAGACTGGGAAGAGGCAAAAATGATTGGACTCTTCACACACACACACACACACACACACACACACACACAGAAGGAGCACACCGTAGGCACACAAACTCTGTTTTGTGTCAGTGAAGCTTCTGGGGTGAAGTTCCCCAGCTGCCTGAGCTTCCTATGAACTTTGAGGGACCCTCTTGTTGTATTCCTGGAAGCCATTGTACCTTGTTTGCATTTGGAGACTGCTTTTTTAATCTGTTGATAAATCATATTGCTATATAAGTGATCAAACTATGACTGTGGGCCAGTTGTTCATCTCTATAGACAGTTTTATTAGATTGCAGTCACATATTGCCCATGTTTGCTTCCTGCACAATGTCAATGTCAAGTAAGTGTGACAGAGACTATGTAGCCTGAAAGCCTATAATATTTACTGTTTGGTTGAGAAAAAGTTTACTCACCCTTGTTGTATTGTTTCATACTCCCTTTTTATGACATATAATATTCCATTGAGTGGTTATGTTATCATAGAGTTAACTGCCTCTATTATTAAGAATTGAGTTTACTTTTTTCCTATTATTAATATTTTTATGGTAAATACTATCACATATGTATATAAATACTATCACATATAAAACTTTTTATTTAGGGGATATTTTCTTAGCACCACTAGCATAGTTTTACATTTAAATGCAGATTGTGAGTTCTAATGCTGGTGGTTACAGAGTGTTATCCAGAACTCTTTGTCAGGTTTCTTTCCCCTTACACAGAAAACAAAGGGCACGTAGTATTTTGAGGATCTGCACAAGATATAATAATTGTTAGGTGTGTACAGTAGCCACTGTTTTCACTGAGACTACTTCTTAACTCTTTTTAGCACACCATGAGCGAACGTGCTCAAGTCAAGAGTTCAAATGTGATGGTGGCAGGTGCATCCCAAAAGAATGGATTTGTGATGGTGACAATGACTGTGGGGACATGAGTGATGAAGATGAGAGACACCAATGTGGTGAGTGAGGCCAGTCACATCTTCTGCAGAGTGGCATTCAAGGGACTGATACAGTCATTCTTCTGGGTTTGGAAGGTCTGATTGACTGCACACTCATAGAATATTGCAATTATTTGTTTTCAGTGGGCTGCATAACACCATTTTCTTTTGTTAACAAAGCTGGAAGTTCTTATCTGAGGTGTCTTAGCAGGGTGTTAATAAGAGCAGTGGCTTCCTGATTCTTGTATTTGACATTAGCCCTATACATAATGACTCTGGGGGTGGTCCACAGCTCCTCAAATGCTCTCTCTCTCTCTGAGGTGGGTACATGGACTGTAGCAAACACTTTACCCCTTTCTTCTTTTGCCTCATGAATCAACAGTGGGTTTGGGTAACATTCTTTTATTCTGCAGACACTAACAATTCTGTGTCTACATCTCTTTCTTCCCAGTGTCATGGTTTCTGACAGCTCTTATTAACACATATTTCTCCTGTTCACCCTCATTCTACTTGGGGTAGCTGCTATAATGTAGTTGGAGATGCACTACCTTTGGAGAAAAAAGACCTGAGTTTGAAGCACTAGCTCTTTCTCCTAGTTGTCAGATTTTGAGCCATCTATTTAGCCATGTTAAGCTTAAATTTTCTCATCTGTAGAATTGTCATAAAAATACCTATCTCACTAACCAGGTCCTTGGAAGGCTGTTGCAAGAGGATGGACAGCAACTTAGTGAGACCTTATCTCAAAAAATAAAAAGGGCTGGGGATGTAATTCAGTAGTAGAGCACCACTGGGTTTAATCCCCAGTACCAATAACAAAAACAAAACAAAAAACAACAAAACAAAACAAAAAAACCTATCTCACTTTGTATTTATGATACTTCTTGTAATCTAAAAAATGTTATCAAAATGTTAAGTCCTTTGGTATCCAATTAATACAATTGAAGAGAATTTTTGAAGCCTAAGGGGAAAAATATGATCTTCTGTTAATTTTAGGGAAAACTAGGTGAGGTGTTTTATTATATTAATTTCTTTTGAAAAATCCAGAGTCTAAAGCAATTAAAACGGGACTTTTGGAGGTACTTATGTCATGATCTATTATTATTGTAGCCAGGTGATTTGTCTTCCTGCTTTCCTCCCATTTTCTTTCATCCATCAGAGTGTTCAGTACCATAAGCAAGAGAATGGACTATTTGTAAAGACTGTCATCTGATTCTTGTGTGCTTTGGTTTCAGAGGCTCAAAACTGCTCAAGTTCCGAGTTTTTCTGTGTAAATAGCAGACCTCCAGCCAGGAAATGCATTCCCCAGTCCTGGGTCTGTGATGGCGATGCGGATTGTGCTGATGCCTTTGATGAGCATCAGAACTGCACCAGGAGATCTTGCTCTGGAGATGAATTCACCTGCAGTAACGGACTGTGCATCCGATCAACATACAGGTGAATTGGGGATGGAAAAAATCTCCCAGAAACCTCAAATACCTGAGAGTCAGGGTTGACTTATCCATGAAGCCCAGTAGCCACAGTACCTAGAACCCACAGCAAGAAGATGTTTGAATTCCTTTGAAATCCAAAGGAAAAAAAAAAAGAATAACGTTGGTCAAAGAGAGCATTTTAACGTGCAATATTGACATGTCTGCCCTTATATCAATGTGGTCACCTAACAGAATTTTAAATAATTTTATGGTTAAAGGGGCCCATGAAGGCAAAAGTGTGTAGCACCCATGAAAGTTATCATGTGGCCTTGCGCAGAGATAGGGAGATGAATGCACTGGGCTTGATGTAAGAAAGTTCTTTCTCAAAGCCAGTGACCCTCTTCATTTTCCACTTGGAGTAAAAGCATGGGAGCAAAAATTTTTCACTTTCCTGTCTCAGCTGTAAGAAAAATAACAGTGCAAGCATGATGATAAATGGAGCTTGGCACTTAGCTCAGGGTCAAGGAGACAACAGGGAGAGGCGGGGGGTGGGGGATGAACTGAGATGTGTGTTCTAGCTGAAGACTGCAAACATTGTTCAGGATGCAGGAGTGTAGGGGGCCAGATCTTCTGATGCTCCTTTTAAAGGAAAAGTTGGAAATACGGATTTCCATGCAAAATATTCTGACTTTAAATGTCGCCCCCCCCCAAAATATTTAAATTCTTAAAATACTCTGTGGGTCAAACTGATTTAGCTTATAGCTCGACAGTTTGGGGGATCACTCCTGTAATATCCTATTGTGTATCCTATTAGCACTTTCTTCAAATAGGCCACTTCAAGAGATTTATATTTTCTTAATACCCCAAACTTGTATCACCCCCATTTAGCAAATATTTGGATATAGAAGGAAGGGTAATCCTGATGGACAAGAAAAATAGTAAGAGCATTAATAAAGATAGGGGAGCCAGAAAGGGGTTTTTACAAGGGCAGAGGAGGTGAGTTTGATGTCGTAGGACTTCCTGAGGTGAAAATATATGCTAGGCATTTAGACACATGGAATGGAAGCTAAGAAAGATATTGCATGTGCCATGGATGGTTAAAGGCCTCACAGGCATACTGAGAGCTTTGGAACTGTCAGCTTATATCCTTCTAGGGAAGGAGATGGCAAGCTAGAGGAAGCAGGCCCAGGACTGGAGCAACAGAATTTCTGGGGCTATTTGCTTTAGTGGCAGATGTCCATCAATAGGTGCTGACTAGCATCTGGGATACAGTGTGGTGTAAATTGCATGTTTATGATGGGGTCCTGGAGAAGAAGAGAAGGTTAAGTCATGTTCTGTGAAGGCTGAAAATGAAGCAGGGGCTTAGCATGATGATCAAAGATTAGAAATGATTAAAGTAAATAAATGTTATGTAGAAAATGTGCTCTACAGGATGTCTCATCCCTGATGAGGACCAAGTGGACTTTGCCAAATGGGCAGAATTTCTTCACTGACAATTGGAAGATATTCAGGAGTAGGGAACTGTCTCATTTTGTAGTGAAACCGCATTCAACATGCTTTGTTTGTATTTAACTGATATAATCTCTGGATTGCTTTTTATGGTGAAATTAATCTGTATTTTATGTTATACTTCTCTTTGGTCCTGAATATAGTAAATAGTTAATATCATTAGTCTTAGATATTAATATATTCTGAAAACCTAGGCATAAAATCTATGGAATACAATTCTAACAAGGCTTAATTTTGGTCAGACTCTGGGTTTTTTTGCTCCCTTTCTAAGCATTCTGAGCCCTGCTTTGTTCTTACTATGATCTCCCAGATGACTTATTTCTGTCTGAATAGATTTCTACTGATTTAATTCATCTTTCCTTTTCTTCTTCTCTCTTGACCTCCTTCCCTTCTCTCTTTCTATTTCTCTCCCTTCCTATCCCTTTCCCCCTGAAATTTCCAAATTGCTTTTGCCCAGGGATATGGCAAAACAGAACAGGAAAAACAATGAGAATAATAACAACAACCAAAAAAACCTCAAAAAACCAATACCAAAAATCCCATATGCCTGGAAGCCTGAGCTATAGGGTTTAAAATAACTTCTGTGTGTGTGTAGCACCATTAGCCTGCAAGTGTTCTGTGCATCTTCTTGCTTGCTTGGCAGAATTCGTGCTCCCCAATTTGGTTCACTGGATGGGATTACTTTTCCTATTGACTATTTTCCTGGTCTTGTTATTAATGCTGCCAAAGCACCTGCCTAAGATTGAGTTTTGAGCAGCTCACTGGAATAATGACATACAATTATGCCTAAAATCCTAGTGATTTGTTCACCTGACTTTCCCTCTTGAGCTGTAATTAAACTATAGAGAGGAAAACATTGGTGTCTCAAAGCATTCAGAAATGAGTTGTAATAGCTCCCATGAGGCCAAGTGGGGCTGAGCCAGTGTGCTGTGGTCCTGGCTTTCTTCACAGGTCCATGCATATGTTGTGGTGTTAATCACATTGGCAGGGACCTGGGTCTGTGGATGGCAACTTCGATTAGCAAGTTGATTTTAGGTTGTTGGTAAGATTTATCACATTCACCTTCTGTGCCTTTTAGGGTCTTGCAATGTTCTGCCTCCAGCTCCTGGGCCTTCTATCGTAAATTGTGTGAATTATCAAAATGAGTTTTGTCTGTCCTTAGCCTAAATTCCTTTACACTTAGGATGAGTTTGCTATTGTCAGCAGAACCCTCTTTAGTAATCATGACTTTTATGGGATCTTGGAATAGTGTAGAGAAGAAAGACCTGTTTGGTTCACATCACTTGAGGGAACTATATGGTCCTCATGCCTGGGAATGTTAGGTCCCCAAATAACTTCTAGGACTACAATAGGCCTTCTTCCTTTGCCAATATTCATGTTAATCTACTAATTTTCCCTCCTTCCCAGAACCATAATGGCCCATATCTCATGATAAATGGCCATGGGACTATGGAAGGATAGAATGAATAGGACTGCTAGTGCAAATATGATTCCAGTTGGAAGAGAACATGTTCTTAGCAGACACACCCAATGATCTTAACCTTTATAGTACACAATACTCACCCTTTTGAGTTTCTACTTGGGTATGGGTACTTCAGTCACTGGGATATTGACTGTACAATTAAGCTATCTTATTATCTGAGGAATATTCTAATCTATCAACTAGGGGAAAAGATGAATGTGGGGTTTTTTTTAAAAGCTCTAGATCCACATTCTCATGGTAGCACCTGGGCATGCTGTACAAATGCCACATTATTATTGGTGAGGAAGATGAAGTTTCTGGAGGGAAAGGGACCGAGTCATTGCCCATCTTATTGAAATGATCAAGCTTAAGCTGTCATTCAGGTGGATAGAGAAGAAACACTTGGATGAGAGATGAGTCTTGTCAGCCACTCTGGGTCCCTTCACACAGGTGTGACCGGCGCAATGACTGTGGTGACTATAGTGATGAGAGGGGCTGCTCCTACCCCACCTGCAGTAAGAGTGAGTTTACCTGTCAGAATGGGCGCTGCATTAGTGAGGACTTTGTCTGTGATGAGGAGAACGACTGTGGGGACAACTCTGATGAGCTGGAGCACCTGTGCCACACCCCAGAAGCCACATGCCCGCCTCATCAGTTCAAATGTGACAATGGGCGCTGCCTCGAGATGGTGAAAGTCTGCAACCACCTGGATGACTGTTCCGACAACAGTGATGAGAAAGGCTGTGGTGAGTACAGTGGAAAACTTACCAAAAGGACACAGAGGCAGCTAACGGCTTGGTGTGGATTCTCAATCCTTCAAGACTGACCAGGACTTTACCATCTGTTTTCTGTGTGCACATTTCCAAAAATTTCTTGTGGCTTTGATATCAAAAGGCAAAGATTTCCTGGCATGCAAGACAGGCACACCACCATATTTTGGGAGATAATTCTTGAGTTAAGCAACCATTAGAAAGAATAGAAGATGAACAAATATACAGGCCATTTTTTAAAGAGGTCTGCTGAATAAGGTGCCCAAGAATGAACAGTGTTGATGATCTTTAGACCCTTGGAATGACGTATTGCCTGAAGCATCTCTCTTCTAGGACTGTTTAGCTGGCTCTTCAGTTTTGTCCTCAGGTGCTCAATAGGAGAATTTTAATCTCCTCCTTACCCCACCACCATAAGCAAACCAGTGGAGAATTTACAAAATGGGTACTGTTTGCTTAGCAGCATCTTGAATTCCTGTTTGTGGAGTTTGATCACAGGAGCATTGTATGCTGGCATTGTCTCTTTAATCAAAGACAAATGCTTTGAAAGAAAGGTCATATCTTTTTATTTATTTTGTTTTCTTCCACTGATTCACTATCAGTGGTCATTAAGTGCATTGCTTAATTGACCCAGAATATATAATGTGGTTTCAGTTCTTAACATAAAAATCAAGCCCTAGACAGAGAAACTCAGAGAGAAAGTGCTATGGAAATTTAGAGAAGGGAATACATACGTATAACATAAAAAATGCAAAAACTAATTATTTGCTCTAATACAAGAAAAACTACTGTTAGTTTCTACCAAAAGTTTCAAAAACCATTAAATAAATAAAAATAACACCTATTACTTTTAGATATTTATACCAAAACTCTTAAGAGAATTTTCTTATATTTAGTCCTAATTTGGTTAGATTCTCATTAGGCTTTAATTAATTTTGCTGTGCCTATTGAAACCAAAACCAAATTCTCAATTGTACACAATGCAAATGTAAAATTTTAGTTTGATCTCATGAGGTCTCTTCCAAAGGTACTAAACATCTACTCTTATAACCAGAACAAATCTGGTTGATTATGTAAACCCTCTTTCTTTTGCAAATAATACAACTTTAGCCTGTAGATATGAAATGAATTGCTTAGTGTTACCTGGTAAATCAGCAGCAGTATAAGGTCTGATTTTTTTTTTTTTTTAGCACATGAAGTAATTTTTAATCTGTGGCTCCTGGCTGAATAGAGAATTAATAAACACCTGTTCCCCTCCCTTTGCAGATGGTTTCTGAGTGAGCTTGGCCATGCGTCACAGGACCAGCCAAGGCACACCTACTGTTGGGGTGCTCCTGGTGATGAGCTCACGCCCATGCTCATGCTGTCCTGTGAGAGGCACACGGTGATAACTTTTTGCCACTCTGTAGTCAGTAGTGGCAAGCTGGTAGCTTGAGAATGGTCAGGGTGTGCCTATCCCATCACTGCAATAGGGGATATTACAAATCAGCCTTTCCCCTCTTCCTTAAGGGGATTCTGTTTTGCCTACACTCTAGGTAGGACCCTCTGTTCTCCTTTCTCCTGCCATTTTATTTTTAAAACTATTGTTTAATGAGAGGTTGGCAAGCACAGCACTAGAAGTCAGCTACCTTTGTTACTAGTATTGAGTGTGAAAACCACAGTTGAAGGATTAAGTGGGAGAGAAAGTTGAAAAAATAGTGGCTTTTGAATCACCCCATGGTCGACAGTCTTCTGGCATGATTCATTAAGAATTGATATTGCCAGGAGAAATGTTGACATCACTGACATTTTTTATACCAAAATAATAATAACAACTGTCTTTTACCTACAGGCATTAATGAGTGCCAGGATCCTTCCATCAGTGGCTGTGACCACAACTGCACAGATACCCTCACCAGTTTCTATTGCTCTTGTCATCCTGGCTACAAGCTTATGTCTGACAAGCGGACTTGTGTTGATATTGATGAGTGCAAGGAGACGCCCTATGTCTGCAGCCAGAAGTGTGAGAACGAGATAGGCTCCTACATCTGCAAGTGTGCCCCAGGCTACATCCGTGAGCCAGATGGGAAGACCTGCCGGCAGAACAGTAACATTGAACCCTATCTCATTTTTAGCAACCGATACTACTTGAGAAATTTAACTGTAGATGGCTATTCTTACTCTCTCATCTTACAAGGACTGGGCAATGTTGTGGCACTGGATTTTGACAGAGTAGAAAAGAGATTGTACTGGATTGATAGACAGAGGCAAGTCATCGAGAGGATGTTTCTGAACAAGACAAACAGGGAGACAATCATAAGCCACAGACTACCAGCTGCAGAAAGTCTGGCTGTTGACTGGGTTGCCAGGTGAGGAAACACTGATGAGCTTTTTAAAAGTTAAAAATTACAAGGAAAATACTGTGTTTTATCTGGATAGGGAATTGATCTTTTCAACCTGTGTTAATATGTGGATGCATTTAATACTTCTGCATGTTTTTTTTCTGCTTTTTACTTAATACTCAAATAGGTTACCACAGAACTTTAGTGATTGTAAGAATTTCTGATATTACTTTTATGGAGAAGGGTATCACAAGGGAGGAAAGAACCCCGCTATCCGTAGGCCTTCAGTTATCTGGAGATAATATTAAGGACTGATCCTCACATTCATTGGTGCATTCAGTCATTTAAATATGCTGAGTACCTCCTCCCTGCCAGATGTGATGGTGGGCACTGGGGACCAGGAGGTGAACAGGCAGGCAAAGCCCTTGCTGTTCTGGAGTCCACAGGCTTGCTTCCAATGCTTAATCATCCCCAAATCTGGGTTTGTCATGAGGCAGAAGATGGCTGATCTGAAATGCTTTTCTTTTGAGATAGTTCTTCTAGAGACTGAGGGTTTTCAGGGTAGGACGATGATGTTATAATTGACTTTACCTGATCAGGCACACTTCTTAATGCCTCTGTTGCATATCAAGTCTGTTAGATACTTGGAAGCATAAGCCAGTTGACTGTGTGGTTAATAGACATGAAGCTATAGGCACTAATGTAAATATTCTAGTTGCAGTCATCCCAGACCTCCAGGTGGCTCCTTGCCTTGTGTCCATCTTCAGGGGAAAGGGCCTAAAACCAGAGGGAGAATTTGGTGCCCGGTTCTCCCTGAGCAGCTGGCCTGCCAGACGTGCTCCTAAATTCTTGCTGAATAATGTATGAAGCATTGACAGCATGAATATGAATATGGCTCTACTCCATGTCCAAAAACATAGTGATTAATGATTTACAGGAACAGAACTAACCATGGTCCAATTCCTGTCCCCATCATTTGCTGCAGTGCAGGGGAAAATAACAGTATAACTCAAAGATAATGTCATTTAACCCTCTCCCCCCCAAACTCGTAGAATATTATTTCCGTCTGGGTTTCAGCCCTTTTTTTTTCTCTACTGTGACATATTCTTGATCAGAAAGGAGAATTATTTCTGTGTGTGGTAGTAAGGAAGACAGAGCAAGGAAATCTCAGTGAGGCTGGGGGAAAATGGCCCACACCTTTTCTCAAAAGTCTAGGAAGAAGCACAGCCAGGTTAATTAGTCCTTAAAACATGAAAGATAGAACTCAGTCACATTTGCATTGGTAGGAGACATAAGATAGGAACTACATTGAAATTAGAAACCTTTTCCTCCAACATTAATACAACATTAATACATTATTCAGCAAGAACTTAATACAAAAGTGCACAGCCAATATCAGATTGTTTAGTTTCCAAAGCTTTTAAACTTGATCTAATTTTTAAATTTGTTTTAATTAGTTATGCATGACAGTAGAATGCACTTTGATGCATCATATATAATGGAGTATAATTTCTCATTCTTCTGGTTGTACATGATATGGAATCACACCAGCCATATAGTTATATATGTACAGAGGGTAATAATGTCTGAGCTACTGATTTTTAAAAACACCACTATGCATGTTGGAAGATAGTGCTGGCTCTTCGGCTTCTTAATATTTCCAGTAGTGCAGACAGAGAAGGTCTTCATGTTCTCTCCAAGCGTCTGATCACAGGATCAGTCTTTCAACTATGGAGTGAAGAGAACTTAATGGAAATGCAGGAACCTCAACAGAGTAGAAGTGCCCTGTGGTGGAGTGTAGCCAATCTTGAATTCCTGCTCTGCCACTTACTAGTTATATCACATTGGGGCTTCTGCAGTCTCATCAGAAAGATGGGAATAATAGTATCTCCTTTCAGGGTTGCTGTGATCTTACAATGTCTTAAAAATTTCATAGTCTAGGGCCTAGCATTTACTAAATATTCAATATATAGCTACCACTATTATTGGTATTTTTGGCCACTACAATGATGGAATCCAAGATGTAGATTGTGGTCATCTCACTCATTGGGACTTACTCAAGTGTCTTAATTGGCAAGGCATGTCCATTTATTCATTTATCCCTCCTCATAAGAACAGGGTGCTGCTATTCTGGCCTCTAGCACAGTTGGACTGGGCTTATGTCATGCAAAGAAGCATTTAAGCCCTTTAGAAGAAGACCATTCTCTGTTCAGTTGGTATTGATGACCCTCCAATTCTAGGAATATTGATCTTTGGGATATTTTAAGATTCTGATGAAAACCCTGGGCCCCTTGATGGACAAAAGCACTTACCCACTTGTGCTTACACAATTTGCATCAGTTTTGGATGGTGTACAGACCCCCAAAGTCCAGGCTTCTTTGATTACAAACACCTGCTCTACAGAAAATAAATTGGTTTTATTGAACATCAGTACACTCAGACCTGAAACGTCCCTGAGGCAGAAGTTTCTAACAGATTCTAATACATTGCCAAGGCTTCTTAAGTTCGATTAAGTAAAATACATCATAGCGTAAGAAACTCATTCTGCCGCTCTGACTGGGCCATGATGGGCAAGGTACCCCTTTACATCAAGGGGGTCAGAATTCAGAGTTCCTTTGTGCACACTAGACAAGTCCGTTTCCTTGATACCACTATTCAAACTGTAATTCATGGCATCTGTTTCTGCTTCCCCATCCTGTAAACCTTGGCACTGCCTGAGAAGGTGCCTTTGGCCACAGGAAGGAGGTAAAACCAGACTCCTGCTGTGAGGTATAGCCTCAGAATTCCCTACATGACATCCCCTGAAAGTGGGAACTGTAGCAGACACTCTGGTACCTTCCATTGCCTCATTGCTGCAAAGTTAACTTCAGACTCCCTCCCACCTTCTTTTGGCCTGGGAAATGTGCCTTCTAACAGCTGCCTGTGTGATTCTCAGGAAGCTTGAACAGGAATTTGGGTGGCTGAACCAAGTGATTCTGTCAGTAACCCCTCGCTCTCTTATTTCAGGAAGCTTTACTGGGTGGATGCCCACCTAGATAGCCTCTTCGTCTCTGACCTGGAAGGTCGATACCGCCGCACCCTGGCCCAGCACTGTGTGGATGGCAACAACACCTTCTGCTTTGATAATCCCAGAGGAATTGTCCTTCACCCTCAATATGGGTATTGTCTCCCTGTAATCTTGGGCTCTTCTTTCATGCCCTTATTCCGCCTCTGTTATCAAAAAGGCTCTCTCAAGGCCAGTATCTTGCTGGGATTTGTCTTCTGCTTTTCCTACCTGGTAAATGGGTTTAGTATAATGGGTAGAAGCATGGCTTGTTTAAGTGATCCTCATCTGCTCTTCTGTTATCTTTGCCATGGCACACCTTTTCATTTTTTTTTTTTCAAGTTACACTTTTTGGCTGCATGCAAAGAATACTGTGGTAAAAGAAACATTTTTTTCCTGGACTCTCCATGTCAAATCACTGAAGTACATAGTTAATCATTCTTCTTTGAGCATTTCCTGTACCTCATCCCCTTTAATCTCTTCTAGATTATTTTCTGTTAGCTTTCTTCCCTTTCTAAGAGGCTCTGTGGGATATAAACTCCATTTCTCTAAAGGGAGAAAAGCTGTGTCTTTTGGCTACCGACTTCCTTCAGCTCAGGGACTGACCCTCTGTTTGCTCCTATAGGTATGTCTACTGGGCAGACTGGGCTTACCGTGCGTACATTGGGAGAATGGGCATGGATGGATCCAATAAGTCTGTGATTATCTCTACCAAGTTAGAGTGGCCCAATGCCATCACCATCGATTACACCAATGATCTCCTGTACTGGGCAGATGCTCACCTGGATTACATTGAGTAAGTAATAGAAAAGAACACAACAACAGGGCCACTGTTTAGCGCAGATTCCAGGGTTTGTACTTCCAGCGTATTTGTCCTGTGTATCTTTTAGCTGGCCTGAGTCCATTTCTATGAAATTCCTATAAGTAGTTCACTGAGCCCTATGGTATGGTACAGTAGAAAGAGAGTGAACTTTGAAGTTGTACTATCAGGGTTGATAGCTTGGTACTTTCACTTCTTCTTTTTCTTCTTCTTCTAGAAAATAAAGTTAATAATCTCTCCCCTTAATATTCAATACCCACCTTGATTTCCTTTTCCCTTTGCTTTGTTTTCCCCTCCCAAATATATGATTAATTTCATGGTTTCCATATAGTCCTTGAAAAAATAAAAGGAACAAAAGCATTGGTGCATTTATTGATAAGTAAAATATTTTGCCTAGCAACAGGGTCTGTTATCATTTATTCAATGTCATAATGCATTGAAACCTTTCTGGCATCAGGATAATTTTTTAAAATTGTGTGAAGTATTATAATAGGCAGTGAAAATTCTTATTTTTAAAAAATATTTATTTTTTAGGTGTAGTTGGACACAATACCTTTATTTTATTTATTTTTATATGGTGCTGAAGATCAAACCCAAGGCCCCTCACATGCTAGGCGAGTGCTCTACTGCCGAGCCACAACTCCAGCCCCCAAAATTCTTATTTTAAAAAAGATAATATAATATTAACCAACTACTACATGTTTATTTTGGGGGCATGGCTATTTATGGCCCTGATTGGAACATAGTAATGTCTTGCATTCAAACGCTTAGAAGTACCAGTCATTCAGGAGAGCTACTTCAAAGGCCCTTAGAAGTTCTGTCACCTGGTAGCTGTGTTCTGATCCTTTATCTTCATTGTTATCAAAACAGGCCAAGCAGGTCTTCAGGTTTTCCTAGCATCTGGGGAAATATTTCTAACACTTCAAGGCTAATATGATCATACTTTTTGGTTGGTAGCTTATTCTATTTCTTGTTTGAATTTTAGGAGCTATTCCAAATTTTCAAAATATTAAAATATCAGTATTTTAGAAGTGACTTTTGGAACTAAGATGACTTGGAAATTCAGCTATGACTATGGATGCTCTGTGACATCTCAAAATCAGAGACTCCCTTCTGATGGTTTATTCATGCCCATGGCATGATTAGTACTAAATGTTCTTTGACAAGTGTTAAGTTAACCAAGCAGGCCCATAAGGCATATGACCTGGGGTTACACTGAGAACCTGTCTCCTACAACAGCTTCACTCTTAAGAATGTTCCCAAGAAGATGGGATTCCAGCTTTATGTTGCCATTTCTGGTTTCTTCCAATGACTTTAAGAAACAAGAATGGTGTTCACCCTAGGAAATCCAAAGGATACTTTAATGGAAAACATCAGCATGAGAGATCACAAACCTTCCACAGCCATGCCAGCTGCAGCTGAAGGATACCAGCTGGGGTTAGGAGTCAGTGATTGTTTACCTCTGTGGCTGTTCCTAATTTTGAAGCATGGCTTTTCTAACTTTTCTATCTTTTGGTCAGTTGAAATAAAAGTTTAGCTTTAGTTTGCATAAAGACCAGGAGGGTAGTTTTATTAAGTGGTTTTTTGTTGTTGTTGTTGTTCACTCATCCTGCAAGGCATTTGAAGTGGGATTATTTTCCTGACTGAGGGAGTGTCTCTTCCTGCTTCCCCAGGTACTCAGATTTGGAGGGTCGCCATCGGCACACAGTGTATGACGGGACGCTGTCTCACCCCTTTGCTATTACCATTTTTGAAGACACTATTTACTGGACAGACTGGAATACAAGGACAGTTGAAAAGGGAAACAAATATGATGGATCAGATAGGAAGGTGCTGGTGAACACCACACACAGGCCCTTTGACATCCATGTGTACCATCCGTACCGGCAGCCAATCGGTGAGTGAGTAATGGAGGAGTTTGGCAAGGTTGCTTTGGGTTGCGTGGTTTCATGATTCCTTCTTTAAGCACAAATACCATGATTTACAAACATCATGATTTACTTGTTTATGTTTCCTTCAAAAACATGCTGAATATTGGGAGTATGCAGATACCTTTAGAATTTATCCTCTAACCCTACTTTTGAGTATTGTTTCTATTTTTTGTACTGAACCCAGGGTCTCACAAGGCAAGTGAATTACCACTGAGCTTCATCCCCAGCTCCAGGAAGGATGCAAATAACTTCTTTTTCTGAAAACTTTTCCTATTCTTAAAGAACAATTTGGGGGTTTTCATTTGTTTTTGATGCGATTTTCTTGTTGTTATGTTGCCATAGTTACTTCATCTAGTTTCATAGGAGGATTGAAGTATTTTAAAATGAATTAAAAATATCATGATATTTCAACCCTAACTACTTAAAGAAGCACCTTTGCAAAATAAGGAAGGGCATTTTCTTATCTAACCATAATATAATTTTCATGCTTAAGAAATTAGCAATCATTCCTTAATACCAAGATCACCTTAGAGAAGGTTTTTCAAAGAAAATCATAGTCATTACAAACACTTATTAAATGTCTATTTGCATATGATGTTGTATTATATAACAAACAAATGTTATTCCTATATTGAAGATAATAATGGCAAGAACAGCTCACTTTAGTTTCTCCTAAATAAGAGAATCTGCTTTTCTTGTGATCTTGTATTCCTCTTCATGTAGTGAAAGTCATTTGGTGACTTAGAGATAGTCTAGCAAATGTCTGGAGGATGCCTTGGGGACAGGCTGGCTTTTCTGGGTCTGCTTTGTTGTGAGTGATGTCTTGCCAACACAGATGACAAACTTGGAAGTAAGGAAAAATGAGAAGGAACAAAATAAAAGTATTCAGATATTTTCTTTCTGGAAGATGATATTCTTCATATTATTTTACTAGAAGATCAGGTTAGTCTTCACCTCCAACAGATGACTCAGAAACCTAGTGTGGACATTGCTCATGTAGCCACCCATGTCACTCATGGTCAGACTTTTGCTGCCTGTGTCTTTAGGACAAAGGAGGCATCGGCCGCACGTTAAAACTCTTGCTCAGGTTCTGGTACGTGAACGTAAGCTCCCCAAGGACTTCCAGAAACATGTCTTTTCTAGCAGACTTCAGTGAGCATGTCCCTTCTGGTAGCACATAAGTGCATTTTCTCAAAGCACAAGGTTGATGCTTCTATAACTCTACCATCTGTCTAATTTAGAAACTTTGGGTAAAGGATAAAACTAGGATTATGATTTTTCCTTCTTTCTAAGAGGTGATGAGTCCAGTTGTCAAGCTGGATAATTAGCCAATCCATACCGGACACTCTCTTTAAGCAAATGAACATCCATTTTCTCCCTTTTTCCCTAGTGAACAATCCTTGTGGTACCAACAATGGTGGCTGCTCTCATCTCTGCCTCATCAAGGCAGGAGGAGGAGGATTCACCTGCCAGTGTCCAGATGACTTCCAGTCCCTTCAGCTGAGTGGCAGAACCATCTGCCTGCCCATGTGCTCCAGCACCCAGTTCCTGTGTGCTAATGGTGAAAAGTAAGGTGTCCTTTCCCCTCTCCCCACTTAGGCAAGTTGAACTTGGAAGCTTTAGGGATGGGGGTTCTCCATGAACCAAGGTTTTGGCTAATTACTTTGTTTTGTGAGGAACACACCAAGACTTTCGGTCTTTAACTTCAGATAATTCCTCTCATGAACAGAAGGAATTGGCTAACCAAAATGATAATGCTTATGTGGGTAGGTTTTTGTAGAGAGAAAGGAAACTATTTCTTATTTCTAATAAATTGTCCTGAGTGTTAGGGCCAGAGTATACCTAACTCTGAATGAAAATAGCCTTCAAGAGGGACAGAAGTTCCCCATTTTTGCCACCTTTATACAGTGCTACCTCCTTATTTACCTATGTCATTGGATCCAGGATTACAGTTTGAGTCCACTTTTGATCATCTGTGTTTGCTGTGAGATATGGTTGTAGGTTATTTCCATAACAAACCATTGATAATTCAGAGAGTGAGCAGAGTCAGAGAGTGAGTAGAGAGAGATGTTAATGCAAATCATAGCATCTAAGATGTAACAGCGGACTATTTTGGTTCCTAGATAGAATATGTGAGATTACAAATCTAGTGTACTCTTCATGACGAGGGCACTTAATGGTTATTTGGGTCCTCCAGTTTCCCAGCCAATCCCTGATGTCTTATACCACCTTGGCAGGCAATCTCATCACCACTTCTAGAACCACAGCTCACAAAAACACACACTTTATTATTGTTCATTGTGGAAGGAATTTAATTATCATATCCAAAACATATTTTCAGTGTATTTCGGTCTTGACACACCTGTGCTATCTCACTGAGTTATCATGGTGAGATGTTTTTTTCTGAAAACACACCATGGTAACTGAGATTTAATGGATCCTCTTCGGGACAATGGGAGAACTCATGCATGTCATTGCATGGGATTCGGTGTTGATTTCTTCTCTCCTGACAACTGTTGCTCACTGCGACCCCAGTGCTTTTTTTTTTTTTTTTTTTTTTTTTTTTTTTTTTTTCATGCAGGTGTATTCCTATTTGGTGGAAATGTGACGGACAGAAAGACTGCACTGACGGTTCTGATGAATCTGCTCTGTGCCCACATCGCTTCTGCCGGCTCGGACAGTTCCAGTGCAAGGACGGCAACTGCACCAGCCCCCAGTCCTTGTGCAATGGTCACCGTAATTGCTCTGATGGGTCTGACGAAGACCAGGTTCTTTGTGGTGTGTTGAATTGCTTTACACCTCTTTTCCCCACTTCTGTATTTGTGTACAATCATGATTTTCTAGGGTTTTTCCTGAATGTCAGAAGATGAAAACTGGTTCAAAGTCTTAGGAGGAAGGTCAGGACCCACCCAAGGTCTATGTCTACAAAGCTTTAAAAATAGGAATTCTAAGGTCTTTAAAGAGCAAATGTTTGAGGTAGATATTCTAGATTGGTGTTTCTTTACCACGTGTTAGGGCATAGAACCCTCCTTGAGAGCAATTTCTTACTCCCATTAAAAGAAGAACTCTCAATTGCAATATTTATTTTTATTTTCACTTAGAAATGCAAAAACAACAACAACAACAACAAAAACAAATCCCCCAACCTGATGCTGCTAAGTTAAAAACCACACACCAACAATAGCAACACACAGGAAGCTTGAAGACCATTATTCATAGGGGAACAAAGACAAGAGAGATTAGCAGGACAGGGGATTAGCAGACCCTTGTTAAGTCCCTGTCTCTTAATTCTGTATGCAAGAGAGTGATATTTAAGAACTTGGAAGACAGTAATAGACAAAGGTATAACTACTCACATCAAAGTAGCACTGGTTGATAATAGGCATGTTAGGATGTAAGTCCTATGAAAAGAAATTATGATTGAATTCCCCTGTTTCCATTAGAGTAAATTAAAGAGATTTCAATTTTTTTTTTTTTGTACCAGGGATTGAACTCAGGGGGTACTTAACCACTGAACCAGATCCCCAGCCCTATTTGGTATTCTATTTAGAGACAGGGTCTCACTGAGTTGCTCAGCAAGTTGCTTTTTGCTGAGGCTGGTTTTGAACTCTCAATCCTCCTGCTTCAGCCTCCTGCGTGCGCCACTGTGTCCGGCAGGAGCTTTCATTCTGGATGCCAAGTAAGCTGATATCCAAATGTCCCCCCTCACAGAGAACCACCGGTGCGAATCCAATGAATGGCAGTGTGCCAACAAACGCTGCATCCCAGAGGCCTGGCAGTGCGACTCAGTGAACGACTGTGGGGATAACTCGGATGAAGACAGTTCTCACTGTGCCAGCAGGACCTGCAAGCCAGGCCAGTTTAGGTGTGACAATGGCCGCTGTATCCCTCAGTCCTGGAAGTGTGATGTCGATAATGACTGTGGAGATTTTTCTGATGAGCCCATCAGTGAATGCAGTAAGTTTCTTGGGAAAGACTCCCTGCATGACCAGAGCAGGGAGAACCTTTGTGTGCATCCAGAAGGGTCATGGAATCCCTCACTCAGCTCCGGGAGTGGCTCCCTCTGGGTTCTCCCTGCAAACTCCGGCATGGCGAGGCGAAGCATGGTCGAATGTCTGACAGTTTGAACTAGAAAACCATAAGACGTTCTCTTCCTGAAGTCTCTGATGCTGCCTCTTGATCCAATGTATGTCTGCCCACCCAGAATATCACATTGTGTATATCTAGTACTTCTCACCGGAGGACCTTGAGGCAGAGAAGGTCAGGGTTAACTAGGCCCCATTCTACAGATGAAGAATGTGAGGCTCAAATTAAGTGGATGGTCAGTGGCCGCCCTTCTACCTCAACTCAGGTTTTTAACTTCAAATCCAGTCCTTTTGTACCCCCTACAAATTTACATTATAGAATAAATGAGGGGTACTGAGACGGAGGACTCTGTTTTTCTGATCACAGGAAACAGATCACCTGTCACTGGAGTCAGTCTTGTTGATAACTCGGTGATTTTTTGTGGCTTGTCAGCACCTCCCGTCCTCAGTATGACAACAGAAAGGTGTTTTTGGTGGCATTTCCCAGCGGGACTGACACTTGGACCTGACTTTGCTATCTCCTCTCTTTCAGTGAGCTCTGCCCACAGCTGTGACAACCACACAGAGTTCAGCTGTAAGACCAACTACCGCTGCATCCCGCAGTGGGCCTTGTGCGACGGGGCGGATGACTGCAGGGACAACAGTGACGAGCAGGGCTGTGGTAGGAGGCCTGTAGGGAAGTGGGAGGGGAAAGGGCTGTGTTTTCCCACGTCATCATTCTTTGTTTCCCTGAGAAAGGATTGCTCATTGATGCTTCTAATGGCACTTTGCATTTTTGTAGCATTTTTAGAGTTATTGAGGGAATTTAATTTATATCATCTGAAATGACTTCCAATCCCAAAGGATGCTATAATTGAGAAAGACATTATTAAGATATTATGAATTTGTGTTATTTCTCCCTAATGTGGAATCCTTATTCAGACTGGACAAATTTAAATAATTTCTCTGATCTTATGGATTGATTGAACTTTGTGGAAGGGGGGAGGGAAAAAAGACTCCGTATTGCCAAATTAGAATCTTTCTTACTTGATGATTTTTCATATTCTGAGTGTTTTTTCTTTCTGACTTTCCATATCATCCATTGGACAGCTATAGTCACTTAGGCAACATGAAAAGAATTGATAGGCAAAAGATCAAATAAATCAATACAGGTTGTCAAAATCAGGCAAGTGTTCTTACTTGGAACCAAAGTGTCTACATGTGTGTGTGTGTGTGCGCGCGCACGTGCGCGCGTGATTTAGTTAGGAGAGAAACAAGGAAGAAATGGGTTGTTTTCATAACAATGAGTCTCAACCACTAAAAGCAAAGTGACTAAGATATTCTATTGTCTACAGGTGACATTTTAACCTCCCAAGTCTCCGTTGCAAATTCCTATTTTTTGGACAGTTTCAACAAAAAGGAGTTGAATTTAGCTTTAAGCAGTTAGGATGGGTTCAGCTTAGCTGAAAGGGATTTTGATAATGAATGGTGCCGGCATCCCTCTTTGGGAGCCTCAAGAACATGGTAGCAAAATTGTCAGACTGTCTCACAAGCAAGCCAATAAGTGCTGCTTTGTGCATTTCTTGACCGTTGCTTTACGGAGTCCTTGCGATGACTGTGCTTTTCAGAGGCAATGACATGCAATCCTTTGGGGGATTTCCGCTGTAAGAATCACCAGTGCATCCCTCTTCGCTGGAAATGTGATAGGTACAATGACTGTGGAGACAACTCAGATGAAGAGAACTGCGGTGAGTGTCCTTACGTGTCACTGTGTCACTGGGACAGGGAGGTGCTCTTTGTCCATATCCGACCTGCTGTGCCTTTCTTCCTCAAACAGTGGCCCAGCAGCTGCTTATGCTGGTTGGTGTATTTCTCCTTTTCTAACTATACACACCAGTGTCTCTTCCTGAGATGCTTATTATAATCAAGCTCTGGGAGGATGGTATTTATTGAAGATTATATTTTTGTCTGTTGAATTTCTTTACTCACCTTCTCTTCCAAAAAAGAACTTGAAGTAACTTATGATAAAGGACTAACGTAGTAAGAAAATAGAAAATCAGGACCAAGAGAAGTAGAGGAAGGAAAGGTGTTAGCCCTAAGACCTGCTTCTCAGCTCTTTCCCCCAAATGGCCCTGTAACAGAGAAGAGAAACTCATGTTTGGATGGCATCCTTCCTGGAGAAGCTGTTTTAGGAGGGATCATAGCTAAATATCAGGTCAGGCTTTAGTTCTCTTCTAAGTGAAGGTGTGACTGCAAGGAATTGGACAGGGAGGTTGAGGCAAGGCAGCCCACGGGCTGGATCCCACTATACCAAATGGTCAGACCAGAATCATTGAGTGTTTTTCAAACAGCTTTCATGAAGCCTTACCCTGAGCATTTATAATATATACTCAATTTCCAATTTTTCTAATATGAAATACATTTCATCTTTAGTTACCTTTGGAAGTAAGAAGTGGTCACCATGTGCCATTTGCAGTTGAGAAAATTAGGATGTTGATTATACCTGCAGCTCAAAACTTGTTATGCACAGGGAGGACCCAGTGGCATTTTATTGTTTTGACCCCCAGCACCAGAGAGAGAAAGATATGAGAGAAGGGGCATGGGAAAGAGGGAGATTATCTAAAGATTCATGAAATAAAAAAGTATCTTAAGGTCCAAGCACCTTTGGATAAACCTCTTAAAGGCTAATCTTTACACACTTAAAGTTGAGGTAGAAAGGTCTAGTTTTGGAAGAGAAAGGATTGGGCACTGGGGGAAGAATGTGTGTGTGTGTGTGTGTGTGTGTGTGTGTGTGTGTGTGTTGGGGGGGCGCGCGGGGGCTAGTTCCTAGCCTATTTCCCTGAGTGACTCCCAGAGCACCCTGATGGCCATGTGGCTTTCTCTTTCAGCTCCCCGGGAGTGCACAGAGAGCGAGTTTCGATGCGCGGATCAGCATTGCATTCCTTCTCGATGGGTTTGTGACCAAGACAATGACTGTGGGGACAACTCGGATGAGCGGGACTGTGGTAAGTGTCAGGGGTTTTTGAGAGGCTTATAGTGGACTCCCACACTGTGACAGTAGGGACTTCGAACTAGTGTTGATAAGGCTTTTTAGAGTAAAATGGCTTTTGTGTAATTTATGCAGTATGTAAACCTTAGCATTACATGGTATATTCCACTCTGTATTTTCTATGCTTTTAAAAACTTAAACAAGAGAAAATATGAAGCCATTTAAAAAATTTTTATTTGTTCTTTTTAGTTATAACTGACAGTAGACTGTATTTTGATATATCATTCATACATGGAATATAACTTCCCATTTTTTGTTGTTGTACATAATGTGGAGTTACACTGGTTGTGTATTCATATATGAACATAGGAAAGTTATGTTTGATTCAATCCACTGTCTTTCTGATTCCCATACCCGCCTCCCACTGTCCAATCCAGTGAACCTCCACTCCTCCCTCCCCTTCACTGACTGTGAGTCAGCATCCACATATCAGAGAGAACATTTGGCATTTTTTTTGTGTGTGTGTGATCAGCTTATTTTACTTAGCATAATAGTCTCCAGTTCCATCCATTTACTGACAAATGCCATAATTTCATTCTTCTTTATGGCTGAGTAATATTCCATTGTATAAATGTGCCACATTTTCTTTATCCATTTATCTTTCATAGAGTACCTAGGTTGGTTCCATAGCTTAGTTTTCAGGAATTGAGCTGTTATAAACATTATGTGGCTATGTCACTATAGTATGCTAATTTTAAGTCCTTTGGGCATATACTGAGGAGTGGGATAGCTGGGTCAAATGGTGGTTCTATTCCACATTTTCTGAGGAATCTCCATACTGCTTTCTAGAGTGGCACCAATTTGCAGTTCCACCAGTAGAGTATATCTTTTTCCCACAGCCTCACCAACACTTTTTGTTACTTGTATTCTTGATAATTGTCATTCTGACTGAAGTGAGATGAAATCTCTGTGTGGTTTTGATTTGCATTTCTATAATTGCTAAAGATGTTGAACATTTTTTCATATATTTGACCAGTTGTATTTCAAGTTTTTTGAGTTCTTTACTATTCTGGAAATTAATGCTCTATCTGAGATTCAGGTGTTAAAGATTTTCTCCCATTCTCTAGGCTCCCTATTTATATTATTGATTGTTTTTTTGCCATGAAGAAGCTTTTTAGTTTGATACATCCCATTTGTTGATTCTTGATTTTACTTCTTGCATTTTGGAGCCTTGTTGAGGAAGTCTGTTCCTAAGGCAAAATTATGGAGATTTGGGCCTACATTTTCTTCAAGTAGGTGTGAGGTTTCTGGTCTAATGCCCATGCCCTTGATCACTTCAAGTTGAGTTTTGTGCATGTTATGAGAGATAGGGGTCTAATTTCATTCTGCTATGTATAGATTTCCAGTTTTCCCAACACCATCTTTTGAAGAGGCTGTCTTTTATCCAAAGTGTTTATGGCACCTTTGTCTAGTATTTATCCACATAAATTTTGTCCCTGTGTCTTCTATTTTGTACCCTTGGACTTTATGTCTGTTTAGGTACCAATACCACGCCATGTTTGTTACTATAGCTCTGTAGTATAATTTAAGGTTTGGTATTTTGCTTCACTTCTCTTACTAAGATTGTTTTGGCTTTTCTGGGCCTCTTATTTTTCCCAAATGAATTTCATGACTGCTTTTTCTGTTTCCACAAAGGATATCACTGGAAACTTAATAGGAATTGCATAAAATCTGTTTAGTGGTTTTGGAGGTATGCCTTTTTGACAATATCAATTCTGCTTATCTAAGAACATGGGAGACCTTTCCGTCTTCTAAGGTCTTCTTCAATTTCTCTCTTTAGAGTTCTTTAATTTTTATTGTAGAGTTCTTTCACCTCTTTTGTTAGATTGATTCCCCAATTTCTTTTTTTTGAGGCTATTGTGAATGAGATAGTTTTCCTAATTTCTCTTTCGGTTGTTTCATCACTGATATATAGGAATGAAATTTATTTATAGGTGTTAATTTTATATCCTGCTAGTTTGCTGAATTCATTTTTGAGTTCTAGAAGTTTTCTAGTGGAGTTCTTGGGTCTTCTAAATACAGAATCATGCCATTGGCAGATAGTGATAGTTTGAGTTCTTCTTTTCCTATTTGTATTCCTTTAATTTCATTCTTCTGTCTAACTGCTGTGGCTAGAGTTTCCAGGACTATGTTGAATAGAAGTGGTAAAAGAGGGCATCCCTGTTCTAGTTTTTAAGGGAATACTTTCATTTTTTTTTCCATTTAGAATGATCTTGGCTGTGGGTTTAGCATACATAGCTTTTACAATATTGAGGTTTGATCCTACTATCCCTAGTTTTTTTTTATGTGTTTTGACATGAATGGATGCTGTATTTTGTCAAATTCTTTTTCTGTATCTATTGATAAATGTGTGATTCTTGTCTTTAAGTCTACTGATGTGATGAATTATGTTTATTGATTTCCATATGTTGAACCGACCTTGCATGCCTGGAATGAACCCCACTTGATCATGGTGCACTAATATGAAGCCATTTTTAAGTCCCGTTTTAGTTTAGACATCCCTTGGAGCAGACTTTAATCTACCTTGGTCTTGTAAACATACACATACCACACACTGGTCTTCCAGGTATTCCACAAGGTCTCCTTTATGTAGAGGTCAAAGTATTGGGAGGAGAATCCTCAACACCAAATAATTGCTATAGCTTTTTATGGATTAAATGTTGGGTCTGAGGAAAATCAGGGAACATTGAAAATTGGAGAATTCTGCTACCTGAGGAAAAGCTGAAGATCTGGAGATTAGTTAATAGTGGGGAGATAGGTACTTCTGTCTCCCTGTTGAGTGGAGCAAGTGTGAGTTTGAGAGTTTACTCACCTGCCAGCCACAGCTGAGGGTGTGCTGTGCGCTGCTATCAGGGTGTGGGTAGGAATGTGATGAAGCACTCATCACTCTCCATGTCCCTCATACTTGTTGAAAATGACAAGGCCTCCGGGAATGACATTCTTTTCTCCTCAGAGCTGAAGACCTGTCATCCTGAACATTTTCAGTGTGTTAGTGGACACTGTATTCCCAGCCAATTCAAATGTGATGGAAGAGCTGACTGTTTGGATGCCTCTGATGAGTCCACTTGCCGTAAGTGCCTGACACCTGTGGTTCTGCTCACCTGAGAATGTGCATCAGGTGGTTTAGACACCTGCTAGCTATTACTCCTTATTCAGGGACACTCAACCACTGAGCCACATCCTCAGTGTTGTGTTTTATTTAGACACAGGGTCTCACTGAGTTGCTTAGTGCCTCACTTTTGCTGAGGCTGGCTTTGAACTCTCAATCCTCCTGCCTCAGCCTCCCAAGCCACTGGGATTATAGGCATGCCCCACTGTGCCCAGTGACAATATCTTGAATAGAGAATATATTAAGTCATCTGTGTTACCAAAGTGTGTCTCTATTATTAACTACTATGCTAATCATTAATTAGATTAAAAACATTTCAGATAAAGAAAATTTCAGGCAACGAGTAGACCAGTATAAAGAACTTGGGTTGAGTGTTCCAGGATGAATTAGGAAGAGCAGGATGTTACAGCAGAAGTGAGGGGGAAATAGCAGGAAAGCGTTCCCAAATGAATGAGTTCATTTGTCTTATGATTTGAATGTGTCTCCCCGCACCTACAGCAACTCGCTTTCCCAATGGTACATACTGCCCAGCTGCCATGTTCGAATGCAAAAACCATGTTTGTATCCAGTCCTTCTGGACCTGTGACGGCAGTGACGACTGTGGCGATGGTTCTGATGAAGAACTTCACCTGTGCTGTAAGAGGGAGAAGAGTGGGCGGAGAGGAGGTGCTGGTGTCCGGCAGAAGCTGCTGTTCTTTACATGCAGTGTGTGATCTTGGGGGACAGTTTTGCAATTTTTGAGGACTAGATGAATGACGGGTATTGGTGCAATGTCACTTGGTCTTCTTGCTTCAGTTCTGTAACCTGAGAACACTGGGCCAACATCCACGATTTTAAAAGTTTTGTGGCCTTAGGAAACAATTTCTTCAGAAGAGATTTTAGCAGGACACTCAGTGTGCCTGAATAGTGGCAGGTCTGCTGGTTTGAAGTCAAGGGGGGGCAGGAGGGAGATTGTGACTGTTCTGCTCCATTCTAATTTTAGTGCCCCTTGAAATACTCACTCCAAATCCCTAGAGCTTCCTGGAGTACTTTAGAAACTTTTGAGACTTTGTCCTTTAAGAAGTTACTTCCCTTTAATGTCATAATTCTAAGGCCATCAAATCCCTGTTGTTATGTGATACACACTTATTTTTCAAACCGGTGAATTTCAGGTATGGGGCAGAATCATTGGGGGAAGACTGTCCTGGTCTCATGTGTCCTGGCCTCAGCCTTGGCTCAGGCCTAATGAGGTGGAATCTCTAAGGTTGGGGTGTTTTTTAAAGCTCCTTACCTTTTTAGTTTAGTCACTATTGGCTTTAACAAAATGAATGAAAACAGAAATTATTTCAACCAACTGGTCACATGCTTTGAATCATAGTAGAAAAGCTAGGACCTTAGTTCTCAAAGTGTCTTCCGTGGACTAGGAATATCATTGTCATCTGAGAAATGCAAAATCACAGGTCCCACCAGCCATGGGGCTGATAGTCTATGTCTGCATGAATGAGACTTCCAAGTAATTCTGATACAAGCTAAAATTAAAGGACTTTGTATAAGTAAAATCATCAGTGCCCGAGAGCTAGTTGCCGGTCTGACTTGGCTACCTTTGTCTTCTGAAGTTCACATTACCTCTTCTGCTCTTTCTTATGATACATCAGAGTATTTCTTTCCCTCAAGTACATGTCACAGTGGCATTCCAACACCTTTTTTGGCCATCTCTTTCATTGTTGGAAGCTAGCTATTTCTTATTTTGTTTATTATTTTGTTTTTAATTTGGTGCTTCTTAACATATTAAACCATGTAAAGTTTTCAAGGAAGTCCTTAGCAAGTAACTTCTTTTCATAAGCCAAAATGCCATAGCTAGTAAAATTATAGTTGGATAGGTGGTGACACACCCGTATTTTGACAATAATTAGCACTGCTCTGATGTTGCCTTAACCCTCCACAGCAAATAATTCTTGGAGATGGTTCTATTAATACTTCCAAGAACCAATCCTCAGATCTGACTATTTCCCCTCCACGAACCCATCTTTTTACAAGTTTCTCCTCTTGATCTCTATGTGCGGTGTCAGGTCAGAAGGAAAATCAAATAGCCCAGGTCCTCTATGTGAAAGAAGATGCACATGGATACAGAGTTCACTGAATTTGTGGCATGGGCAGAGAAGATCATGTCCCCTGTACCCCACAAATGAGGAACCCGGGTACTACCCTTAGTTTCTTCACAGCTATGTTAGCAGCAGCTGGAGGACTCAATCTGGACCATAAAATGAGTCAGGATTTCATGGTGAGATTCACCATTAAATTTAAGAAGTGAGGGAATTCATCAAGGAACATCCATCACAGGGTTAAAACTTTGTGAAGACTTCATGCTCTAGAGACTCTATGAGAACAGCAGAAGGCAGAAGGATTGAACAATGAATGGCCCCCACACTACTGGGAAGAGAGCCCCATGTGGTCCCATTGGCCTCTCATGACCTCTGCTTCCTCCTCACTCTGCACTCCAGCCAGGAACCTTTATAAAGCTCTCCAAACCTGCCATGCTCCTCTCTGATTGAGAATCATCCTCTTATGACCCTTCCTCCCTGTGCCATGTGACAGACCCCCCAGTAGGTGCTTCTCAGATGTAACAGAACAGTCAATGGGTGGAGGGCTGCTTTTCTGCTACAAGTTCCATGAAGACAAGAACCATGTCTTTCTGTCCCTCCATGTGTTTAGTGCTTGGTGCTATGCCTTGGTGTGTGCTGGACACTCATAATGTATTTGCTGATTGATTTAATCAAACGAGCAAATGAATGAACAAAGCAAGCCTGTGCTGGTCTGGTGTGGCAGTTTTAGGTATTGACATTCTTTTTCTCCTCTTCACTTGCAATTTAATTTTTCCACCTTTTTTTTTTTTTCAGTCAATGTTCCCTGTGAAACACCCCATCGTTTCCGGTGTGACAATAGTCGCTGCATTTATGCTCAACAACTGTGCAATGGTGTGGATGACTGTGGAGATGGAACCGATGAAAAAGAGGAGAACTGTAAGAAAAGGGAGAAGGAGACACTAAGGGCCCCCATCCCAGCAGGGACTGTGTGTCAGAGAGGCTGTTGACAACATTGCAACATTCAGCTTTATAGGATATAATCAAATCCCAGAGTGGGAAAAAAAAGTAGTGGTAAACTAACTCTTCCCAAGGAACAGAGTTTTAGGAGTTTTAGTAGGTTTAGCTGCTTCTCTCCATCACAATTAGGTGTCCTTCCTAAAATTATGCCACCAGGAGCCCATGGTCTTCGTGGATGCCAAGGCAGGTGAAGAGAGAAATGGTGAGGGCATACAGGTTTTTGACTTCCCAGGTCTGGAAGTGACAGACATTACTTGAGCTCAGTTGATTGGTCAGAACTAGTCACATGGCCCCCAATCTAACTACAAAGGGCATTGGGAAATGCAGGGAAGCATAGTGAGCATCAATTATTTCCATCACAATTGACCCTTGTGCCACAAAATATCCCTTTATACTCCCCCTCCCTCACACACACATCCGTCCTTACATGACATAACTCAATAGTCTCATTCAGTAACTGAAACCCAGGAGCTCTGGGTAATGGACCTTAGTGACTCCATTAATTCCAGAAGGGGCTCCTCTTGGTGTGGTGACCCATAAACTAATACCCTAGTTTTACCATTCACAATAGATAGTGGAGGAACAGAGAAAGCATAGCAGAAATAGATGTTTCCATTAGAATGAATGAATTAATGACTCCTTGAAATCACCTGTCTGTAGCAGTTCTGAAATACTGGAACTCTGAAACGATATGTGCATGTATCATGGGTGACACTTGATCTGTCTGTTGTCAGTATTAGCAGTAGCACTGCTTTCACTCTCATAAGCACACTGGCATGGAGAGTACACAATAGTGCCACCCTCTGCAGATACTGGGAAAGGCCCCTACAGGTCTTGGAGCTGCTCTGGGAGAGGAGCTCCTATGCCCATTTTTCCTTAATGCTTTCATTCTACTTTTTATCAGTTCCTTGTTCATTTTCCTCTTCTAATGAAGAAGGAAGGGGGAAATATGCCCTCCTTAGGGACAGTACAGTTTTCTAAACCTGCTTCTTACATGTAGAATGTTGGGTTCAAGAGTGTTTTTTTTTTTTTAAATCTCAGTCAGTCATATTATTTTAGTTTATTTGATCATCAGTATCTCTCAGGAAGTAGCAGGCATTTGCTTTTGGTCAGTTCTAAAATTTAATGATTTCACCCAGAGTTCCTTTTGAGACCTTGCTCTTAAATCTGCCTTGTTTCTTTGCATGCTTTCTGTTACACACCTCAATATCCACTGATGGTCACTTATACTCAGGCCATCTAAAAAAAAAAAATAGATGGGCAGTCATTTTATCCATCTAAGACGTTTTACTGGGCCTTTGTGTCTCAAAGCCTTTTAAACATCAGACTTTTAATTAACTTTCCCACACTGCAAATTTCTGGGCTTAATTTCCTTTCATTTCTGCTTACTAATCAGCCAATTTCTCCCTGAGCTTCTCTCTTTCTTATACTACCTGGTCAAATTCAGGTAATTGCAACCAGTGCACATTGCTAACATTCTGTCTTCTTATCTCTCTTCTTAGATCCTCAAGTTCAGTAAGCACGCAAGCTTCCTTCCAGATCTTCTGTGGTATACCCTTCCCGCATGCTTTGCCATTGCAGAACATTCATCTCCATCTTTTCTGCCTCCAATATCAGTTTCCTCATTGCTTGCCTTCTGTTAAGCCAATGTCAGATATTTTAGGTTTTTGCTTTGGAAATACTCTTCTCTCATCACTCTGCTGTAGCTGCTGCAACCAACAAATCTCAAAGTCTCAGTGGTGGAACATAACAGAGACTTCCTTTTCATTCATGGGAAGGCCAGTATGGTTTATACAGCTCTCCACCCTTTGTTTTGCCACCTGTCACATGGCTTCCAAGATTGCTTCAGGAGCATAAGAGACAGAGAGGTCCAGGGGCTTTTAATTGCTTCTACTCAAAGGTGACACATGTCACTGCCAACTCACTTACCACTGGCTAGAACTACTCCCATGGACATGGTCCCAAACTGGATGAAAGGAAGACTGGAAAATGTAGGGAAGCATATATTTATTTGGTGAGCAATAACTGTTTCTACCAGAGGGAAGCATCTTGTTTCATCTTCATGTTTTAACTTTAACTTGTTTTTAAATTACAGGCAGAAAACCAACCCCAAAACCTTGTACAGAAAATGAATTTAAGTGCAGCAATGGAAATTGTATTTCACAGCAGTATGTATGTGATGATGTTGATGATTGTGGTGACCGTTCAGATGAAACAGGCTGCAGTAAGTTAACACTTATTTTTGTGCTTCATTGTGGTAAATTAAGTTCACCTAATAAAGTGGGTGATGACCATGTACTTCTCTTGAATTTACTTTATGCTCCAACCTGTGATCAAGCTCACGGCTACCTGTTATTGAGTATTTATCCTGTACCAAGGCTTTATGCTAAATATCCTATGTGGGTCAGGTGCAGTGGATCATGCCTATAATCCCAGTGGCTCACAGGGCTGAGGCAGGAGTATTGTTGAGTTCAAAGCCAGCGTCAGCAACTCAGCGAGGTACTAAGCAACTCAGCAAGACTCTGTCTATAATTAAAATATAAAAAAGGGCTGGGTATGTGGCTTAGTGGTTAAGAGCCTGTAGGTTCAATCCCTGGTACAATAAACAAACAAACAAACAGATAAATATCCTATATGGGTTATCTCCATTTAAAGACTCTGATGAGTTGGGTATTATCCATCGCCCCTGCTTTTTTCCCCCAGTACTGGGGATTAAACTCAGGGCCTTACTCATTCTAGGCACACTGTCTACTACTGAGCTACCTTCCCAGCCTATTATTCCTTTTTAAAAATATACAAATGAAGAAACCAGCTTAGACATTATATAAATTGGCCAGGATCTCACTGTGTCAAGATTGCGTCAAGATTTGAGCTTCAGGGCACAGTTAGGATGAAGTTATAGGACCTCAAATTTGAGGAGGAAGCCCACAATTCCATGCAATTTCTGATTTTGTTGAGGACTCTTGGTGAACACTTGACCCAGAACATTTGCATCCTGGGAATCCTAATCATATTATAGATATTAGAGCTGGGAGAAGATTATAAAGTCTATACACATGAGACCTAGAGAGGTTTTGTGGCTTGTTCAAGGATATCTGAGCTAATAATAATTGTTGTGCATTTAGTAATGTGGATGAGACATGACTACCAGTCCTGCAGACATTTGGAAGATAATAGGGACTAATGCTGTGGCATCGAGCTAGGCTGCTTATATGAATAGCCAAATTCTTAGATACAAGACACTGAGAGTGGCTCAATAAGAAATAAAGTATGAATAGATATGTTTAGCAATGTGCAGTTGTGATAAGGTCAGAATGGATCTTTATTGTAAAGCTTTTGTGAATATGGTGTGGAGTGTGTACTTCTGTATTCCATCAGATGCCATTGTGTTTTTTCTTTGGGAAGCGGGTGGTACTAGGGAGTCATTGTACTTTGTGGTTATTTTTCTTTTCTTGAAATTTGGTGGTTTTAGTCTATTTAAACTATATAAACTATTACAGTTATTGTACCCTAAGGGACCCTGAGATGTGGTTAAAGATCCTCTCATCCGATACAATGGAGGACATAAATATAAATCTATTGGGATTTGAAAGAACTGAACCAGAGATTCCACAGTTCTTTTGGCTAAAATATTTAGAAGCCTGTGACCAACAGGCAGGTGGATGCAACTTGACTCCTTTATGGAGATAAACACCATGCCCCACTCCTTTATCTTTGTCCATCTTTGTCAGCTTCTCTCTAAGACTGAGGTTTGGGGGTAGATGGAGATTGAGGATGAAAGAAGCACACTGATAAGAATGACAAGGATGAAAGCCAGATGCCAGGGACAGACATTGGCAGAGACAGCACCATGGGCAGCAGGGAGCAATGAAGTGCTTGAGTAGAGTCAGAACTGTGAAAAGCCTATCTGGGAGCATCTGGACCCAGAATGGCAGGGACCACATGAGCTATTCATATAGGCCCTATGAAAATAAAGTGTTGGTTGATTTAACTACAAAGGTTGTAAAATCTAGAGAACACATTAATAATTAAGAGTAGGTCTGGGGTGAGGCTCAGTGGTAGAGCATGTGCTTAGCATGTGCAAGGCCCTGGGTTCAGTATTAAAAAAAAAAAGAAAAGAATTTGAATCCCATTACTAAGAGAGAACTATTCTGAAAGTCTTGTAAACTTTTGCTGTCTTTTTTTTTTTGCACATATATGTGCACATAAATTTTTTGATATTGAACAAATTTAAAGAATATTCTATATTAAATAGTTTTACAATCTTTTTCTCCATTTTATTATAGATATTTCCTATGTCAGAGTATCATTTGAAGCCTTGAATTTTAATGACTGCATAAAAATCAATCATGTAAATAATCATAACTCATTGCTTCTAAGATGTATACTTATTTTTATATTTTAACATCTCTGAAACCAAGGTGCATCTTTCAGTTGATAACATGCCATAGTGTAAGTTCCAGACTTCTTCTATTTTAATGTTACATAAAATAATGGTGCATCATCAATGGTGTCTTAGATTTGATAAAATACACAATAACGTAATTTATTCCCTACTGTTGAATAGATATTTGAGTTGTTTTCAACATTTTCTTGCTGTAATGTTATGATCCTTAAATACAAGTCTTGTTTTATTCCTTCATGGGGGAGGGTTCATTAATGTGAAATAACTGGGTAAAAGAGTAAAAGATCTTTACTTTTATTTATTATTTTATGCTATAGTGCTGAAGGGTCAGCCTTGCACAAACTAGGCAAGCCCTCTACTTCTAAGCTACATCCCACTCCAGTATGAATATTTTTTTAAAACCTTGATATATATAGATAGATAGATAGATAGATAGATAGATAGATAGATTAGATAGATAGATAGATATAGATAGATGGATAGATAGAGATATTATAAAGTTCCCTTCCATACATACTAACTTATGGTTCAAATAGCATGTATGACATGCTATTATATGACATGACTATGTATTTTATTGTACCCTAGGCAACACTTGATATGTGTATAATGAATTGGTCAATATTTGGCAAATTATAGTCTTAAAACTATATAATTTCCCTTTATTTATAGTTTGGTTCTAATTTGAATCAGTGCTGTCTGTCTATCTAGATATAGGATGTTATAGATATAGGATGAGAGATAGCACAGTAGGTGGTGATAGTTGCAAAGCCCCTGGCTTCATAGTTTTTGAGTCCAGAACTGGGTGCTCTGAGGGTGAGCCTGGCAGAGTCTTATGAAACAGGAAAATCACCTCCAGGCTGTAACTTTACATACGTTTGTGTGAATGGCATTCAGGCTGTTCCCAGAAATTAGAATAAAAATGCACCCTGACCTCTGGAGGCTTCTGGAAAGGGATCCTCCCAAGATGCTTGACAGCTCTTCCCTCTGATACAACACTCAGCTGTTTGTTTAGCTTGTGCCTTCCATTTGTCATGCTGGATTTCATTTTTTCAGATATGGGAAAAGAAAGAACATGTGCTGAAAATCTATGTGAACAGAATTGTACCCAGTTAAGTGAAGGAGGATTTATCTGCTCCTGTAGAACTGGGTTCAAAGCTGGTATTTTGGACAGAAACTCCTGTCAAGGTAGAGTATATTTCCTTCAGTCCTTATTAAGAGACTCTCATAATTTTTTTTAATGTCTCTCTGGCTATTACCTTTTATTAAACCACTATTTTATTCTCTTCATGGGGCTAAACTCATGGTTTGGGGGCATCAAAATACTCAAGAATGCCAATTGCTTTTCTTCCCTGCATGCCTAGCAAAATGCCTAGCAACTAGTGTGTGCACAAAATATCTGTGAAATTGTGTGAATAGTGAAGACCTTGGTGATGGTGGCAATGTATGATCAATTAAAGACAATCACCAGGCTTACTATCTTTATCTTGAGTCCAACAGCAAGTATTTATTACACACCTGTGTAGGTGATGCATGAATGAGGTATAGAGTCGGAAAGAAGCATATCAAGAATATCAGTGATGAGTCTGATTCTAGGTGTCTTTTATTATGTGAATTTGCTGTGTCTAATTTATGTGTCATACTTAAATGATTGTAAGAGTTCTTTTGCACGCTGACGCTTAAAAACTCAATTGAGAAAGCAAATCGATGACTGTTGTTCCTGAAACAAGTTGGCTGAAGGGAAGTGATACCAAGAATAACACTACAGATGCTTTCTGGGTGAAGAATTTCTCTGTTTTGTATGAATTCACATGGCTTCAATTAAACCCTATCTCCATTGCTTATGAGCTTTGGGACTTTGGGCTTAATGATAGTCCATACTTCATACAGGTTTTGTTTTTTAAAAAATATATGAAATTAGTAAAAAAAAAAAAAAACCATGAGAATCAGCATCTGAACCTTAATAAGTGGTCCTCAAATGTATCATTGTTTATTTTCATCTGCACTCTTCTTGATTCTTGTTGCCTGTAAATATGAATTTAAACAAAAACAGGGTCTCTAAGGAATGGGTGGGAACAGATGTTGCATATTTGGTTTTATTTTGCCTGCAGACATCAACGAATGTGAGCAATTTGGGGTCTGTCCCCAGAACTGTCAAAATACCAAGGGAAGTTATGAGTGTTTCTGTGCAGACGGCTTCAGGTCGATGAGTGCCCGCTACGGAGAACGATGTGCAGCTGACGGTATGCTGGGCTCAAGTTAGGGGGAAGCAAATGCCAAGAGCACCCCATACCAGGAGATGAACTTTCAACTCTCAGTCTTCCTGTTAACTGACCAGATACTTTTCTTCCAATACCTTTCCAGTTTCTGTTCTCCACTTCTCTCTTCGCCTCTGTCAGTTTGAAATGCTAACTACAATCTCCCACCAATACATAGGATTAAAGCAAGAGTCAGGTATTTTTTAATTCTGGGTTTGGCCTCTTGTCTACCTTAATATAAATATTTCGAAAAGTGGACAAGATGTTACCTTCCAGAAGATTCCACTGCAACAAGAGCTTGCAGGAGGGATCGTCACCAATAGAAGGTACCTGAGGAGGCCCTTGAGCTGCCACTCTAACAAGGTCAGGGTCTGAGGCCGTGTAATCCAAGATGGGCACAAAAACATTGAACTGGGGCGGGTGGGGCAAGTCAGAGACACTCTGCTGCCCTTCCCTTTGTTATTGTTCATGGACTTTTAGCAACAGACAGGAGGAGTCTGGTGCATTCATAACACAGTCATTAGTTTATATTTTAGATTAATTATATTTAGCATTAGGCTAAATTATATTTAGATTCAGGCCAAGTGAAAAGCAGTAATAGGTACCAGACAGCAAAGACAAAAGAGAAGGACTATAAGTCAGAGGTTTTATACATGAAATTTCACAGGCCTGCTCTAAATCCCAGTTAAGGGATATATGGCTTTTTTCTTTTAATTTAAAATTTTTACTAGAGTTTAAGAAAATTGTCCTTTCATTTTGTTAATTGTGGGAAAATGGATATTCTATATATTCATATAAATTGGGCTTCTAAAGCATATGTTTGACTTAAATAGGACAAATACTTAAGTATTTTATCCTCCAAACATTTTTGACAGTGAATGAAAACCAGAGTGATGGCATTTGAACAGTTGGTCTGGTAATTAAGCAGCAAACTTTAAGCTGTTTAAATCTTTTAACTAAGGAGATGATTAAAATAAGTTAGAATATTCATACAAAGCATAATGTCAAGATGGAGGAAATGTATAAAATGAACTTTTAGAAGTTACTTAAATTGTATTTGATTGACATTATGCGAGTAGATTAAATTTTTAAAATTCTAGAAAAGCATCTTGGGATGAATCATCATTGAAAGCTGCTGTAGGTAATTTTTTTAAAAAATAAAAACAAGCTGCTGCTTTTTTTTTTTCTCACTAGCTAGGAGCTAAATTGGGTCATAGAGATGATTACCTGCTAAAAGAATCATAAAATCTGTCAGTAAAGAGTGAGGAACAAGAACTTCCTGGTAAACTTTTGGTGAGGCTGTGAATGTTATTTCCCTTCTGTGAGACTGAATGTCTATAATCTTGTCTGTTTTAATGTCAGCAAATAAAGAAAATAATTCAATGAAAATGAGGGATCTCATTTTCTCAGCCTCGCTTTGCTCTAAACTGTCACTAAGGACACAGAATAAAGAAATGATAATATGGCTAAGCAGAAATATTAGCTTTCCACCTGAAATGGGGATGAGAATGTCCACAGTCATGGATTTTGGAACTCAGTTGTATGGTCAGCTTTATTGATTAACAGAGATGGTCAGATTCCTATAAAAATTCATGGCTTTTCCCCCTTATTTATTTTATGTGTTCTTTTTAGATACATAGTGTATATTGACATGTTAGACATACGTGGAGCATAACATTCTAATTAGGATCTTATTCTTGCAGTTGTACATCATGTTTTTTTAAAGGGAGGTGGGAATACCTGCTATGCATCTTATATCCTACTTTATATTTTAACAGTTCAGGTTGAATTCAAACCGATAAAGTAGTCTCTTTTTGTTTCCAGGTGACCCTCCATTGTTGCTCCTGCCTGAGAATGTTCGAATTCGAAAATACAATATGTCATCTGAGAAGTTCTCAGAGTACCTTGAAGAGGAGGAACGTATCCAAACTCTTGATTATGACTGGGATCCCGAGGGCATAGACCTCAGTGAGTATGAACTTTGGCATCTGTCATTGATAATAAATGACTTTATTAATATTTAGATGTTGAATGGGGGGAATTTGTTTTTTAACAAGGGGGTTTTGTTTCCCCCATGGAAAAAAGCTCCTGATGCCTTACAGTGGACTTGAGTTCCTGCCAACTTCTCCCAACTTTGCTTCAAACCTTCTCCCAACATCTTATCTTTACTTGTACAACTCCCATTCTTCCCTACCATTGTACACTTGGGAAATTTCTACTCAGACCTCAAAGTCCCAATGTCATGTCCTCTGGGACATCTGTAATGTAATTGTGTAATGCACCCATGAGCCTGCAGCATTGTATACACACTTCTACCAAAGCACATGTGACATTGAGCTGTATAGCTAGTGGTACACAGATTTTTCTCCCTATGCACTAAACATGTGCTCTCTGGAGACAGAGATCTCATTCATTTCTATATGCCTAATATCTGGCACAGCACATGTGGTGGGTGCTCTAAAAGCTTAGTTTGGGTACAGGGAAAAAGTATAAAGCCTATAATTGGGCCTCTCGGGGCTATATGGGAAGTAGTAGTGGGTAAAAGTCAGAAAACTGGTTTTCTATACCTATAGCTCATCTTCTCTCCTTGTTTGCCTCCAATACTACATTTATAACCTTAAGCGATTGTAACCATTTTCTGTATCTCAATGTTTTATATGTAAAATGAAAGTAGTCATCTTATTCTTCCTACCTACCTCTGAGGGTTATTTTGGAAGTTGAATTACATAATTCATATGAAATGCTTTGAAAAATATCAGTAACTACGTCAATGAAAGATTTATTATTGTTGTATTTCCTCCACATGTATTCATGCAAAAAATAAACTTTTCAAGAAAGATGTGTATCTAGGAAAGCAGCAGATGCCCAATATATGCTTTAAAACTCAGTCTCCCTGTGCTTTTAACATACTTGCTGTATATTGTCCTTTCATCTGTACATAAAAAAGAACTCCTCATCTACCTGTCTCTTCTATTGTCACTGATCCTGCATATGAATTGTTTTTTTTAATACATTCTGTTTTGGAAACTAGACCTGAGAGCAAATAGGCTCTTGATCAATATTTTAATGAGTTACCCTCAAATAGAGATGACTAAGAAAATATTAATAAGTTGTCAGTTGAAATATTTGTAGCAAACAGCTCAAGTATGATAGGTTTGAGGTTTGATCATATTGATGTAATTGAATTATTAGTATTATAAAAACAAAGGGGAAGTAGAGATGTTAATAGATGAGTAGCAGTTCACTTGATTATACCCCATTTCCTCCCTTACTTGATGTTCTTAAAATGAAACTGGCATGTGTCTTCCTTTGTAGGTGTTGTGTATTATACTGTACTGGCACAGGGCTCTGAGTTTGGTGCTATCAAACGTGCCTACATCCCCAACTTTGAATCTGGCATCAATAACCCTGTTCAGGAAGTTGACTTGGGCCTGAAATACGTAATGCAGCCAGATGGACTAGCAGTGGACTGGGTTGGAAGGTAAATTTGCCACACATCTCCTTCTTGCTTGTTCTGTCTTCCTGGCTAGAGCTCTCTGCTGCTCACATTGGCATGTGACTCAGTTGGGCCCAGGTATGGATGTGCTCAGCTGTTGGTGTCACTGGGCAATGCCTGGGCTTGCCTTTGGCCTGGCAAACTCCTCTGCTTACCCTAGTGTGTCATGTAAACATCATCCTTTCCTGTTTTCTATGTGTGTCATGAGAAGGCTTGAGAAAGCACCCAGATCAAGATTCTGTATTCTAGCGGATAGAGCTTTCTTGCAGACAGAGTTCTGGATTCCAAAATTGACTTTCAGTTATGGCAGCACTGTACATTTTGTGAAGCAAGGGAACAGCCTCACAATTCTCTAAGCAAAGCAGTTGAGATTCAACTGTTTTTTTCTCTGGTAATTACTTTGGGGAGGAACAAACCACATCTTGTGTTGTAGCAGGCTAGCTCTCTGGAACTGATTGAGAATTTGACTTTCCTGCTTCATCTTTGGCTTTTGAGTTAATGGAGGCATCTGCTCTGCTCTTTTCTTTTAGACCTTATAGAACCATCTGGCTCTAGGATCCTTTCTAGAGACCAGAACCACACATTTTGGATGATCCCTAAGTCAGAACCCTCAGGAAGATGCAAGGGATGCAAACCAGGGCGAGAAAGTTATTCAGCTCCTTCTTCAAGGAGGAGGCTGGCACTCAAGTGAAAGTAATTACATGCAAAAGAACTCAAGCATTCATAGCATCAGCATCCCCTGTGTCCTTCCAAATGAACTCATAATGGAGAGATGTTGGAGAGGAAAGCCTCAGCAGCTCACTGCCCTCCTGGAGAATGGAGACTCATTTGCAGTGTAAATTCATTCTCACCTTTTAACAAACCCTTCTGGGGCTCTTGGAAGACTTGAGCTTCTCTGAAGAAGTTAATTGGGTCCCCACTGTGCCCGCAGGCTTCCAGGAGACTCACTTTAACATTTTTTTCTGTCAGAAAATGGGGCCTCAGAGAACTATTAGTGGAGTCAGAAGCTTGAAACTCTAGACATTTAACACTTCCTTTGGAAAACCAACCAGGCAATGGCAGATCCTCTTGTTTGAAGTGTTACCTGTTTCTCAGCCTTAATGGATGAGGGAATTAAGAAATCCTGGCAGCTCTTTCTGCTTGTAAGCCACAGAGACCTGCAGGCTTAGAAGTGGAAATAAGGTCAGAGTGGCCTTGCTGACTTGGTTATTTTGAATGCTGATTCCACTCATCTGATACCAGATTCCTATTGATTCCAGTGGGGGCTCTTTGCTGAGGAGGAAATAGACTCTTGGGCAGCCAGGCTTATGCCTTATGAGTTCTACCTGAAACACATGTCTCATAAAAATGCCTGATAAGAGACCAGCCGGACTGCGGCATCCACCTCTATTACCAATCCTCGCTGATTCAGCTGCTTTGGTTGATCATTCTTCCATAGGTAACTTTCCAAAGATGTTCCCTTGTCTGGAAAGATTAGGGTGTTCCTGAGAGAGGGGCTCTGTGCTCTGATTACAGGTATCTCAGTATCTCAGTAGCTGTTTTGTTGACCAGAGCTGCCAAACTGAATTTTCTCATCTTAAAACCTCTCCCCATTGTTTAACTTTGTCCCTCTGAACTTAGGCATATTTACTGGTCTGATGCCAAGAACCAACGAATTGAGGTGGCAAAGCTTGATGGAAGGTACAGAAAGTGGCTGATTTCCACTCAGTTGGACCAACCAGCTGCCATCGTTGTGAATCCCAAACTAGGGTGAGTCCTTGAAGGAATCTTTTATGATTGGGATAATCTCCACTGGGTTTCCATAAAATTATACATCTTTAAAGATTTTTTTTCTAATTGTACTGAAACTATCCTCTGATATTTTAGAATAGAATTTATGACTGTTTAAAGAATTATAATATGCCCTGGGATCATATAGGACCATAATTTCTGATGGGGAAATTCCTTTGAGAACATTCCTGAGAACCTTTCCGGTTACACAAACTCCTTGACTGAACTTTAAAATTCCTTGCATATTGGGTTCTTTACTTCTTTAAGCAAAGGCTTAATCAGAGTTGTTTTCCCTTTCACAAGAGTAACTCATTTATTGAAATTCAACTAGGGATTTGGTTATGTTTCATTGGATAGAATTAAACATTTATTTCCCAAATATGCAAGTACATCAAATAACATATGTATAAATATGTACTATTGATTTACAGAAATGTTCCAATTTGTGGTTTATCATCTTAGCATGAGAACTAGTTTTGTCATTTTTCTCTGCATTTCAAGACATTTAGGACTAGATAAATTGATATTTACTTATTTAATTTGGCTTCAGAGTAGTAACTTAAAAATTTTTTTTTGAGTAGCCCCAAACACTTCTCCTATTTGGACAAGACCAGTATGACCCTTTGTAGTGCCGGTAATTGTACCTAAAGTACTACAAACTATCCTGACTTTCATTCTTTCATGTTAAATAATGCCCATAGAAACTTAGCAATGACACTTAAAAAATGCTTGCCTGATAAGATTAAACTGTAATGTGGACCTAACCTCAACATTAGTCCTTCCTTCTTGTATCTTACATATATAATATCTTAAGAGCAAAGAAAAGCTCCTTATCTACTGAAGCTCTGTATATACTGAAGAGTATAAAAATATTTTCACTTAGCACCCAGGTCTCTGTGAAAGACTGTGCTTTGTTGGTACTGTTCCACTCCCCGTGCTAGTGAGGAAACCACGAGGGAAGAAGCTACAATGAAGAATACTTCTTTTACAGGCTCATGTACTGGACTGACCAGGGGAAAGAATCTAAAATCGAGTCCGCCTGGATGAATGGGGAGCATCGCAGCATCCTGGTTTCCGAGGACCTCGGTTGGCCAACTGGCCTTTCTATTGACTATCTGAACAGTAACCGGATCTATTGGAGTGACTCCAAGGAGGACGTCATTGAAACCATAAACTATGATGGAACTGATAGGAGAACCATTATAAAAACAGGTTAGAAATCAGTTAGATTCAATACATAAAATAATTAACATATTTCTAGTCTCTCTGCCCATTTTCTCAAGAAGGAACCCTGATCTTAGGAAATGGTTTCCATAATTCTGCCCATCAACTCCCAGCTGCTAAATTAAATGCAAATGAATCCCTAGCAGTAATGAAATTCTTTTTTGCTCCTTTTACAGAATTTTAAGAAATGCCTCTCAGGTGTAGATATTGTAATAACTGAGATTTCTATCATATATCCATATCAATCCATGTCTGATCGCTTCTAGACTTACTCATGTGTGATATGTGAGGTTGTTTCATTGTTCATGACTGGAAACATCTAGGAAAAAAAAAGGAGTGTTTTGTTTTCTTGTCCAGACTCTTCAGAGTTGCAGTGGTCCAGTACATATCACATATTCCCTATCTGACCAATGGTGTCTTATGTTCAAAGGAAAACCTGAAATCTCTGCTCTACAAATTGTTTTCCAAAGATGAAACCAAATCAGCAATTTGAATGTGAGCTAGTGCCCTGTAATTGGTGCCAGGCAGCGTGCATTAACCTCATGTAATTTCTGTCACCTTGATCTCCCAGTGCAGCACTTTCATGGTCACATGTGCAGAAAATATGCCTGAATGTTCCAGGAGTTTCCAGGCATTTGGGATTAATTCAGTCTGGATATCATCAGGTATGCACTGGGATCTTATCTTTTTAATACCCTGTTTTGTTTTTCTGCCATTGCTGTCATAAGCAGCATTGAAGCCTTACAGTCTGGACATCTTTGAAGATCAGCTATACTGGGTATCTAAGGATAAAGGAGAAGTATGGAAACAAAATAAATTTGGGAAAGGACAGAAAGAGAAAATGCTGGTCGTGAACCCTTGGCTCACTCAAGTACGGATCTTTCATCAACTGAGATATAATCGATCAGGTAATCACCAATCTTGGGATAAAATGCTCTTTATTATCTGGAAGCCTCCTTTCAAAAGAATGGCTATAGTATTGGCAAGGGGCAGTGGGTAAGAATAGGCTGCTCTCTTGGTACATTAAAGAGGTTATGTGGGGGTATGGTAGGAAGATGAACCATTTTGAAAAAAGAAAGAATATTGGAGGTCAAATGAAATCGTACAAACCACCAGCATTAAAAAAAACATAGTCAATGTAAAAATATTTCAGTCCTCCTTGTTTGGCATTCTGGATATGTACTTCTGGGCCATAGAATCCAGTAGACATCAGACCCTTGTTAAGTTGAATTAAGAAGTCACAAAATGGGTTTCACGAATATCAGTTTGAACCACTCTTCAAGTGGTCAGGCCACACTGCTCAGATACTTGAGTCTTAGTTCAAAATTGTCAGTCACGTGAATTTCTACCTTCTCCCCTCTTTTGGCTTCTTAGCTCTGGGTCTTACCTCCTCAGGTTAACTGTATTATGGTTCATTTTTCAGTATTGTGTAGTGCAAGATGAAGGGGAGAGGAAACTTTTGAGATGAGAAAAGGAAATAAATAGCTTGTAGTAAGTTCCTCACTTCAGGCTCTCTCCTTACTAACAGAAATGATAAGTTTAATTCTCTCAACTTAAAGCTCAGTTTGCAAGATTTGGCTCAGTAGTTAGTATGCCTAGTTCCAGGCTGAATTCTGACAGGGCACTTCCTTTGATCCTTGTATGTGAGTCAGTGGGGAAGCCAAGATTCTTGCATTTATTTAGTGAACTGAGATCAGAAGACAATTCTTAGAGGTTTGGGGTGGGAATCTTATCCAGTGTATGCCTTGGATAAATCTTGGATAAATATCATGACCTGCCCAGATCTGGGTAAAAGCAAATCTGGGTGTAATCCTGGGGTCTTGTTGGTCTTCTGAACCATCTCAAATTGCTTAGCACTAGTTACATTTGGAGGTTTGACCAACAGATACTCACTTTCTAAACCTACTAGGACAATAGAGGAGATAAGTGGTACCAATAGACAATGCAAGTGATACAGAGATGGGATGGAGGACACAGGGCGGGGGGTTCTGTGCCACTTTGGTGGGGTGGCAAGGATGAAAGTGTGAATGAAGGTGAGTTTCCAGGTAACACATAATGGTCTAGAGATGTTGGGAAGCTGTAGGACTACACCCAGCGGATGGACACACCCTTGGTGGAGTATTCATTCTCCTATCAGGACCTAACTGCTGTTCTCATCTGCTTTCCAGTGTCCAACCCTTGCAAACAGATCTGCAGCCACCTCTGTCTACTGAGACCTGGAGGATACAGCTGTGCTTGTCCTCAAGGGTCCAACTTTATAACAGGGAGCAACACTATGTGTGATGCAGGTAGGGACACCCTCCGGGCAGCCTAAGAATCCCTGTGTGCTGTGTCCTTTGCAGAACAAAGTAGGTGAAAGGGGTAGCTAGAAGGAGGGATGAGTGGTGTGGGAAACACAAACAGAGATGAGTGGACTCCAGGGGCCAAACAAGGATTTCTGAGATTTGCTAAGATCTGAAGAGAAACAGGTCCTAAATCTACACTTGTGTTGCCTTGTAAAGACCTTTTGAAGGGTGAGTTTTATTCCTCTTTCCTTCACCCAGAAGTGGATTTCTGTTGTCCCTGAATTCACTTAGCCTTACCTGAGATCAAGGTGAAGAACCATATTTTTGAGGTGGGAGGGGCTTGTATAGTATGGACAGGAGGACTAGAGGATGTTCATGGTTTTTCTCACATGCTCATTTCAGAGTTCTGACAACTGAAAAGGAGCCATATTTTGAAAGATACCTTATGTCATTGGGAAATGAAGGCCAGAATAAGAAAGAGATTTAATTCTCATTGCAAATGCTGTGGATAATTTCTGGGCAAGACTCTGTTTTTCAATAACTCTTTTAAATTAAAGAGTTAGTAAATCGTGGGGAACAACTAGTATCTCTAACTATTTTCCTAGGCTTAAAAAACACTTTGGGGCTGCCCTCCACTTTTTGGCTGATGGGGAAATGGAGAGGCTTAATCTCCTTCTACCAGCAGGGGGAGCAAGTGTTTAAACAGGGTTAAGCCCTTTTACTCGTCCAAACCAGACTGAAAAGTTGGCCCATTTTGGAGAATGAACCCGGAGACAAAAACCCGCTTCCCTTTTGCTCCCATGCTCATCCCAGCACTGCTGGGAAAATATTGCTCAAGATTTCAATATCTTGAGCAATATTTTGAACAAAATTTGTTCTATGCTGCACATGGATCCTTCTGACATTTATTGTGTGTAAGTTGTCACCTCATCTGCTACCTTCCTCTCTTAAACTTTGTGCCAAATGGGTTATGTTGAGATTCTCATCTAAAACAACTCACACCAAAGTGAGCACATTAATGATGGTATTCATTCCATATGGTCTTGGAGCAGTATATTAATTTTTCAGTTAGCACTGTAAGTAGTTATTGAGTGCCTTCTATGTGCTAGGCACCATTCTGAATACTGGAATGAACAGAAGTGAACAAAACTCTCTATCTGCTCTCATTAATTGTGTTTTCTAACAGGACAATAAAGAGAGAAACCCGTGAACATGTAATAGGGAAAGTACCATGCAGACAAGAAAGCAGAGTGAGAGAATGAGCAGGTGGTTTTTTGCTTGCTTTTGCAGACAGAATCAGGAGGGCCTCTTTGGTAAAAGTAACATTGAGTAGAGACTCAAATTGAAGGGCTGAACCAGGAGGATAGTCAACTCCTTAAGTAAAATACACAAAAATATCTATGAAACATGTTCTAAGTATAAGGCATTGGATCATTACTGACCCATCAGGCACATCAAAGGAATTTATGACATCATATATTCCTTTGATTTTTCCTTTGATATTCCTTTTTTTAAAAAACTGTTTTGCAATACCTTTATTTTGAAGGCGTCATCAAAATACACTGCCTTTCATCAAGTATTTTGAGGAGGGAGAGGTAGAAAGGAGCCTGGGAAAAGCTCCCATGCCAACTCCATTAGCACACATTCAGCAGAACTTTTTTCTTTTACTAAATGATATATTTGAAGCTGAAAGTGCTGCCGCAAGACAGGCGTTTGCCTTTGCATCTCCCGCACAAGTCTTGACGATGGGGGCCTTTGGGGTCCACGTGGCGAAGTCTTACTGGGCAGGAACATCTAGTTGTCTTACACCTTTGGCAGGTGATATCTTCTACACATCATAGGTCCTGAACCAGGCTCTGGACCTATGGGAAGGAGGAATTATTCCTTACATTGGAAGGACTTTAAAAAATAAGATCTCCTGCTCAGTGTCCATCAAGTATCTAGGTGTCTGCCTGTGTATATCTGTGTGTTGATTAGTTGATCCACTGATGCTTTGGAGCCTTTGCTAGATAGTGTTGAAGTGCATCTAAATTAAACTCTCAATTGTAATGGTCATTGAGGAGAATTTGAAAAACTTCAAAGGAGAATGTAAATGTCTTTAGAGATTCTCTTACCATGAGGCTCTTTTAACTATTCATACAAGTTCTGGAGTTTAGCATCTCTCTAATATCAACTGCCTATTTTCTTTCTACAAAATGTATATTGCTCTGAAGAGCTTTTTATTGATAAGGAAATTCACTTGACTTAAGGGGCAGGTGACAGCTTGACAGGGAGACTGTTAGCTGGCCCACCCCAGCCCCAGCCCTGGACACATTTGCATGGTGTGGGTACCTTGCTGAGTAGCCAACTAACACATGCATGGCTTTCCCTTTCTGCAGCCATCGAACCTCCTATCGCCATGCCCCCCCCATGCAGGTGTATGTTCGGAGGAACTTGCTATTTTGATGAGAACAACCTCCCCCAATGCAAGTAAGTCTGGATGCTGAGGTCCCAGCCACAGGCCTTGTGTCAGCTGGGGGAACTCGAGACCTTAACGTAGCCTGGAAAACAAGTGCAGGTGCCTTGCTGGTTCACTAATTTTCTCAGTTTAACCAGCTTGCCCTCCTATGGGGTGGTTTCAGAGGATTAAAGCAGTGCTTCTCAAACTATAATAGGCCAACGAATCATCTGGGGATCTGGTAAAAATGCTCATTCTCATTCACATTCTGCATTTCTAACAAGCTCTTGGGGATGCCACAAGCTGGGGGCCACACTTGGGGAGCAAGGAATTAGAGAAATGGCAACTGTCTCTTTCTTGCTCGCCTGGGATGATGACATGTCAGTGGGAGGGTGGGAGAACAGCTGTCATAGCACCCCTGGTATGCAGAAAGATGGGGCCAAAGATTTGCAAAGAAGAAAGCTGTTGAGAAAGCTCATACACAGAGCAAGAGAAACAGAAACTTTTTAAAAAGTTTAAAAAGTTTAGCAAAAGCACATCAGTGGAGAGGAAACAACTATGGTTTCCATTTGCACTTTCTAGGTGAAAATTCCATAGAGTAGAGAAGACACGCATAGGTTTATTTAATGGGACTGACCGTGTACTGTCACAGCTACTCCACTGTGAGTGAATTTCTGAAGTCAGACCCCGTCCTTTCTACTCGTCATCTCTTGGCAGGATAAACAGAAGTTATGCAGGCAGCATGGTGTGCTCAACGTGTAATTTACTCAGTCAAAGCTCTCTCTTCCTCGGAGTGCTTATAAAATTGTAGTGGGGCCTAAGAGGCAACAGGGCTAGTGAAAGCTTCTCCTTTTACTTCCAGGTGTTCTAGTGGCTACACAGGAACTCATTGTCAAATTGGGCTTTCGAAAGGCATCCCTCCAGGAACAAGTAAGTCAAGAATATGAGCAGCCTGGGAACACTCAGGGCTCCTAACTTGAATGCTGTCATTTATTCTTTTTAACCTAGTCTTTAAAGAATTCATGGTCCTAGCCTCCAGCTCCTCCTGCTAAGCTTGCGGGTTCTTTTCCTTCTCCGTGTGTGTTGATATGCTCTCTGTTTCTTCCTTTTTTAACAGCAGCAATGGCTGCGCTGTTGACAATCCTCCTGATCATCATAATTGGAGCTCTGGCAATTGTAGGATTTTTCCACTATAGGAAAACTGGCTCCCTTTTGCCTGCTCTGCCCAAGCTGCCAAGGTCAGTTTCATAATATGAAATAGAAGCCTATATGATCATATGAATAAATAGGTTTTTAAAAGTACAAAAGTTCACCTATTCTGCAGAAAGAAAAAGTACTAAGGATTTAAAGCTGTCATTTCAAGTTACTACTTCTTCATCGAGTAGTCTCTGAAGCTTGAGTGACAGATAATGTTCTATAGTCCAGATGGTTGCATCTACTGGTGTGCCCCACGACAGTTAGGGTACAGGACAGTTAGCTAGGACAGGTGGCTGTGCCACTGTGTATCACAGGGCTTTATTCCTGGACGTGCCCCACAGGTCTCTTAGATCTCAGCATTGGAGAATGTGTTTTAATGTTTCCAGGTAAACAAAGCGACTCACTCCCATATTTGATGTTTGTACATTCAGGGTGGGAATTGTACATTTTATATAAGTAAGAGTTAGCATGTGAAGGAGGAAAGGGAACTGTTGCAATTTTTTTTTTAAATGATAAAACACTGTTGTGGTTCCTTCCAGCTTAAGCAGTCTTGTCAAACCCTCTGAAAATGGAAATGGGGTGACCTTCAGATCAGGGGCAGATGTGAACATGGATATTGGAGTATCTGATTTTGGCCCTGAGTCTATTATTGACAGATCAATGGCATTGGTGAGTAGGGTTTCCAAATGATTATTTGAAGGTTGTCATTTTTTGTGATTTTATAAAAGAATCTTTTATAAAGAATAAAATTAACCTTAAGAATATTGAAGTGAAGAATAAAGTCTGCACTGTATGTTGCAGAAATTCACCTAAAAACATTATTAATGGTAATAATAAAGTTGAAATTTATGTGCACTCTAAGCTTCACTGTTCCACTGAAACCATAGTCTTAAATTTAATTAAAATCTAAAAAGTTTTATGGGTAAGTTTTCTTTTTTCCTCTCTCTCTCTCTCTCTCTCTCTCTCTCTCTTTTTGAGTGTAAAAGAACACAATATTTTGGTTTTATTTGATAACATTTTATGTGTATAAAAGGAGAAAAGAATCATATTTTTCCAAGTTATATATTTTTGCATTTATGTATACTGAGGGAATAGTGATTTTAAAGTCAGAATTGATTCTTACTATGGCCCTGCCACCTTCTAAGTATGTGATGATAGGCATGGAGCTTGCTCTCTTTGACCCTTGCTGTTCCCAACTGTGGAATGGGTACATGAATGTCTCCTGTGAGGACCAAACAAGATAGTTTAGGAGGAGATTAGCATAGTCTTAGCACAGAGAGGGCTCCCTATAATCCACTTTCAGTATTTTGTTCCTCCCCCAAATGCCACTTTTTGCCCTGCCTGAAAGTGCAATATTATCCCTTTCTCTCTTCTTATTCTGCTTTCTCTTCTTCTACCACCCACTCTTTCCAGTTGTTCATACCCATTCCCCAGTGAGTTTTTGGTGTAGAGAATTCAGATATAGAAAGAGTGTTTCTGTTTTCTTGAGCTGATATTTTAGTGCATTTCTGTGACCTTAAATAATGATTTGCCATTTGGAAGCTTTGTGTCTCTGTTCTTTGTTTTGTTTTGTTTTTGCTGTGCTGGGGATCAACCCAGGGCTTTGTGCGTGCTAAGCAACACCTCTGCTACTGAGCTGCACCCCATTTTATCATGCTCTTTAGCCTTTCGTCTTTTGGATAAGTTTGGTGAGGCGCCTAGTGTGCCTACAGGTGCGAGGGGGGCCCATTTCTCTGCCTATGGATCAGATCAGTAAAGTAAGATCTCTCTTTCTTCCTTATCCCATCAGGATGAACAATTTGCCATGGAAATGGGGAAGCAGCCTGTAATATTTGAAAACCCAATGTACGCAGCCAGAGACGGTGCCGTCCAAGTGGTCCTGCCATCCCAGGTGGGACATCAGCTGCTGCTGCTGGATCTTGTTGTATTGAGTAGTGTCCCAGGGAGAGTCTCCTAACCTTCCTCCAAATGGAAGGAAACGCAGCAGGCCATGCCTCAGCTTCACCCTGCAGTATTTGGCTGGCCCCTGGACCCTGCCCTGCGGATGCTCAGAACCCTGTGCTGCCACAGGGTCCTGAGTCATGGTGGCCGTGCTGGGGCCATTTTGAGAGGAGTCAGAATGAGTGAGAGCTGAGTCGTTCAGAGGCCAGGCAAGCACAGGGCCTGATGTGTCATAGGCTCTTTCTGAATGTGTAGGAAGTGAGTGAGTGAATGATTGGTGTCGCAAGGGTGTGATTTGAGGTATGTCAAAGGCCCAGGGATCTCCCTACAGTTGCCTTTGCACTACTTTTCTGGAAAGTTTGAGGTCTCCAAAGTCAAGAAGTGGAGCTGGGAGAAGAGATGGGCGTACAGGTGAAGGAAAAGAACTTTTCAATAGGTCTGGACCAGTAGCCCCAGCACCTGTCACCTCTACCTCATTTGTACAAACAACCATAGTCTCAGTGACAATAAATAACTTCTAACATGAACACCTAAACTGCTTTTAAATTCAGCATATTTTAATATAGGATGGAAATGTTTTACAAATAGCTTTCTTCGGAGCAGAAATATTTGAATCTTGAATGAATTTGCCCTGATCCTTTTTAATAACCAGATAGCAAAACTTTAATGCATGATGAAAACAGATATGACATTTCATTGGCATTTTCACTTTAAACAAAATGAGGCCGTGTACGTGAACACGTACCCAAGTTTGAGAGAAACAAAGTGGTAAATGTGAAATTAGAGGACGAGGAGCTGATTATCTTCCTTGTAATTTATATATTCAGGGTAATTTGGGTTTAAGAGGAAAGCTTGGAAATATATGAATGTTATAAAAATGTACAAAGGGGTCTTAATTTCATTATAGTTAAAAAATTCAACCTCTTTAAAGCAGTTCTCTGAAATTATTAATTTTATTCTTAGTATTAGAAGGTGGGATTCTTAGTCCACCAGTGAGTTTGGGGAATTATTCACACTGTTCTTCTATGACCTGGATGCCTGTATTCAACTTTTATTTAAAAATATGGTCAATAGCAGGAGTAGAGAGCTATAGAGAAAACAGCAGGAATTGCTATTAATAACTAGGAGTGTGGCCAGTGAGCAGTACCTTTGCCTCCCAGGATTAAGGCCTGAGATGACATAGGGGTGGTGCTTTTGACTGGGGGGGAGCTGGAAATAGCATTTAATTCTGGTCTACCCATATAACAAAAATGGTTTCTGACCACATATGTGGGAGGGCAAAATGATAAACAGGACCAAAAAAGTTGATAAGAAACTTTGTGGTAAATCTATTTATTACTGAATTCTTTGAAAACTGGATAAGGGACTTCAATATGTTTACAGATGACAATGTCTGGAAATGTGGATAATAAGAATTATGGAAGTTCCATAAACCCTTCTGAGATAGAGCCAAAACCAACCTCCCCGGATGCTGATGGAACTCAGGTAACACTGGTAACTCAGATAACATCATTCCAAATGAGTAGAATTTGCAAAGAATTTAGGAATTGCTGGGTGGATATTAATCCATGAGAGATCATATCACAAAGAAGGGAAAACAGACTTATAGATCCAGTATCTGCAGAACAGGGAAATCTAACTGGAGGTACTCATTTATCTTGAATAAATATTTCACTGTGCTGAGGATACATGTAAATGACTCTTCCTCCTAATGTATTATCTCCTTAATAATGTAGAGATGGTTTTTTTGTTTGTTTTTTAAGCTCCACCGATATTACCAATATTGACCACTAGATGGCACTAATTTATACCCTCTTCTCTGGCCAGTGAACCAATGGTATGTCACTCAACCAGGCATAGTGTTTAGTAGTGGAGATTAAAAGAAAAAGACCATCTAGTGGAGTTTCTCTACCATGTCTGTTAGATCTTTGCAACTTGAGGATTATTTGGAATGCATATAGAAATTCAATAAATACATTAGATGTAAAACTGTTATAATGGATAATGTATCTCCAATTTTAATGGACACAGATGCAGCTATCCCAGACCTTGCTATTTAATTCTGGACAAGCCATTTTATCTGGACCCTAAAGTCATCAATAATGTGCCTCACTAGGGTCACTATCAGAATATTGAGTAGGACAGTTCTTTGGACTAGAAAATGTGTCCTGTGCATTGTAGGATATTTCAATATTCTTGATGCCTGTCCAATAATACTCATTATGACCCCAGAAATCATCCATTACGCACACATACACACACACACACACACACACACATACACACATACACACACTCTCACACTCCCCCAGGTAAGAACAATAAGATCTAGAATGTCTCAGTTCTGAGATTCTGTGATTTTGTGAAGTAATGTGAAGAAATGAAATTTTAAGATAGTACCCTTTTAATTAGTCACCATATCCCAAGTTGTATAATCCATAAACAAAATGGTATCTGCAAAGTTAATTTGGAAATCTCCTGAGATGTTTAGCTATGAAGCACCTCAGACATTGGTTCTGTTCATTTGGGTCAAAATGAAAGCTTATTGGTTAAATTGTTGCTAATGAGAAGAGCTTATGTCTAAGGTCTCTGTGTACCTTTTCATTATTTATTTCTTCTTCTCTTGTCACACACACGCACACACACACACAAACACACACTCACATAGGTGTTGTCTTAGGAATTTTCAGTTTCATAATTTTCAAGGGACTGAACTTTTTTCCCCTTTATACTACATTTAAAAATGGATGTTGCAAATAAATTTTCCACAGACACCAGAATACTTGAATGTCCCATATTGGGTCTTCAGTTCTGACTCAACCCCAGGGCAGTGCCAGATTTAGTTTATACTCTCGCCATCTTTTCTAATTCCATTTTAAGTCTAGTGACCTTGTTTGACACCTCTCCCCCAGATTGTGCAGGAAGGGGATTGCAGTAGGGGGACTGTCACCTCTGGCCTGCTCCTCAGTGCTCAGAGAGAGAAAGAAAACAGAAAGCTGTTTCAGATGAGACTCTTCCTTTCTCATCTCTGTCTTGCAGCACATTGATTCTTCCTCTTACTTTTTTAAGTGAGTTGAGGCTGAAACCCTTTAAGATTTGTTCTCCACAGTGTGCCCAAGGATCTTTCTGTTCCTGTTGTCTCTTGGTAGCTGAGCACTAGTGTGGCTTAAAAGCAATAGAGGTACTTGGTTAAGATCAGTGGAGATGGACTCAAATATGCCAAGGAGTCTTTATCTTTCGTCAGTACGTAGGCTGCAAGGCCTCAAAGTCACGAATAGGAACTTCTGGGCTTGGTTCTACCATTCTCCATGGACAGACAGGGCTCTGACCTGCATGTCTTCATCTTCCTGAGGTGGCACCATGTATAAAGTTAGGTGCTCTTTGCAATTTGGGTTAAGTGAATGTCCTCTTCTGGATCTCCTGTGGTCATGTGCTTCCTATCACATGCTGGTCCTAACTTTCACAGAGCAAGAGCCATCCCTTAAAACTGCCTTGGCTCCCTGTTGGAGTAGGCTGTCTCTTCCCTTATCTCCTGCCAGGTAATGCTTCAGTAAGGTGAGAGCCACCCACCATTGACTAAGGTGGTTTCCTTTTGGATCTTTCAACTTATGGGCTTCCCTGAGCCTTTGAGTATTCACTGCCTGCTCGCTGCTCAATCTCGCTCTGACTCAGAATCTGTCATACAGGGATCTTAAGAGGACCTATCTCAGAGGGTTGTTGAGAAGATTAAATCAGAAACTTGTAAAAATCTTAGTGTAGTTCCTGACCCAGAGTAAGCACTCAATAAATGTTAGTTGTTTCTATGGTTATGATGATTTCGGGAGGAAATGATGACGTGAGAGAGGACACACTTGAACCAGACAAGAATCAGGACACTCTTTTAGAAAACAAGAGCTACAATTTGGCTTTTTCTTCCAGTCTCTGGGCAGCCCTAGAAACCTCTTGTGTGTCTTAGTTTTAGCCAGAGCCATCAGCGTGGCAAAGTGTCTTGACACTGTGGGTCCGGATTGGTAAACTGTACACTTCAAAGAAAGAACCATTTTGAAATTATTAAATAAGAAGAGCCCAGACAGTTTCAGTTATTGTTTTGGGAGCAATAGAAGAATAGAACAATTTACCACATGAACCAGGTTCCAAACTCCTTTGTGCTTCTTCGAGAAGAAATTTTAAAAGCTGCACCAAGGAAAAGGTACCCCCAAAGAAATTCCATAACTGAATGTTTTGTTTTTTCTTTTCATTTAGGCTACAAAATGGAATATCTTCAAACGAAAGCCAAAACAAACTACCAACTTTGAAAATCCGATCTACGCAGAGGTAATTTTTAACAATTGTTCTTAGTGCATTTTTTGTTGTTGTTGTTGTTTAAAGAAATACTACATTGGACATAAGCTCAGATTTTTCTGAGCAAATTGGCAAAGATTAGTCTTTACTCAGAACTGTTTCTGGTCATGTTGGGAGAATGAATGTTTCCTTGTGGTTGTAGATGGACCCGGAGCAGAAGGAAAGCGTGGCCGTGGCCCCACCTCCATCTCCTTCTCTCCCTACCAAGACTTCCCCGAAAAAAGACCCAAGTCCAGGCTACACTGCAACAGAGGACACTTTTAAAGACACGGCAAATCTCGTGAAAGAAGATTCTGAGGTATAGCCACACACCAGTGATGTAGGGAATAATTAGAAACACATTTTTGCACGTATATTTTTTACAAACAAATGAAAAAAAATGTTCATGTTCAGTCCTTTACAAAAAAAAAAAAGAAAGTATATTTTTCTCTGTTTGCCTGTATTTGGAAATGTCTGGTGTGTCTTTTTTCTTTTTTGTTTTTTACTTATGCCGTTTCATATTTTTACAAATAATTATCACGATGTACTATATGTATATCTTTGCACTAAAGCTGTCTGAAGGTAATGCTAAAAATACTGTACATTTGTAAATTTTGGAAAGATTGTCGCATCACTGAATTTGCTAATAAAGGTATCTGTTGAATGGGTTGGTGATCTTAGTAAATGATCCAGTGAGGAAAGGAGTTCACTTGGGGCTTTTTGTCATGGTTAAAGAAAGGGCACCCTTCATCTTTTCTTTAGAATTATCCAGGGAAAGGAGTCCAGGCCCCACTCTTGGGTCCATTTTTACATATCAGCACTTAATTAATGTTCAATATTCCACATAAACTTGATGAATAGGCTTATCAGTAGAGGCCACTAAGTGTTGTAGAAACACTGGATCTGACTGCCAATGCCTCAGACAATACAGAAGGTAGAAGAAGAGACTCGATTTCATCCTTCTGCGTGTTTTCTGTTGCCCATCCAGAACCCTCCCTGTCCTCTGTGTCCTCTCACTAGCTGCCAGGTCAACATTTTTATTCCTAATGTCTTCGAGGAAATCCCATGTCATTAAGCACAAGTGTCCTGGGCTATGTTTGTATCTAATTCAATGAGCTTTTTCCCTTGGCGGATCCTAGAGCAGCTTCTGCCCTCGCCTGGCATCTCAGGTGGTCCCCTACCCCAGTGACTGGAGCTCGGTAGCTGAATTACTAAAACCAAAACTGTGTCTTAAAGTAAGGTGCAAAACAAATACCAGTAAAGTGAAGCCTCAACTAGGTTTCTGTTTCTGTGTGTGGAAAAATATCATTATAATGACTATTTATTTAGTGAGTTGAGCATGAATAGAAAGGGAAACTGTTCTTATTGAGCCTTTTTCAGGTCCTTTGCCTAAATCCATACATTTGTATCAGAATGTACTGTACAGCCCGGCTCTCCTCTGAGCAGCCGGGATGGTCTCCCCAACAGGAGCCATGGCAGGAACACAATCACCACGGCAAGTAGCAATCCTGGTTCTCGTGCTGATATTGCACATTTGTTGAACAATGAATGGACGAATGGATGGATGAATGAAATGTACTACTGATTATTTTATGCCTCGGTTCTCAAAATATTTGTTGCTCATATTTTGAGGGCTGATTATAATTCCTTGGAAATGTACTTTGATTAGAAAAGCAACTGGAAAATGATGCTGCTGAAAAATTTCTAATAAATGTGTATTTTATCAGATGTTTTCTGGGTGCTTCTTAAAGTCATGACTCGGTTGTGTTTTGCCATGCAGAAAGCTTGAATGCCTTCTATTCACATGGATTCTACTTCCTGGACACAAACCTAGACCCATTTGTTTGAAAATCAACAAACCTCTGCATTCATTCTGTTTGTGTCTATGATATAACAGAACAAGTTATAGCAAACAGGTCTCCAGAAACCAGGAAAAGTCAGTGTCCTGCTTAGCCAACAATATTTCCAGTCATTTCCAGAACGCTGTGTGTGGCTAGTGCAGGCCAGAGAGGAAGGACACATGTTCCTGTTCCCTAAGGATAGTCATTACCAGCCATTGCTTTCATCACAAAGGCCCGGTCATTCTCCAGCTGTGAATATCTCTGAGCCTCAGCTGCTGCTTCTATCAAATGGGTTGTACGTGTCCAGGGTGAAAATGTAGGTAAAGAGTGTAGCCCGGAGCCTGGTGTAGTCAGCCCCCCATCATTAGTGGCCATGATGGTCATAACTGATAAAGTAGAGAGAAAACTGAAGAGGCACGTATGTCCTTTAAAACCTCCTCAGGTGATTTTACTGCACAGCTGGGGTGGAGATGATAAAAAGTTTGGTCATGGTTTGTTGTCTTTGGACAGACACACACACACACACACAAGATGATAAACACCCCTTCATATGAAAAATGGGAGAACTAGGGCTAAAAAAAAAGCTCAAGTGCACATTTGGGTCATAGCATGGGGAACAGAGGTTCCCCATGAACCTCTCAAGGTCACACCACCTTGCCCCAATGAAAGGGGTGTAGAAGCCCCTAAGTCTAGCACCTTGCACCTTTGTGGAATGAAACAACAAATTGATGTATGAATTTCTTTTCTCCTTGTTTCCCATGTTTCTGGGCCTAACTACAAGGGACTTTTCTTTAGTTATGTTCTTATTTGTTAATTTCCCTGTGTCTGATTACAGCTGTAATTTCCTTGGGAGAATTTTGAGTAAAGAGTAAAGTAAAGCAAGGGAGCCATTGGTTTGGGGAGATAAGCAACCTTGAGCTCAGTGTTTTATGCCATTTTCCCAAATCTTAAAGCAAACAAATTTATTCCATGAAGGGTGATGGAGGCTATTTGCAGTCCCCAATAATGGTCACACACATTGTCGGGTAGTACCTAGGTTTTGGGCAGAGGAATCCGTTTTTTTTCTTTGATCTTTGTTAAGAGCCCTGCTTAACATGGCGGTACAGACTCAAGTCAGTTGGCAAGTCATAATTTTCATGAAGCGAGTGAACTCTGACTAACAGGCGGTGTGACCTTGAGTAAGTTTCATCTCCTCGCAGATTAGTAGTTTCATAAGGCAAATGAAGGGGTTGAACAATTTATCTCTAAATTCTCTTCTAGCTTTCAAATGCAATGGCTCAACAATTTCTCTCTATTCCGGTCTTCATTTGGAATTTTGTTAATTTCAAACTTACTGCAGCTGTTTCAGTAAGTTCTAAGCTTGTTATAGCAATTTCTAAGAAAGCAGATTCAATGATGGCATCTTAATTTTTATCCTCCAATGCTGTCTTTAGGTGAGCTGTGAGAAAGATGTTCTTTAGGAAATGCTTTATTTTTTATTTTTATAGTATCTGAAATCCTGTTTATTAGTTTCAGGGCTGAAAATTGCTGTGCTGGATTCCTTTCTGCAGGAGTCTCCTGCAAATAACCTTATCAGATTGAGGCTGCAGGGTTCCTGGTTTCACAATGAGTTCCTTAAGGTTAAAAAGGAGCTCCTGCTCAGGGAATAAAACTTGCCTGAGGAGCAGGCAGCCACCTGGGAAGGAACAACAGCAACTTGCTGACTTCTGATGGGACCAGAGCCTCACGATTGAACTTTGGATTAAAGAATGCATAAGTTCAGAAGTAAAATAAATCAGTTATAATTTCCCATTCTTTGGAAGTTAACTTAATTTTTTTTTTTGTCTTTCATTTTAAACTTGAACTTCTAATCATTAATTCGATTTGTGGGGTCTGTTTTTGTTTTGCAAGATGGCCTTGGAAAATTGCCTATGATGGTTTTGAAAATCACCGAGTCATGGTATCTCCTTCTAAAATTCTGACTGACCAAGCTCCCCCTCCCTGCCAAAATAGAAGGAAACACAGCTCAGCCTGGCCCAGTCGTTGGTCAGCTATGATGTTGTGTGAATTGCTTTTCAGAGTGGGCCATGGCTGTGGTGGTGAGAGCAAAAACCCACCATGTTAATGACTTAATCAGGGCTGGGGTTGTGGCTCAGAGGTAGAACACTTGCTTAGCATGCATGAGGCACTGGGTTCGATCCTCAGAACCATATGAAAATAAAATAAAAGTATTGTGTCCACCTACAACTAAGAAATAAATACTTAAGAAAAATAAAAAGATGCACGCTTATTAATGACTTAAGCAGATGACCACCTACTTGGAACCATGATTCTCCCTAACTGACTTTCAACTTCTCATCTTAAAAAAAAAAAAAAAATTGGAGATAGCTTGGGGGAGTTGCTTATTGAATAGAATTCATGCTTATCATGTGCAAGACTCTGGGATACATCTTTGGCACCACCACCACCAAAAAAAATCATCAAAAAAAGCAGAGATGGTCTTCACAAGGTTTTCATGAAGATAATATGTATTTATTTACTCAACAAATATTGAGTAAGCATCCACCAAATAGCAACAGCTTCCATTTACTGAACACTTTAGGTGAAGTAAATTCAATCCTGCTGGCAGCCTTATAATGGAAGTATTATATTTATCATTTTTCACATCAGCAAGCTAAGATAACAAGCCAGGTGTGCTGGTGCATGCCTGTTATTCCAGCAACTTGGGAGGCTGGGGCAGAAGAATGATAAGTTCAAGGCCTGCCTCCACCACTTAGTGAGACCTTGCTCAAAATAAAAAACAAAACAAAACAAAACAACTGGTGATGTAACTTGCTGGCAGAGTGCCCCCTGTATCCAGACTAAGATAACATATGGGGAGATGTTTTTAAATTATAAAGCACCATACAATATGTTAGACCATGAGATTGTGACCTAGGAAAAATTTGCCTTTACCATCTCCATTTTGACTGGACTTTGAGAGACCCATACTGTTTGGTAACATCAATAACAATATTGATTTGTTGAATATTTCTTTTGTGTTAACACTTCTAAGTACTTTCCTAGTATTTGTCCATTTAATTCTCCTCCAAACCCTGTGATATTAGATTAGTATTATTATCATTCTCATGTTATAGATGAGGAAATAGAGGCAAGGTGTTGGATCCTGGACCCTAACTGGGTCAGTCTGCACAAAACTACTCTAGCCCCCCACTCCTAACTTCCACTCCACCCCTATTCTACTCTGACCAACTGCACAACAACCCTCTAGTCTTACAACCTTAACTCCTATCAAAACTTCCTGCCCCAAAGGAAGCCTTCCGTGGCTTATGTTCTACTGAGGGCAGATAAGTCAGTTTTGGCCCATGTGTGTGCCATTCCCTTGCCTTCAGTAAACACTTCAGTTACCAAAAGCCTGGGGAGGAGAAGGCTCAGGTCTCACGAGGGACCTCCTGGGGTGAGCTGGACTCTTGGAGTGCTCCTTCCCAAGTTAGTGCTGACTTTCCTCCTGTGTAAAATACCAAGCAGCCCTGACTGTCTGTGCCAAGACTGTCAAAACAAAAGTCTTGTGTGTCTTCACACAAGTCATTAGCACTTAAATGTATAATGCATCAATGTCTTGACTTAGTCTGTGAAGAATTAAATCTGCCAGGAGAAGCTAGATATTAGTTGTGTGCATTTTGACCTTGCTTCTGACTCATTCCTGGAAAACAAAGGGAGAAATTTTGTGAAAGAAAATTCAAGGGAGTTTTTTAAGGTTGGTCTCAAAATACAAGGTGGCATTAAGCAGCTTGGAAAGCTAAGCTCATCTTAATTTTTATTTGTAATTTCCTGGTTAGGTGTTTGTTCAGTCAAGTGGGAAACATTTCCCTCTCAGCACTCCCAGGACCTCCCAAGCCCATCTCCATTCCAGTCTAACTGTGTTTAATGGCTGCCCTTTCTCTTGTATCTTTCTGCTGCCCTGTGTGTGTGTCTTGGGGGCAATGCCAGCATCCACAGCTCTACCCAAAGCCTCTAACATTGAACTTGACACTCACTGTATGCTGAATAAATGTTAACTAAATAAATGGGAAAAAAAAGATAAAGGTCAAGACAAGAAAGAGATTCTTCCATTAAATCCTGAGCCTCCAGGGATAACAAATGATCCCAAGGTGCCTCTGTATCCTGCCTGCCTCACTGGTGAGTGCAGCATGAGCACTCAGAGATTTCGAGGAGTTGAGGCAGGTGATGTTGTCATGGGCGAAGCATTGGAGGAGTTCCCAGGGGAAGCGGGGAATTCAAGTCAGGACTGGTGGTGTTCTTGGCATAGGTAGAAAAGAATTTCAGCAGGAGCCGGACAAAGGCATAGACAGATTTATTTAGGAGGTAGATAGACATTCAGGGGAGAATAAGAGCTATCTCCAGAGTGAGAAGCCCCTCTTAGGTTGGGGGTCCAATATTTATAGAAGGGCTGTAGTTAAGGGCCAGACTCTGATGGATTCAGGGTGGAGATGCGCAATTTCCCACTCTGCACTTGCGTATTTCCCTCATTTTACAAGGACATGGGTCAAGGGCATGTCTAGGACATTTACATCTGTGCTTCCTGTATCTCCTGTATCAACGGATACAGGGCGTTTCCTTTAAAACTCAGTATATACCGTTTTTTATCCTAAATTCCTAACTCAATGTTACTCTGGTCATCAGTGCCTTTTAAATCTGTAACTTGACTTTTGTCTCCTAGGATCCTGGGATATAGGCTTTTAATTGACTACAACAGCCAAATTGTTGTGTAAGTGATGATGAAGAATAATAAAAAGATTCCTGAGAGGTAGTGAGGTAACGAGCCATTACTGAAAGTTCACTGGGATACAGATAGCAAGGTTCCTCACCTCTTTGTGTCATTTGATCCCTAAAATTTAGCAGAATTGC